TCCAAAGCAAATCAAGAGAAACACAAGTCCTGACAAGTTTATTATATATTTTATGTTGTCTAGCACCATGATTACTTCCAGCAATTTTGAAACTAACCAAAATTCTTTTCGAGCCAAAAAATCAAGTTTGGTCTAGATAGAGCATCTATACGCCTCGAACTTAGCTGCAACTAAATGGCTCTTTTTTTTTTAAACCTATCGAGAACTTCACGGCCATGATATTCATTCACAGTTTGTCACTGAATCATGAATGTTTTTAACCACAACGCGCATCAGAGAACCACTTTTTTTAACGCGCATCAGAGAAGGCTGGAATATATTTTTTGCAATTTCATGTATATTCCAAAGGGCTGTTTTCCTAAAGTGCTGTAATTCCTTAAAAGTTCGTCTTCGCCTCAAAACGTTTGATCTAGGTAATGAATGCTCTACATATGCCAATTTTGCGCATCCTAAGGTTGCATTGGTATGTTCCCTTCAGGATTTACTCAACTTTATCTCACAATATTAATTGAAATTTCGATGCCTTATTGAGGTGACGCTATGCAACTAGACGAGTGCAAGAAATGCACTTCAGGCACAACCGTCCTTACGAAAGAGAGTATAAATTCATTCTGAATCTTACAGATGTTACTCGATCTCTCCGTCAGATAAATAGAGCTCGTGAGCTATTATGCAAGAAAAAAATTCTGGGTTCTTCCCATAGACTCGCCGTTCGAGTAATTTACAGCACTCCGTAAAGAACGGTGGAAAAAAATCAAGGGTTTTCCAATTAGGACTACTTCTTGGAGGAATGAATTAAGCAATACAAGCAAGTGGTAGTAGGTTACGAAGGTGGAAAACACATACTAGAAGTATTTGGCAGGAACATTAACAAGTGCCCTTCCCTTTTTAATTCCTTTTCAATTTTTAGGTCAGTAAAGTTTAGGGAGGGCAGAGCCAGATTCAGATTTGATAAAGCCCTAAGCTATTTGAGATATAGATTCCTTTATAAGTCTGTTATAATATATTTTAAATTTGGGAGGCCTAAGCTGTAGCATATACGTAAATCTGGCCCTGAAGGAGGGTGAAAATTGAAGCTTTATTCTTGTCATCAGTTGATTATTTATCTAACTTTGATAGTTTGGGGGATCAAATTTTTATGAGATGACTATAGACTGGCAGTGAATATGATTATCGGGGTACGTATCGAGAACATTAATACAGAATCATGAGAATACAGAATCATACGGAATACAACATTAAAAACAGAAACTCTCTCTATATTAGCAGAAATTATATGTAAAACGTAATTAAAATTTTATATGACATTCTCATTAATCTAAGGATTGTTACAGTTATTATTACTAGTTACTATTTTATAAGAAATGAATGAATAACTGGTTAAATTATAGTGTTACTTTTTTTTTAATTATCGAAACACATTTTATTTGTCAGTATTGTCAGGACAGCTCCAAAACACGTTTTACAGTCGTCTATGAACTACTATAAACACGCTGGAACAATCAGCGACACAGCCTTCACACTGTTAGGCAATAACGGTGGAGACAAGCTTCCTGCAAAGCACCCGACTCTGCTTTCCGGAGTACAGCTCCCGACTCTGCTTCTGCTGTCGTTCTCGGAACTCCACGTACTCTCGAGACTCTCTCCGCTACAACTCGCGATGCTCTCGACGACACACAGAGTGCAACTCCTGACTCTCGGTTCAGTCGTTTCCGGAGCTCAACACGCTCTCTCGACGATGCATTAACCGCGACGGTCTACGAGACTCTTTCGGTGCAAATCGACGACCCACTCGGCCACTCGGCTAGCCGGCTGGTCAAAGCGATCGCCTCTGCAGGGATTGACTCGCTTAGACGAGGCACACACACACTCTTATTGATGAGACGCATACGCCCTGACTGCGGACCAGCAGGGTTTATATAGCTTTCGGCTTGTGTTCGGGAACATTCTGGGGTAAACTGGTAAGAATTCGTTCCAGAAGGTTCTCCAACCATCCATGGTATATCCCCAATTTTATCGTCAAATATCGCCAAATGGGCGATTTCTCGCCAAATGTGGCAACCCTGCCGTCCTTGCTATTTTATGGCAACCCTAAAACTGCTTTGCGGGGAAGTCAACTTACCGCGCCTTTACATTTCGTAACAATAGGCTAGCAGACAGGCAGCACAACAGGTACTCTTACAAAAAGAAATCATGTCAATAGTACACCATAAGTTACTTGCCTACAAATCTGAATTACTCCAGAATTTGAAACCACAATAAAATACAATGTAAACATATATTCATAACAGAAATTTCATAAAAAATTGCTTAAGCAAATCACTTTTATAAAAGGTGTATAATTTTTCCTCCGCCTCTCCATTTAATTTCTTTGGGTTCCTATTTGATTTAATTGTATTATTTAGATTTCTTCAAAGATCACGAAAGCTATCTACTGAAAAGGAATGCTTTCGTAAAAGATTTTTTAAGGGAAATTGGCTCATATGTACGTTATGCCTGGTGAAAACATAAAAACTCCCGAGTAGCCAATCTATTCGCCAGGAGTTGAAAACTGAGTACGAAAATTTGCTCAAAATACTTAATTTCATAATGGGTTGGATTTCCTGGAACAGAAATATTTTTAATGCATTAGTGCTTATATAAAACCAGCCTTTTACAAAAAGAAAGGAAAAAAAAATGAAGTATTTCTCTTGTGAAGTTGGATACCTTGAAAACAAATTTAAAATCTGTTTTCGAGTTTTGTCGCAAAGTATGGAAAGAGGTTTTTTTCCCATTTATTTATTGTATAATAAAGAGTGCTTGAAAAATATCTCTCTTTGTAGAGTTATTTCCTGAAATGTTGACTCTAATGTAGACATATGCAACCAGTTATGAAATATCTAAACATAGGAAATGGTATAAAAACTACTTACATAGTGATTGAGAGGACTGTGTAAGTAGCAAAATATGGCATTTTATGTTATCTTCATCAAGTAAAATAGCTGATTACTAAAATATTCAATACATTTTTAATTAATTTAATAATACGTTCCATATCTTTCCTGCGAAATTAGAATATTTCTTTACGATTATGACAGTTTCTTCTAAGCTATGCTATATACTCAAAGCTTCTAAAGCTGGTTAATAATTGCATGGATATGAATTATTGATTAAAACAACTTGTCACGTCTGATCATCTTTTCGAAAGACTTACAAGTTTTACTTAAAAAGTTCAATATTTTGAATGAATCCCTTTTATCCTGTGATTTTGGCAGGTGATACTTGTGTATTTCTATTCTAAGACTAGCGCTGGAAAGGTTAATACAGTCGATACTCGTTTTAGTGACCACTCCATAATAATGATGGGTGAAAAAATTCCCCAGCTGTGTAATTTTTGCGAGAGTGACCTTACATTATTACGTTCTTTTTCTACTGGACGCGTAAAATTGTTATAAAGAGCTTCATGTGCATAATCAAATAACTATAAAAATGTATACTTCGATTTTTTAATCATCATATCGAACAAAACTTTGTTATCATTAAAAAATTACGTTTAATACTAGGCAGAGAACTCATATAATTTTCCTTAAAATTAAATATATTTAAGTAAATACTGGAATACTTGTGCATCACTAAATTTCACTAATCAGCTGTTTTGATAACTGCAAAATGGAAAAACGGCACAAAATTAATTAATCAGCTATCTGGGAACTGGATAAATAAATAAAGTACAAAACTGTGAAAAGGAGAAATTGAACAGAAGAAAAAGGGATATAAATTTTTTCATTTATTTATTTTTTAAAATTTTACTCAGTATATGTACGTAATATAAGAGTTGCGTAAATAATTTAATTATCTAACCAAAACAGAATCATAGATATTGCTAACAAAGGGGTAAGAACATTGTTAATCTTTACCCTAAACTCCTTTTTGATGTACCGGAAAACATTTGACATGTGGCAGAACTGCGAAATACTTCCTGGACCTTCCCTCTTACTGGGAGATATAATTAATTACAGAGGGTTCTGATGCCCCGTTGCTTCGTTTTTGCAGCCCTTATCCACATAGGCTTGACTACAGAAATTTGGAAAGTCCTTTACCAGTTAGCCAGTAAGTCTTCATATTATTATTAGAGCAGAATTCTTTGCATTTCATCATTAACGACTTGAAAGTGGTTGTGTCGCGAGGAATCAGAAAAACAATATGCAACGTGTTTTGTATTTGAATTTCTTTCAATTGGCATTTTTGCAGGTTCATTCTTATGCAGTTCCTGATGCCTACCTAGAAATTCAGAAACGAAGCTTAAGGGCTTAAGGAGCTGAAACAAGAGAAGTTTAAGCTTCCCCCATCTGGAATTACACTATACTCTGCTTTTGTTTTTATAATAAATAATATTGCACATTATATATATATATATATATATATGATTTTATGGGAAAAAACCTTTTTCTATTTTTTAATTTAAAATTTAAACACGTAAATCTAATCCTGAAGAACATCTAAGGGATATATAAGGCCATTTTGAGACCCTATGAAGTTGCATACCTTGCACACTCCTATTTACGCCATTACGAAATCCAACATACAAAATGACAGTTGAAAGTTTGCCTGTTCCTCCACGATGTAAACGGTCTCATTACATTTTTGTTTCCTGTTTCGATTTTATAAGTTATTAAGGAATATTCAAAACAATGAGTGGAAGAAAAACACGTCTTTTGATTATGAAAAATAGTATTAAATACTAGTATAAATTGTATAAAATTGTACCACAAAAAAAAAAAAAAAAAAAAAAAAAAAAAAAAAACGAAACAAGAAAGATGTTGTTGTTTCATTGCATATGTGACTATTTTTGAATTTTTATAAATAAACTAGAAGTTTTGTGCTCTCGAAATTTTACCTGGAAGTCTCTAGACCTCGTATAATATTTCTGCTTATGAAAATTAATATTAGTTAAGAAATTTCAGTATTAATTTTTCATACAAGAGCTTCTTAAACATTCAAAGGATGTATTTTATTAAAAGGATGCAAAGCTACTTGCGGAGTTACAAGCCAAGAGTAAGCACAATTTAGAAGATGTTTGCCTCACCATCTGCAGCGGTTCTGACATGGTCAATATCAACTATACGCATGTCGTTTGTCCTGACGTCGAGACGGCAAGGGTAAGCACATATTAATCATTTTAGCGATAAATTTTCTTAGAATTATAAAAGAATTCATTTTTAACAAGGTACAGGAAAATCTAATGAAATTTCAGTTTTAACGTGGTCTTTCTCTGTATCTTATCAGTTATATGTAAAACTTATTGGATACCTGAGAGGTGGGAAGACAATATTTTCTCTATTAGCTTGCATTCTGAAGTAAAATTTTGTAGTTTCCTGTATTTGGAGACCAGAATAAAAAAAAAGTTGCTTTTAATATTTTCTCCAACAGATTCTTTTTTCGTTTGATCAAAATATGTTTGTCATACTTTCTCGTACTTGCTCTAAAGAAAATTATTTCACTATCTGCGATTGTTTCTCACTTGTTTAAGCTGTCACTTATTCAGCTGAGAAGACGTAATAAGATGCAGATAAAGATTTATTATCTTAACAGTGTTTTGTTGAACTACGAATAATGCTTTTTTCTTTAATCTCGCTTTCCCACATACCTAGCATTAGGAGATAATCAAATAACATTGTAAGATATTGTTTCCATTGTGGCCCAGAACATAATTATATAATTTACATAATTATTACATTATTTCAGATACTCAAATTACTTTACAGCAGAACATTGACTTACAATAGCACACATTAAAAATAAATTTTGCAAAAACAACAGCTTATAAACTTTACAGAATTTTAAATTGCGAGACATCCAAGTATAGTAGGAGTACATAGAATTAAACTTCTAGAAATAAATTGAGTGAATATTAAATTATTACTCTGAACACTTTTCCTATTAAAAACAATTATAAAAAGGCATCAGTCGGTTCGTCTTATTTACAAATACAGAGAAAAGTCTGGATAATGTCTTCCATTATTAACTATAAAAAATGGAAGCTTTCTAAGAGTTTACAACGAAAGCTTGAGGAGATAAGTACTGAAGCTTTCCAAAGGATCTAGAGTTTACCTATTATGTACATTGTGCTATCCCATCGTACACCCCGCATTCATTAAAAATAATGATTTAGGACATAAATAGATTACAGTATAATTTAAGCAAAATTTCCAAATTAAATCGAGAACACTTGCTTTGATTAACAAAAATAACAGATAAACTTAACTAGATAAATATAAGAAGTACTGGGAAACACATTGTTATAATGGAACTGTAGTAATAATACTAACGGATCCACGGGGCCAAATCATTTCAGAATAACATCAAAAAACGTTGTAAGAATCTAATATCTTAGGGATTTGGGAATGCGAAAATTGGGAATACAAAAAATAAATTTTGACCATAGACCAGCACAAATTTTAAAACGTTACTTAAAATGGTATGCTGGAGCAGGTTATTCCAGTTTATAAAGTTCGGAAGTAGAATCTTATTGAACATATCCACAGGGTGTAAACGTTCATTAAAATTATACAGCATGAGCAAATTATACTTGACAAATATCTAAGCCGTAGGAAGAGAGTCGTTACATATTTTTTTTTAATTTAGGATACTGACGTTTATCTTTTAGAAACCTTTGGAATGCCAAGAGATCAGTTTGTGAGGATTTTAGTTGATTATCTTCAGTTGAGGGGGATGAGAAAGTGCAATGATCAGGATTTCCCTATTCCCCACATACATAGATGTCATAGTTCGCCATATTTCTTGCGTAGAAATATGTGAGGAAAGCTCCTTGTCCTGTTGTATAATAATTTATTGAAAGACTGGAGTACAGAGATGCGAAGCTTATGTTGGGAATCAAAGTATATGTACTTCTTCCCTATAAATAATTATTTCAGTAATCTTGCCAATATTTTGAAGCAAGTTGTTTTAGTTGGTACTTAAAATTTGAACGAGACCATGGAAGGATTATTTCAGTGCCATCTTGATTAAGAACTGCTGCTGGCTAATTTAGCTGCCTGATCATTAACAAAACGGCCACTATATCCTTTGATCAATGAATTTTGAATTTTGTACTTTGGAATTAAAACAAGAAGAGAATTTATATCGGAAACTAATGCAAAGGAAGTTAAGGCATTCTTAGTCACATAAATAGCTACTTAGGAGTCAGATCTTACGGTAAATTGAGATTTTTAAGAATGGCTATTTCAGTCCCTGTTTATATGACTGAAAATTCAGCCTGGTGTATACTATTATTATCATGGAGATGACATTTCCGTTTGATTATTTGAAAGATAAATTTGAAATAGACTGATCAACCAAATTTTCCTTTAGTTTTTGATCCTTCAATATATGAACTGCTTGAATTTGCGTTAGACATAGGGAATTTGACTTTGCTGAAACGAAGCGCTGGATGAATAAGATCGAGATATTTTTTTCTTTTTATAGTTGGATGGCAGAAAGGTTTGATTATTAAATTCTGCAGCTTGGTTAAGTTAAAGGTGGTTAAAGGCAAAAGTTAAAGGCACCTACTTGGTTTACCTACTTGGTTAAGCATGTAGGTGCTTTCCATTTTTGCTCTAATTGTTAATGGAAGAGTGCTAGCTAAAGTATCAAGAATTGTATTCGAAGTTGTGCGATACCCTCGAGTGATGCAAAGAGTAAAAGGTTTCATTGAATTTAAAAATGTAAATGTAAATGTAATCTTTCCCACTGCCATTGGTTGTGCCTAACTTCCGACTTTTTTGATGTAACTGTTTAGAAGAATCCGTGTTTTGGGGAGATTCAAGCCCCAGTTAACTTTATTCATGCATCGTAGGCACTTCGCTACTGATTTTGTACGAATCATCATTTATATCTTAATATTATTAAAAATTTCTCGAAACATGCCTTTTATATGAGTTACAGTTTTATGCAAGCTGTAAAAATAAGACATACGTCTCATTCCTATAATATAAATGACAGCACAAAAAAAAAAAAAAAATAAGAAAAGAATTTTATCCTATATACTTTTTTTACAACAAAGTTCTATCCTCTAATATCCTTATGCTTTTTGTTCGCAAATGTGTAGCATCAAATTAACAGTAGTTTTTCTAGAGTTTACAAAAATACTTTTCCGTTCCTTTTGATTAAAAAGTGAGCACTGTAAGTAAATGAGATACATGAGTTGATTTCCTGCATTGCACAGTAAAACAAAGACTTGTTTATACCCAAACAAAATGACTTGGTATCATATATACTCTCTATCATGCAACACACCCACCCAGAATGAAAGCTAATGAGCCTATTTAAATGTCTAATTTTTTCTACGTCTCATATTTACGCAGCAAACGCGTTGTTTTTGTTCCGTTCATCCTGCTAAAAGCGGAAATGCAGAGCAATGTAATGCCAATTTAACATAGAGAGCCTATCCGATATGCCACGAGCAGTAGAGTGCATTAATACTGATTTGTAATTGAAAGCATACTGCGAAGCAGAGAAATTTTTAAAAAATATGAATATGAGAATAATTACACTGGAATAAAAAAACTTTCATTTGTGCTACTTATCAATCGTGGTAAGTGTTATTAACGCTATAGAAAATTAAAACCTATTTATTAATTACAGAATTTGCATGAACAATATCACTGTATAGCGTCACGAAGACGTATTAAAATGAGATATTATACAAATAGTTTTACATATAATATTTGCCTCATTTCTTATTTTTAAATGCAACAGAAACTAGTTATAAATGAAAGAATTCAATAATTAATTTCATTCTCGATTTCAGAATTCAAGATGTGATACAATAAAGACGCTTCATTGCTTCATAAAATTATTTATTATTATTTGCTTATTTATTTTATTTACTGAATTAATAATTGCTAAATGAGCCTAAATTTAAGAATTTTTTTCGGGTTAGAAGAAGGGGGTGGCGTCCTGGACTGTAACATGAATACAAGCTGATTTCTTTGAAAAGCTCCTCCGCGAAAACTTCCCACCGTTTCCAGATAGCTTTCGTGTGATTTACCTTATTTACATCAAAACGTTAGTCATCATCAGTATAATATTATGGATGTATAAATTAATTATGCGCGTTTTATTAAATGCGGAAAAATTACCATAATGACTTTTTTATACTTATCCCTAATAAATTAATGACTTATAAAGTAATTCGCATAGGAGAGTGCACTTCATAACGGAATAATTAAATACACGGCTAATGCTTACTGGAACAGCACTTTCCTGATATCATATATAATGTAAATTTGGAGTAAAATAATGCCATTCAATTTCTTTTCTTTCTAAAAAATAACAATTTTCGTATAAAATCTGACTTTCATATGAAATTCTTATGATAAAATCGTATTTCAGTAGCTCATTAGAAGGAGCTAGAGAATTTAATTCTCTGCTGTTTAAAAGTTTAATAAATTAAAATTTGAGCAAAACCTCGATAGCAGGCTTGTTTTAATGCCTTCTTACTTTCCACGCACAGATAAGTAATATTTTTCATGAAACAATAATAACTAAAAATGACAGCTTCGCATATTTCTTATTTTTCATCATAAAATTCATCACCATAAAAATTACGACCATAGCTCATTTTTGAATGGACTTCTGTTGTATGTTTTCTAAAATCCACTTTCCTTTACATTATAATCAAAACTTACTTTCGAATATTTACGATAGTAGAATAATGTCATAATGTATAAAGAAATTATCGTGTAATTAATTTCTTTACTTTTTACAGGAATGGCAAGCCGGTCTTCGAAAAATTACAAACAATATTAAAGCTAACAATGTTTGTCCTATGACGTGTCTCAAAAAGCAGTAAGTTCAGGCTATTTTTTCAACTTATTTCACATGTTACAAACTTAATTATTGTTGTTCTTACGAAGCCAACAGTGAAGAAAATATATTTCTTCACTATAAAGGGCAGTTTTTTATATTAATCTTTCTTAAATACAAATCAAATATTAAAAAACTTGACTTCATTGAACCTAAATTTTCTAGTTTTCCCTCTAACTGAAAAATTAATTTACCTTATTTTAACTTTTAGAAATCTAAAATCTTCATTATGTTGAAGGTACTGTTTAGTACTTTAGAATGAGGTTAGATTCTAGATAAAATTAGTGGTGAGATTTAATCGATTTCCTCCAATTCGGCAGAACTGCTTTACTTTCGCAGTGTCCGGCAGAACATTTATTTTGGTGAATAGGTTGCTAACATTAATAATTTACTTATAAAATAATCATTATACAGTAGTGCACTTTGTAATGGAATAAGTAAATACACAGTTAAAGTTTAGTGGAACAGCACTTTCCTAATGTGTTAAATTTATTTAGACAATATGTCATTACTTGCTAGCTAATTATAATACTGTAGTCACATTAAATTTCTATTAAGTTTTGCTCTAATTGTAGCATTTTTCTAATCCTAGTTTAACTTTTAGAATTGCAGTAGCTTCATTATGCGCTGTATTTACTGTTGTTTAATTTAGAATACTGTTAGATTCTGGTCAAAACAGGGATCAAGCCGATTTCCACCGTTTCGGTAGAACCGCTTCATAAAATATTTTTTTTAATTTGACTAAAAGTTTGCTAACATTTCGTTGTAATAATAATTTAGGCAGTATATCATTTCTTACTAGCTAATTTTAAATAATGCAGTCATACTAAATTTTTATATAATTTTGCTCTAACTAAAGCATTTTTGTTCTATATTTTAACTTTTCTAACAGCAAAATCTTCATTAAGTTGTAAGCATTGTTGATAGAGTCATTAGGATTATGCTGGAGCCATGAAAAATATGCAGTGCCCTCCGCGGGATTTGAACCCCCGACCTCCCGAATACACGTCGAGTATGCTTCCAGTTACACACGAAGGCATGCGAAAAGGGGGGCGAAAGTACTTAATACATTTAATTTAGAATGGTATTAGATTCTGACCAGAAGTAGAATTGAGCTAATTTCCATCAATTTGGCAGACTCGCTCTATGACGTATTTTTAGGTCGTTGAACAATTTGCAACATTCAGATGCAGTGTTTCTTTAGGCAATCTGGCATTACTTATTAACAAATTAAATTACTTAATTTTTGCTTTAACTAAAACATTCCTTCCATCCAATTTTAACTTTTAAAATTCAAAACTTTCCTTAAATTGTGTTGTTTACTTTTAATAACTATTACTTCCTTTAATTCAGAAAGCTGTTAGTGGATTAAATCAGTTTTCATCGGTTCGGCAGAATCACTTCATAAAATATTAGTTTAGCTAACAATTTGCTAAAATTTAATTGTAATATTTATATTGTCGACATATAGCTACTGTCACTTATTTTGAAAGCGAACTGGTTCGTACAGTATTTAAATCCCACTATTGTATCAAGCTACAGTTTAGTAATCTTATACAATTTAAGAGCAGACAATGCTTAATAATTAAACATCTTGCACGTAATAATATGTAAGATATGTTCTATTTACTGATTGCAAAGGGAAATAACGTTGTTTAAAAATGTTAAAGAATGATTGCAAGTATATTCCATGCTACTTCTCGTTTTCTATCATCTTAATTTCTTGTAACTCCTTTGGGCATTTTTGCTTCGTAATAGATTATTTAAATACTTCTCATTTTTTCTATCTTCGTTTCCGTACGTTTTCTTTTCTGCTGCCTGTAAAAATATGATTCCTATATTAAAAGTCATTTAGAATATTCAATTCCTATATTAAAACTCATTTTTTAATATAAACGCAAATTTATGTAATTTCATGCATTTTCATCTGTTGTTTTATGCATCTTCATTTCATCTGGTCCGTTTCTTTCATTAAAATATTCTTCAAACACTATTGTTTTCCTTCTAATCAAATTCTTTTCGCATGTGTACTTTTAAACATTTACTATAATAATATATTTTTGATATTTCCCTTTCTTGCTAATAAATTTTTAATTCAGAGCATTCAAATATGTAGGTAAACTATTGAAACTGAATGAAGAGATGGGTGAACGGGCAATTTCCTCAGACTCTCGACATACATACTTTTAATACACCACAAAGGAATCACACAACAAATCTGAAATTTGCACGAAAGCTAGAAACATGCTGACATATGTAATGATTAACATATCATGACATGTAAATAGTATAGGCAATACGAATGATACTTCAAACCAGTATAAAAACACGGATTAAAATGCCAATTTTTCATTAGGGAATTGCGTTTACTTTTTGTGTGTCTGTATGTGTGTTTATGCTTGGGTATATGTGTTGGAGAGATAGTATTATGCCTCGTGTAAAAAACATGAACTCGTAGAAGTAAATCTCAAAATTCGATCATGAATAAATCTTACGAGTACCTAGCCTGAGAATTTCTGTACCGTGCAACTACTACTCGCGTTGATGGGATCAAGTAATTGTTATGAAAATTTGTAATCGATGCATCTAGGAGGAATATACAAAGAGACATGCGAGATGTCAACAAGCTCCACACAAGGCAACGACTCAAGACGACAGATATGTTGTCTACATCGCTGTTAGGAATCGTGTAACCGTACGTTCTATTGGTTAGGAAATAGAGTGCATTATACCGCACCAAATTCATCTGCAACGTCAAAACGAATTCTCAGCAAGGCACTCTTGCTTACAGCTCATGATGGCCATATCGTGTATTAAGCCAACAAGGGGAGAGGACGTTGGTAACTTGGTTGCTTCATTTTTATTGTTGGCCCAGTACCTGGATGATTACTAATATAGAGTGTCCTTGGGTATATATCCAGTTCACCAGTAGGCCGCATATCGGTACTTTGACAAGCCACATTTATATTATTGAGGTGTTAGTGCTCGTGGCTGTAACATATCTTCGGGATCATCCGTCACCCCACCTTTCAAAAGGACAATGCAAAGCAAAATATTGCCCATGTTCTACATTTTAACAATACACAAGGTATTTGACAAATCGTTCATTAAGCGGAAACGTCTGGTCAATGGTTGCAAAGAGACAGGTAGAGCATTTTCATACCATTATAACAAATGGACTATGACATAGAACTGAATCCACATGGACTGCAATACCCGTAACTGCCGTCCAAAGGTTTTTGGACTTCATGCCCAACTCTATAACCGCTGCAGTTTTGACAGAGGTTCTGTAAAAGAGGATTTATGCAACTCAAAATTATCTGAAATTTTAATAATTTTGTACTTCTATTATAGCGTAATTGTGAAATACTAATGCTTCTGATAACTACGCTTCTTCATGTGTAACAGTTTTTAATGCTAAACAGTATAGTATATTTCTTTTTTATATAGCTATTCAATATAATTTCAAATTTATTTTAAAATTGTCCTTTTTCTATTATTTTAAGGTACACATTCTTAAACCTGTGATGAAATTAAATTCATCAACAATGTCAATCTGAAAAATATCATAACACGTTGAATGCATTTTAACTTCATACAATTTTCAATAAATATCTGCTAACTATTCTCCCCATTTTCAGCTGGATGAAACTCGGTTATCTGGTGGACCCGGAAGGAAATCTACCCATCAAAAGGTGAGTTTCTCAAGGTTTTCTGTATGAAATATTTTCCTCTTAATCACTGTGATACGTATATTCAGTTATATGATTAAGTACAGAAATATCATCAAAACAAAATCCGCAAGACACGATATCTGAGCTAAAAATCTTCGTTTTAGAAATCAGTTTTTTAAAGAAGGCAGAGGGAAGGGAGAACTCATCACATTATACAACTTGAAACTGCAAAATGCTAGATTATCTTATTAGGAACGTATAATTAAAAATTAATTAGACAGTAAATGGGTGACATAGACTTTCTTATTCTTTTATAAGATAATTAGGCTTCTGTAAAAGGATAACGTGGATTTTCTTATTCTTTTATAAGATTAAACTTATGAATCAGCTAGATTCTGATGTACCAATGATTCCTTTTCTAATTTTTTTCTAAAAAAAATATACCTTCTAAGGCGTTAAACTATTAACCAGGAACTGCTTATTCGCAGTCTTGATATCTAACCTAAATAAGTTATGCCTAGTGGTTCGCGAGTGATCGCTTTTGTTACTGCTTTATTACTAGAGCACAAGATAATTCTGTGTTGAAATTGACATAAAAGTTTATTTGTGGTAATAAAATTACGAAACAGGACTAGCTGAATTTGAGACGTGATTGCATCAAATCTTTTGGGTCAGACAGAAACTAGCCATTATTTGTTATGAATAACATCAAATCTCTCCCGGTAGTTCTAAATTTCTACTCTACGATCAGCTTCCTTCAGCTGCTGCGATCTTCCAGTTCCAATACCACTGAGCTCTCGATTTACATTCTGGTTTCAAATTAAGCCGCTAGCCGTAAAATTTACATAAACTGGTTACATAATTATATAAATTGTAGTCTAGAGAGTAATGTTACGATGTAAAGCATATAGGGAAGAAATAACATGCGGGTAATTCTTAGTAAAACGTAAATCATAAATGTCACAAAGGAATTCCTGACTTAATAGAAATTAATTTATTAAGTGATTAATATTTATTGCAAATTCTCATATTTTTTCTCACTTTGTTCTTTCAGGATAGCACAAACTTTTGCATCTGGCAAAACAGAAAAATTAGTCTACCAATGCATTGGAGAGGTCGGGCTACCAAATGGAAAGGTAAAAACAAAACAAAAGGAAATTTTGTTTGTCTATATTTAGATTTTAGATTTGTTTACATTAAAAGCCCTCAATATTTTTATCATCAGTGCTGTTTCACAGCTGATGATATTACTGCCTTGAATTTAATATGAGTTTTACTTATCTTTATATTAAATGCAAGAAGGCATATATGCCATGAAGGTTAATAAAATTCATGCCATAGATAAAAGGAAGTCATTCATTTGAATTTGATAAAATTATAGCGGTGCTCCACTAGCGGTGGAGTCGCTGAACACAGGTAGTTCGACTCGGGTTGGTATCCCGGCTAACGGGTGCTGGCTGCATCGGAGTTTTTATGGCTTTCCCGATGTATAACGGATATAGGAACCAGTTTTCCTTAAAATTTCTCCACGGAGGCTTCTTATCCATAAGCAAAGAGACCTCAACCTGCGTTGCCTAAATCAGTTCATCGTAACCAAACTTTTGCATATGACATATTGTTTCCAATTTTTTACGGCGTTTCTTCTATGCCATAAGTATTATTTATATATTGTAAAGATCATTTTACTTGTAAATCTATTTACAGAATGACGTCATCGATGGAAGGGATTTTACATTTGAAAAATTTCATCAACTGTACAACAAGCTCTGCCCAAGAAGTGACATTGAAGAGCTTTTTAAAAACATGTGAGAATTTATAGTTATCTTGTCAATAGCTATAGGATAAATATATCTTCTTATGTTTTATTACTTTGAGTTAATGGAAAGTAAATTTTGTTTTATTCCAAATTTTGTATTTCTGTTACAAATTCATAAATTATATTATATATATATTATATATATATATCCATTTCTTTAGATATATACTCATAACTTGTCGTATATCTGCTTCTTCTTTAAAATTCGTTGTCGACAAACTCATCCCGAAATTGTAAACTAAATATGATTTTAGCGCAACAGTTAATCACTTCGAATTACGCTAAAATTTCTCATGTAGGGATCGTTAAATTATAATAATAAAGCATGAGTATTTCACGAATGCAAATGAAAACAGTTTGCATTTGCAAATTATAATGTAAGTATAAATATACAAATAGAAATCTATATATGTATATTATTTATATATTATAATATATATATAAATATATATATATATATATATATAAATAATAAATGTTCTCTAAACACATTGATATTATAATAAAATAGTTTTTGATGTTTTTTGGTTATGTATTAGGCTGTATAAAGTCTATTATATAAACGTATACTTAATTACAATATCGTGCATGTAAATCTTTAGACTGCGTTAGAACACGGAAAGCGAGTTAAATCAGTGTCTTGTGATTCTTCCCATGTGTAACATGAATGAGAGTCATTTTTCTTCAGAACATCCTCCACGAAGATATTCATTATGTGCATAAAAATGCTATTATCAGCACATTTTCTTAAATTTTAGTATTTAAGAGCAATGAAATAAACATAAAAATAGATAATTGAACAGCTATATGTAAACATGAATTACGTAATTTCTTTAGTAGTAACACTATGTACAGATTTTCGGACTATATTTTATAAGCTCCAGTTTTTTAATGACGTCAAATAATATTTTCGTGTTAAACGTTTTACACAGTTGGAATTATTTTTCTGCCTTAGTAACGGAATTCATTTTCCGAACGAGCAAACAATTTAGTGTTATGAAACATTCAAAATAAGATAAAGTAACGCTTTCTTTATGAGTGTTTTATAGCTTTTCAAATGTTGTTAAGATTGTAATAATTCTTTTTCATAAATCACCATGTCCACATTAATACTTTGCTGCAGTATGAACAAATATACTTGTCAGATAATACAAAAATGAACAAAAAATATTAAATCAAGGAATTCTGTTTTATAGACGCACCACTAATAAAAGCAATACATATCATATCATTAAATGCCACAGATTATCTTGCTTAAAAGAAAAGTAAATGTTATTGAAATCGTCCTACGGGAAATATATTAAGTACTCTTGTGTACGAATTTATGAAATATTTGATCCATTTTAAATCAAATTACATAATATAATGTAAATTGTTATTAACTTATAAAATATTAAGTCACTCATTCTTTTTAATAATTTCAAACATGTTTCTTTTATGTTTCAAATAGAACTCAAGACAAAAGTGATACCATTACTGCAAAACAACTCATCAACTTTTTAAATAAGGTGAGAATTACCTTAATTGTAGACAGAATCTTATGCATATTATTTGATACAAATTTACTTATGAAAAAAGGATTTTATTTCATTTCCAGTTTGATAAATTTTGCCTTAATTCTGCCTACATGCATCGCTTTAATTCATTTAGTCTGCATAAATTTTAAGCACCCAAATTTGTTTTAGCTAATTTTTATGATTATAGTACTTATCGAAATAACGATATGGAGATATAGTTATTATTTACTATTGTGGATGTGAGACCTGATTTCTGCTTTTATATGTCATTTGTTAATACTAAAATGAAATTCTAAAGATAGCGTATGCAAAAGCAGTTGCAAAATAAAGGTTTGAATTTGTGCCGTTAACTAAAATTGATAGATTTTGATGTGAAGTTAGTGAGGGTTTCGAGAAATTCTAAGTTACAATTGAAAGTTTTTTGCTAGTTATGGCTAAACGTAGATTGAGAGAATGATAAAGAAACGATGGCGAATAATGTTTAGTGATAGAAATTTTCCATTTTGTTTTCAGTAATAAGAGTTGCATTATATAATTTCAAAATTACTTTAAATACTTCCTGAATTTGATACATTTATTTAGCGTAAATTGGAACTTTATTGGATTGTTAGGAAAAAGTTTGCTAACGATTCAGATCTACTATTATAAGCTCATTTAGATAAGAAACCCGAACTTTCTTAGAAAAACGAGAAAGTATAATTGAATTTAAAATACGTTTAGTAAAGTAGGAAATAAAGAAGGAATGACAGTTAAATTAATATGATTTCTGGACATTCTAGCTTAGTTTGATTAAGCATGTAAAATCCCGACGAGCAGCAGGAGAAGCCATAATTCTGCATTTAGTAACCAGTCAGAAAGCTTTTTCATTATCTCATAAAATAAAAAAAGCTTTAAATACAAAAACCTATTGTTCTTGAATATAGTGAAGCATAATTGCTATCAATAAAAGAAACGCCCTCTGAAAATTTTAACAAGATCAGAATTAATATGTGTTGCTAACATTTTTTCAATGTTTAAACAATTCTTCATGCATTTAGAAATTTGATGATTATTTATCGGCAGTATAGAACATATTAACTACTGATAACTAATTGTAATGTAACCACAACGTTAGTTATTAGCCTGAATTTTCCTTTTTAATTTATTATACTTTTAACTGCGTATGACTGAAAGTAATAAGTTGCTCACACCATGCAGGTTTTATTGATTTCAGTCTACCGTGTCATTTTTAGTTAATATCTGTATTAACGATTAACCTAATCTGATCTAGATTTCTATTTTTTTGAGCAGAAACAGAGGGATCCGCGGCTAAACGAAATCTTATACCCATTCTATGACGAAATGAGAGCGAGAGAGATCATCGCCACCTATGAGCGAAATACGGAATTAGCGACACAAGGTGAGATTAGTGTTTTCCATAAATGTATTCTTAAAATTTTTACTGTATCTGAGGCCATAGTCAACCAGTCTGCTGTTCCACTCACTCCTGCTAACCCATTTCTTTTTTTTAGCTTTATTATTAAGCATCATTTTCTTCGTTTCTTCAGTGCAAATGACAAATCATTCAAGATTACATATGCGATAGTAATATGAACTAAATATATTACTAACTTTAAATTTACTGCGACATACTATTCAAACAAAGGGAGGCAAACGAGAAGAGCGGCATCATAGGTCTTAACAACAGTAGAGGGAGAAAGCGGTTTGAAGCAAAATGGCGCGAATTGTTCATTTATAGGAGCGGTTACGTAACATGCCCGAATGTTGTCGAAAGTACTGGTCTAAGGGGCAGAGTTTAAAGGGACAAGGGAGGTTCAAATTTCTAAATTTTCTTCAAGAAGTCGAAATTTTTCAAAATTTCATTAATTATTCCCAAAAATAAAGAATAGCGTAAGTGATGTATCCGAAAAAATATATTTAAATTACCGTGCATTTTAAATATTTTATAAAGAATTTTCGCTGTATACGTGGCCATTTAAATGCTTAAAAATTTCTTCCTAAAACCTATCATTCAAGTTTCGTTCGTGAACATTTCAATTTTTGAATATTATAATTATATATATGCTAGGGGAAAGATAAGTAATAATAATTTTAAGTAATTTAAGTTATTAATTTTAGTAATAAGAATTTTAGAGAGGATTCGGTGGGGCAGAAAGGGTTGGGAAACACTGGTTTAGTGTGTTAAATTTATTAATTAAAAATCACGTTCTTCTCACTAACGCCGCATAAAATTCAGTTGAATAGCATAATCACAAAATATTTAAAAACAGTATACCTTTAGAATTTCCTATATACAGTCTCCCGCGCTGGAGATTTTAATTCGTACAGTGTTGCCACTGTTTGCTTTCAAATCGTTGAGTTCGTTAAACATTCATTAAAGTTTTACAAAATATGAAAGGATTCCAGATGCACATGTTTTAGTGGAGGCCTATTCAAAATTTGATGCCAAGGTAGCGTCGTGTTTTCACAGTGCAAGAAACATTCATACGTTCATGCAGATTCTTCATTATTTAATTTCTTTAAAAGTAATATAGGGCGATAATATTTAGCGGCAACAATTTGAAAGGTAATTCAGGTTTTTAAACTAACATCCTATTCCGGCTAACAACATAGAGACTAATACATAAATATTTATTTAAATTATTTAAAATCAGAGAGTTAGTTTACTGATAGGAACAAATTTAATGGTAAGAGTGCAAGAATGATAGCTCTAATAAAGACACCTAAATTATTATAAACAAATAGGAAATAAAAATGCAAGAGAAACACGCTATTGCCAAATTTAAAATTAAGCGAAAGAGCAGCTATATTTGGGCGTAGATTTTCAATAAATTTGTGTCGATTTTCAGGGCGATGAGACACAATTCTCTCTTCTTCGGGAGCAGAATTTTGTTCCTGCTGCTGAAGAAGAGAGATCTGTATGCAATCGCCCACGAGTTTTATTCAGAAAATAGGCCAAAATAAAATTGCTGTTTTGCCTAATTTTAAATTAAAAAATTTCAAATATTTTAATATCGATATAGCCACAAACTTGTAATTAGTTGTTTAAAGTTACTCAAAGCAAACAGAATATGGCCTGTACAGCACCTTCTATCCGAAATATTTGGGATGAAACCATTTTCGATAATTTTTCCTCTTGGATAATTGATCGTCAAGTAGCTTTCAGAAAAAAAATAGAAATGATTCATTTGCGTATCAGTTTGTAATTTTTTAATGACTTTAGTATAAAATAAACGTCAAAATTTCCGTTATAAAATATATTGTTTATTTACATCACATGATAGGAATGCAGTACATCCGTAATTGTCACAATTACTGCATTTTCATAGCAAAAATGAGTATCGTATTGTGAGAATTATGCTGAATCTTGAATGGCATGATGCTTTAAGCGGCACCTGGTGAATTTACTTGCGCTGACTCTGACAACCTGACAGGCTTTTAATAATAGAATCTCAAACACTCACTTAGGATGTACCGCAAACCTTTTAGCGAAATCTTTAATGCTTCCTGTTTTATAATTCCTTTTTAAATATTTTTAATACAGCAGAAACTTTGATTGGCCTTATCAGATAACAAACGAAGGTATTTAAAATTCATCTCCTGAAAAAAGATTTCGCAATTCATTGCTTTTACATATAAAATGATTCGATTATATTTTACCCTTTTAACTGTAAATTACCTTTTTACCTTTGATTAGGACGACAGTGAAAACGTTTTTAAACAGAACTAAAAATTTATAGGTTATTGATTCATTTTAGGTTATTTTACTATATCGTTAGAACGGGATTTCTGTTAAGCGATGTTTTTTTTTCTGAATATCTAGCAAATGCAATATAATGCATAATTAATCAATTAAGAAATGCGCATAATCTTTTTGCTAAGATTTTAGCAGGGACCGACAAAAGTATATATATTCGGTATAAATTAATGATGTATGTAATAAATACAACATAAATGATAAAATGATTGAAATGCAAACTGAGTGTTCTTTACTGGTACTGATAATTTGATATATAGCGTAAAATAACTATGCGTGTTTTTGATATAATAAAAGTAAATTCGAAGAATAAAGAAACGAGTCTCTCTTACAATGCTTTCACTTGAAATCTGTAGGTATTAATTAAGGCATTTTTCCTCAATCTCTTGTCTCTGAAATAAAATTGAAACACTGCTTTTAATAATTGGAGCTTAGAAATTCATTATTTATAAATAAACCGTTTCAATAATATTGCACTGCAAAAGGATTCACTTTAATTAACTTTAATTCAGATTCATGTAACCATATGTATTCATTGCCGGAGTTTACTAATTCGAAATATCTTAACAATAACAGAAGTTTAAACTCTTAGAGTTTACTGACTTTTAAATCAGAGTTTCTTAGAGTTTATTGATTTTAAATCTGCATCTTCGTACAACTAACCTTTCCTGAAATGTAAGAAAAATTTGGAAGTAATATATCTTTTTATATTTACACGCAAACATGCAGTGCTATCTCACGGTGCTTTTATACATTTCGTCACCCAAAAAGTTCTGTTAATGTTATAAAACTGTACTAAAAGTTAAGTTTTTAATAAAAGAAAAAGCTAATTTTTAATGAGCACTATTCAAATATATTTTACATTAAATTAGGCATCAATTATTACGAAGGAACTTAATCAGATTCGTTTGCCCTTGAGATAACAAGACACGTATACAAATTGCAGTTCTTAACTCCTTATTTTCTTTTTCCTATGTCTGCATTTGGTTTTGAAGGCAAAAAAATAATTTTACACACAAATGTGATGTCACAAAGCTGAGTTCCTATATCCCTATTATCTCTGTCAGGGTACTCCAGCACACTGTAGCTGAAAAGCATACAGAAACTTAGATTTCGAAATACAAACTGATAAAATACTAATATATTATTTTGTTGTGAAGTGGCGAATGCTTTTACAAGTTTAGAGCTATCTCATTTGCTTGTCAAAGTAAATATTTGAATTGGATTCAAATGTTTACTTGACAAGTATTTTCAGATGGTCAACGGACACTAATTTTTCGACCTCCTTCTGCTTAAGTCTTTCGAATGTGTTTAGTAATGGAAAGCAACCGACTGCCTTTTTTTCTGCTACAAAATTTGTGTTTTGCAAATGGAAGATGGCAGCTATAAAATGTGGTTCTCATTTATGCATAGCGACTCTTCAGGAAATTGAAACAGTCATGCACTAGCTAAAAAAAAAATTCGCTGTTTTTGCATGTTTTCAAAATTAGTTAAAATGTTTCCATTAGATGCCCTTAATTGAAAGTTACTCCTGACGAGCATAGTTTGAAACAAATGGTATAGTTTGCAGCTAAATATGTTTCTTGAATTCTCATCGTTATATTTTTTTCTACGCGAGCACTTAATATGTGACCAAAACTTTATTTTGAGGATTGAGAGATATATCTTATTCTTTAATTATAAATAATTGTTGTTATAATAACTTTGTAAACCAAACGATTATTGATCCAAAAATGCGCAAGAATGAATTATGGCATTAATAAAAAATGTGTTTCTCCAGTATTGGAATTTTTTTTCGTAATTTAGTGCTTAAAATTAGCAAATAGTTACAACAGGAAAAATTAAATTGTTCCAAAGATTATTTTCGATCGCATACCACTTAGGAATATTAACATGCAGTTATATCAACCTCAGGTTTCCTTTTAAGCAGCAACAGAATAATTATTGGTCGTGTTTTCCAGATTACTTTTCTAAAAATTAAGTTCTTATTAAGATCCAAACTTTTGTTCCTCAAGAGGTGATATTGTTAATAAAATTATGTCTTAGGTCTCCTGAGTCAAGATGGTCTCATCCGGTACCTGATGTCTGACGAGAATGCACCTGTGTTCTTGGACAGACTGGACATCTACATGGATATGGACCAACCTTTAGCTCATTATTACATCAATTCCTCACATAACACTTACTTGACTGGGCGACAGTTCGGTGGCAGGTCGTCCGTCGAGATGTACCGACAAGTGTTGCTGGCAGGATGCAGGTATTTTTTACTTCTCATTCAACTTTCAAAACTGAAAAATTTAGTTTACAGAATTTCAAACAGAAGAATTATACTGTATTTCTTCATCTGAACAAAAATATTGTTGTAATTTACTGCATAAAACAATATGTTTTTGAGAGAAATTGCTGAACGAAGGTTTTTTATGGAATGTTTAATGAATTTCAATTTGAATGCTCTTGGGTAACCTTCACCAAACAACCATGTGTTTAGAATCATTTCTAAGGAAAACGACTGAAAATTAGATGAAAGGTATATTCTTATGAAATAAACATTTATTTTGTGAAGCCATCACTTTGTTTCTGTTTGAAAGTTTTAAATGTTAAATAATGTATTAATCTAAAACGCATATTCAAAATAGACTGCAAGGTTTAAGGGAAATCATTCTGCAGATATTCATTTCTGAAAGGTATCTATAATTTAAAATAAAATAATATGGGGGATAAATAAACGAGCCTGGCAGTTTCACTTGTCATGCTGGGAGATACCATTCAGAATTAACTTAATTTTGTCAGTATGGCAAGTTGACTTAAGGCCTCTCAGACTTCTGGTGAGCTCCAAGCAGCCCACGTAGCACTATTTATAGGATAGCAAATTAGACGATCAGTCAAATATCCAGGATAGTAGCTCCCCTCCCAACATGGTTTCTGGTTGCCGGAAGTGTTAAGCCCGTTTGAGCAGTTCAGCGTTCAGTGAGGAGACTCAGAAAATCCGTTGACTCGGTATTAAGGACTATGGGCTCGGTTAAGAAATTACTATTATCATCTCTAAAGTTTTTATAGGCTGGATTGCCAACCTCATGCCTGATATCGAGGATTGATATTGCCTAATATTGAGACCCTATCCATGTAATGGCTTTTAAGTCAGCTGGAACATGTTTGATTGATTATTTCCCTCCCCCTCCTTTTTTTTTTTTTTTTTTTTTTTTTTTAGAAACCGAAAGGAAGTGCTCCCTAAATATTTTCTCAATGTCTTCGGTTAAGTCCATAAAAAGCATAGAAAATGGGCCTTTAAAGCATAAAAGATACTTTTCACAGTTCAGGATTAGCAATAAACGCGCTATTTTTCGGCTTCCTGTGCTCAAATAAAATTGTGAAATTGATTCAAAATTATTGCACTGATTTGATATAAATTTGGGTAGTGGTTGTTTTCCCTTTTTTGTTGAATTCACGCAAATGTAAAATTCTTGCAAGTTCTTAAGATCTACATTCATGTTGCTTACGTTCGTTGAATTATCTGGAAAATCGTGAAAAATCTGGAAATGACAGTACGAAATTAATTAATCGAACAAAAGAATTAGCCCCAAATTACTCCATAAATTTAAAGCACAGTGTTCCAGTTTCTGATTGGAAGCTCTTTTGCGGAAAAGATCATTCTGCAATGTTATGGAAAAAGTCATCTACTGGCATTTAAAATACGAAAACTTTTGTATAAACAAACGCATAAAGGACAGAAAAGCTTATCTCTGCAGTTTTTCGTAGAATAAAAAATTAATAAATTTTTAGAAAATTTTTAATTTACTCAAACTTTTGGGGCAATTTTAAGAGATTAAGACTAGTTCCAAGTGCACTGAGCACCTACGGTAGAGATGACGAAGGTGTCAGTTATATTCTTGAGGGTACTCACCGTGTCCAACAAAAGAACATACTTCAGACCATTTCAAAGAACCTATCTGCATCTTAACCGTCCTTTTTTTCTGAAATTTTAGCGATTACAAATATAACTTCCACATTTCAGAATTTCGTTCTAAATTTGCAATTGATTATTATTTATTTTTCAGTCTTATTATTTATTTATTAAATCAGTTAAACATATTTCTGTAATCCTCGTAAAAAACAGAGTTAAAAAATTTTAAAAAAAAAAAAAAAAATTCGCAAATATCCTCCGCGAATTTATGAAGAAAAATAACTTTTTCTTTTTAATTCACTAAATTTTAATTAATATTTTACCGCATGAAATTTTTATTTTGTGGGAATTAATTAAAAACAAGATTTTATTTTACCAAACCATCCCACTCACAAAGTTAGTATATTGTTATTATTTTTTAATCAAATGACTAGCCACTTGCAACTTAATGCATTCGGTGAAAATGGCCAAACCTATCGGTCATTTAGCTATTTCATTACAGAGAAAGTTGTCCAGAGTGTACCAAAACGGTGATCGAATTACACTTGCAAAAAAGAGAAGGCCACGTCCCATATTCTATGAAGAACACTCTAGAGGACGAATTCAAGAGTCTCCACCAAATCTACAGTATTTTAAATGCCTCCAAACAGAAAAGATGTTATATATTTACAACCGAGGTTCCTTCTCCGAGATTCGAACTTGGGCCCAAAGTTATTGTAGGTGGCTCCCCTATTACTAAATATACCAACAGGGAATATTTAGAATGTATTTGTAGTAAAACTATTGCGAATAAGTAAAACTTAGAGCTGTCTTACAACTTGATTAAACTTAGCTGAAATATATCAAAACATATTATAAATCCAATAGAGTATTTTATTAGTTGTTTATCTCATTAGTGAAACCAAAGTATTGCAGCGTATTTTAGAAAATTTTGAATTTAATGTAGCAGAACTAGACATTCTTCCCGATAATATAATAAAGAATTTTATTCCAATTCTAATGATTACAAATGAAACTAATACATCATTGAAAATGGGCTAGCCTCTTCCCAAGTGATTAAAATTCCTAGTAGTTTGTGTTTCGGGACTCGGTTCTTAGCACGGCTATTTGACTTAATAGCTATTTGACTTTAAAGTTCTTCGCAGAGAATGAAAAATTTTGAAAGTTTAAAAACTTTGAAGCATCTTTGCTTCATTTGTCATGGTTCGAAGAACTATCACACACTTTGTAACTGCTACCTGATTCTTATATGCAGACAACTCATCGTATTTTGGATTGTTAATTTTACTGAAAGTCTCAATGCTTTTACAGCTGAATAGTTAAAAATTATGCAAGAAGAAACTTGATTCATGATGAGTGAAAAAAGGCATATTCTTTCAGCAGCGAATACTGTAGAAAAATTATGTAAACGAATGTTATGCCATAAGCCATTTAATGATTTTTCTCGTACATAACGTTACACGCTAATCTTTGTAAGTTTTCAGTTTACGTGCATAACATAAACTTGAGCCCATACTGCTAAAAAAAAGCTTCTTCCATAAAGGCTTTGTTCTACTACCTACACAATCCTGAAGTCTTTAACTAAATCTTCCTAACTAATTAACTAAATCGTTCTGAGTGCTTACTGCAATTCAAATTAATGATTTTACCTTTTTTGTAGAATTCTGAGTAACATGAAAAAAACTTAGAAAAATGTACTTTTCATTGATATTCTATGAGTGAGATCCCTAAAAGATGTTGACTTTCAGGTGCGTTGAGCTTGACTGTTGGGACGGAAAAGGTGAAGATGAAGAACCAATTATCACTCATGGCAAGGCCATGTGTACGGATATCTTATTCAAAGTACAGTTCATATTTTCTTCTTCTTTACAAATAATTTTAAGAGCACTGTCATGCTAAATTTTTTATCTAAGTGTTAATTTGTATACATATAAAACCATATAATCCATTCTTCTTCATATATCAGTTGGATTAAACATACGAAGATAAATCAAATACTAATATAAATAGAAGAATTCTCATATTATAAATTATTATTGCATTTCGAAAGGAATCTTTCTGCCTGATTTTTACAGAAATACGTATACGCCTAAAATTAATACGTTGCTGTAATTGTTTATTCGGATAAGAATTTATCCAGTCCCCGACTTTCTGCGAAAAATATTTTAATCAGTTTTAAGGGATTTATAATCAGTTTTAAGGGATTACAGGAATAATTTTGGCTGTTTCATATAAGAATTAAATACGCATTATTTTGTTCAACAAATATGTGTGTTTCTTGTTCGCCGGCAGATAAGTGAATTTGAACTTTTCGATTAAAGGAAAGTAAACAAAGACTGTATGCCTATGGGAAACGATGCCTGTGGGGAGTATTTGTTAAGGGAACTGGTCTTTATATATATATAATTTACACAGGAAATAAAATCACAAAAGCTTCATTTAGTCTGCCTGTTTCCACAAAGGGATCTGTAATAGGACTAAAATAATTTTCAATCCAACTGAATCCCTGTTTGCCTTAGAAAAAAAAATACACTTATTCATAATCATCCTGCTTAGTTCCTATGTGTATTAAATTTTCAATAACAGTACTGATTTCGAATTAGTTTATTATTAAATACAACACATATTTTCAATAAATAGTTAAGCATTTTTTACTTACAAGCGAATGCACCAGTACGATCTATTTCACAAAGCTTCAGAAAAACAAGCATAGTTTTATTAAATGCGTGCAGACGGCCATTGCGGCAGAAGGTTAGATTATATGGATTCTTGAAAAGCACACAAAGGCTATCTGCCGAAAGAGAGAGCTGCTTGTGTGGAGGCCTTTGGAAAGGAAACCAACTGGTGTTTTCATTACAGTGAGGTAATCATGAAAAGGTTTACCCAGTCAGCCTGTTCGCCAAGATTTAACCCAAGGTCGAACTAATTATGTTAAAATCTTACCCCTAAGCCGGTGATGGAAGCTGAATGCTGAAAAATGTCATTATTTGTAAACTTTGGTGCAAGCAAAATGCTTATGTAAGGAATAAAAGTAAATATATGTATCCATTTCGAAAAAAAAAATACATGCAGGGCTTAATTTCTAAAATTAGAAGTGACGGAGCATTATGGAAGACTGTCAGGAAGAAAGTAAACAATAAATAAAACAAATAACTAAAACTTAAAATAATTAAATAATTAAACTAAATTTAAAAGAAATGTAACAGAGATAAATAGAAAATTAATAAATTACTAAATTAATTACATATAGTTAGTTAAAGTATAAACTATTGGTCCTCGTCATATTTTAGGCTGTGATTGAAATTACAATACCCCTTAGAAGCTACGAAATACCTCAGTCGATCTTCGTCTCAAATTAAGCCCTGATTATACATGTAATGTACTATTGCAAGAGATGATAAATATAAAAATCATTGAAAATGCTGAATGAAACACAAATCAAAACTGATACAACGATTAAAGCGTCAGAAAGGAGAATAGTGAGAGTTCTAGAAACAGCATCAGGGTATGGAAGGAAGTTTTAACGAAAAAAAAAAGAGGAAGAGTCTAAGACTTTCTGATCGCGATGCCCTGTCGATATAATTCTAGCTGTCAAGCAGAAATTTTCCCAGTTTATACTATCCGATGAGAATGTGAGAATAAACGTAAGTCTCCCCTATAAAAGTGACAGTAGTGAACCCAGGCGTTCGGTTATATTGTTCAAAAGTGCACAGAAATTCTGCTGTAGTAAGTCACTAGCCGGGCACGTCCACTACCAGAGTGATACCTTTTAGCACTTTCAGGAATGAAAATTAATCCGCTCTCATACATTTATTGCATTTCCTAGAAAATAAGCCCTTGGCATGTGGGTGAAGGGTTTTCTTTCCTTAAAAGTCTCAATATCTGTCCGACAAAAACGTTTGTGTCAGAGGGGAAAACAGGCCGGCATTCAGAAGTTAGAATCGATTTTAAGGCATGTTTATTTTTAAAATAAAGTGCGTTTGCTGAAACTATGGTTAACTAACATAAAAGAAGTGCCGGAGCCCTTTTGTTTAGCGCTTCGATGCACTCCGGTTAAAATTAGGATTTATCTCAAAAACTGAGAAGTACAGGAGCCGGCCTCCATTGGGCATCGGCGCAATTTAAGTTTTGAATACATGTTAAGAAAGTTGTCTGTTTAATTGATTGATTGTCTGTTTAATTGAGCACGGCAAAACATCTAAGCATAAGGACGTCTGGTGGATGACTTTCTAAGGGAAATTGGTGTGTATTCATGGAAGAAAAGCCACGAAGATACCTAAACAATAAATCTAGATTATTCGTCGGAACTCGAATTAGAATCGATCTACAGCTATTAAAAGAAATCTTTACTCGTTTTCTACTATTTAATTGTTTTTGAAGTTGCATTGTAATCCTAAATACCAATAATACAACTTATTATATTACAACTTGTTATATTGAAATTATAGCTGAGTTAGTTATAGTTTTAACTATAACTACAGTGACTTATAAGCTTTGTTTAGTTAATAAAAGATACCTTAAATTTTAAAGGTAATTTAAAGATCCTGTGTATTGATGAATGATAATATTCTGAGGAACTGCTATGTGCGAGGACAAATGAAAGTTTCATTAAGACCTTATATTTCGCCTCACTGACAAAGTTTCCTGAAAGCTGCTTCTAGATCCTTTACGTTCATTCCGTCCCGTCCATCGATTTCAGAGGCGTGATCGTGTCTGCAGATTTTATTTTCTCGAGGACAATTTTTTATATCGTAAATAAAAATAATGCGCCTTATTAAAGGTGTAATAAAACTGCGAGTGCTAATAAATTTAGCTGTAATATTGTAGTTCTAGTTAATGTATATACAATGCAATTATTAACGGCAATTATAATAACAACAATAACAACAACAGCAATAAATTAATAATTTTATTGCTGTTGTAATGTAATTAAAAATAGTGGTATTACAATTACATTGCAATTGAATTATCTACAAATACGATTATATCGTAACTGTATAATTTATAATATAATAACATTACAAAAACTTACAGCAAATCAGCTTTAAATTCGTTACTACTTCAGAACCCATTTAGTATTTCTTGCTATTAATATGCTTAGAGTTTCTGTCTGAACTCCTACTTTTGAGAGATATGTAATCACTTATTATGATATAATGATTTTTCTGAAATCCATTTCGTAGCGACAAATTACTATGGATTTCACGTTTTCTGAAACGACGTAAACAAAATATATTTTCAGAAATCAATGTGTCTAGTCATACTGCAGAAGCACGCAACACGAAACATATTTAGAATAATTTATCAGGTTATTCTAGACTTAATGCTATTAAAGTAATACAGAATACTTAACATGAGATTTCGTTATGGAGCACAGAAATTCGCATCTGCTTGCATTTTAATGATGCTGTTATGCTGAATTGTCTGTTTTGCCAGTGTTAAATAAGCGTAATTATGAAAAAATTTCACATCTAATATTTCAGATTGGTATTTTTCTCCTGGCGTTACTAAATGTCTTAGAATTAATATAATCAGTTAAGGATGATTTTTCATACGCATAATAATTTTGTTAATTTAGAAATTTATCTGTCACACCTTCTAGTAAAAGCATTAAAATTAAGAAAAATATAACTCAAAAGTCTACTAATTTTGTTCTTTTTGACAATCATTAACTTTTTGATTCATTATTACGTAACTCTGCAGCAAATGTTTTGCAGCAGGAATTTACTCGTTATTTCTTAAGTAATTAATATAGCTAGAATCTTCCTGAGAATGCTAAATTGTTACTGATCCTGACTTTTGAATTATGTATATTTTTCTTTCTAGGATGTTATCGCTGCCATTCGAGATTGTGCTTTTGTTACTTCAGATTATCCGATTATCCTCTCGTTCGAAAACCACTGCAGGTAAGTTTGACATAATTAATTAATAACTTTAGGATTCGATAGCCACAAAGCAAATACATCGACATTACAATAAAAATGTAATAATATGCATATACACTGTGAACAGAGCAGAATTAATGAGCTAGTAACAAAAAATAATAAAGTTTAATTAAAAATGGGCATGCGTACTATGAAGATGTGTATGATTATCAAAGAATTGATGTGTACGATTATCAAGGAATTGATGAGTACGATTATCAAGGAATTAATGGATCAATTATAAAATATAAAAGAGTTTAAACTTCTTTAAGTGCATTATGGAAAAATAATTTATTCCTTTATTATAACGTACCAATCAATGAAACTTAATCCTGTGATGCAGAAACATAATGCATACTTGTCATTAAAGAATTTTCCCGGTATATGAACCACTCAACCAGTCGAATGAAATTTCATATATTATTATTTGAAGATTTGCACTCGTGATTTTGATAATTTAAAACAATAGAGCTCTCACGGTAACGGTTGCGGTCAAAAAATGTCAAAGCTTTCGAATAACAATACTCACCTTTTCCTGCGCAAATTTATCAGCGTACTGAAAAACCATAGACGAAAAGTGCTGGCGCAAAACATTTGCAAAGAAGAGCATTGTAGAAGACCAATGAGAACACAATGAGGCAAGGGAAAAAACTTACAATAATTACAAGTTTCCAAAGCACCTACCTTTGTAGACAGTAACGCGTTGTATGCGGGAGATTGTTGACAAGAGTGACGAACGTAATATTGCAAGACTAATCTGCATAATTTCACTTATATGACATCTTTCAGTTCTTACAAATCTCATGGATTTAATGTGTACATCTTAAATTTCAGCTTACCACAGAACCAGACAACCATCGGAATGAGTTTGAAGGATTGCGGTGACCATGAAACTGCAGAATAATGGGAGATCTCTATCTATAAAGTGCTATTGCAGCACTTGCCGAACACATTTGGCGTCGTGTAGAGAAGAAATATCTTGAATCCATAAAAGGTCGTTACGACATTTCACTGCTACAGTTCTGAGATTACGTACGCTTTGGAAACTTGTAATTACAATAAAAGTTTTTTCCCTTACCTCATTGTGTTCTCATTGGTCTTCTACAATGCTCTTCTTTGCAAATGTTTTGCGCCAGCACTTTTCGTCTATGGTTTTTCAGTACGCTGATAAATTTGCGCAGGAAAAGGAGAGAAGAAATTGGCTTGCGATGCCGCGCCAGACAGCCACTTTACCGCTGTGTAAAGACGCTGGTGGCACATTGTGAGGATGCTCATCAGCCCAGTTAACGCAGTTTTTGGAGTTTATGTTCCCAGTTAATGAGAAACGCGACCCGTCTATAATATCCGCAGCGACTACTTGCTATCTTCATCGTATCTCATGAGGAAAAAATTCGCAATTGAATTATCGACACGCTGTTGCTCGTTTTCAGTTTCTAACATCTGGACCTTCTGAAATCGATGTAGAAACATTCGCAAAAGAGAACTCATATGCTTGAGGACTGTGGTTTTTGGTTCATCCAAATTGCGAGAAATACTTCTTGCTGTATGCAATGGACCCGGAGTAATCATATTATACACTTTCGCAACATCTTCAGCAGGAACGCATGGTCGCCCGGATCGCAGTGTATCACATCTGCAACCAATTTCTTCAATTTATTTACCGAATCACGTAGTTTTGGGGCTTCATCTTATAATTTTGCTGATGAACTCCCACTGCTTCGGCAGCAGTTTCCTCATCTAGAGAGAACAGCTTTATCAATTCACCTCTTTGTTTTCCCGTTAGTGTCATCTTGTTAACACTTTCGAACACCTGATTGAAGAAACAGTCTTCCACTCTACTTATTAAAGGCTCTCCACAAGCAGGACTTTGCACATGGTGTTTTGTGACTGGTACTTCTACTTTCTGTTCCTGTCAATTAAGCAAAGTGCGTCTACCTCTTCTCTGTGTTGTCACTGGTCCTTCTCAATGCTCTTCTTTCCAGATATTTTACAGTTTTTATTTTTATCATACATACACCATTTTAATGCCATTTAAGGTGTTTCAAGGGGCTGATCAATTTGAGCAGGAAAACAGTGGATGTTGCATTCGAAAATTTCGAAATCGTTACACTGTAACCATTCGAAATTATTTCATTGTAACCGTTATAGCTCTATACTTTTAAATCATCCCAATCTCGAGCGCATCTCTTCAAATTACAGTATCTGAAATCTCATTTCGATTGATTAAGCGGATAGGCTACTAGGTGTTTATATATATGGGAAGTTTTTTATGATCACCTTATATATGTTTCCTCATAAGCGACAAGCAATAAGCGACGGAGGACATGAGCACTGTTCCTTTGCCATTCGGTTAATCAGTACAGCACCACGTCCACCCTTATCTAGAGTTGGCCAGTTGGTGTGGCCACACGAGAGCCTCGCACAAGACTCCGACATCCAGCGCCTAGAGCTTCCGGTGGGCAGTCGAACAGACCAGTATGCCCCCGGGAATTCCCCCTCATCGAATCGCCCGGCCCCAGCATTTATTGAAACAATATCAATCAATATATGGCCATACAAGGGCTTTGTCAACATGGTATGACAGACTGTTGTTATTGCTACAACAGTCTGTCATACCATGTTGACAAATCCTTATGTTTCCTTATAAGTAACTAAACACTTTAAGAATTTGACATAAATATTGAAATAATCACCAAATATTGAAATAACCAACCAAATATTGAAATAACCAAATTGTTGACAAAGCCTTATGTTTCCTTATAAGTAACTAAACACTTTAAAGAATTTGACATAATTATTGAAATAACCAGAAATTAATGCAACAAAATTTCATTTAAAATTATTACGGCTCTAAACTGTTCTGTATGCCAGTCCTTGTAGAAACTAGAGTTTGACATTTTCTGAACTCATTTTCATCTCCATTAAATTACATTATCCATCACAATATAAAATATTTCCGGAATTTTTAATACTATGTTTATTTTAATAAAGGGGCTATCGAATTGAAACCAAAGTTTATCTTTAGATATTCAGAATGTAGTGATAAAAGATAAAATCCGTTTTTTATCTCCTTTACTGTGTTAGAAAATACCGAAATCAAGAATTTCGAGTTAAAATGTGGTTCCTAGCAATGCATTTGGGTCATCTTACAATACATAATAACCAGTTAAAGATATACCACTTCTCCAATCAGTGTTTAAATATCTTAATGATTACATAACACATTTTTGCTCATGTTTCCATTTTTCGAAAGTTGGAATACTCTCTTGATTATACTTTATATGGTTCTACTGATAATATTCAATGAATAAAATAAATAAATATATAAATAAATTTTGTTCCACTAAAAATTCTACATATAACATTATTCTAAATATGCTGTTTTAAAAAATATGTAATTGCGTAAAATTATTGGTTTTCGCATTTTTCATCATAGCAAAAAGCAGCAGTACAAACTTGCAAAATATTGTGATGACTGTCTTGGAGATTTGCTCCTCAGAGAACCTCTTTCTGGATATCCAGTAAGTTGCTTGCTTTATGTATACATATATTACACTTGTTATTGCAATATACACATGTTATTGCAATTTCTATAAAGGATTTACTAAATATCGGTTTTATTACAAATAATATTAAATATATGTTTCCGGTAATATATATTTTTTTAATATTTTCATTTCTAGTTTTATGAATACTTATTTTATGTTTACTTATTAAGGATAACGTTAAAAAGTATTCGTTTGTTGAATATTGTGTATTAAATATCTCATTTATAAATTTTGACTCCCAGTCAGTAAAGTAGTTTGTGACTCTGACTGCCGTACCAAAGGGCTCGGGCTCGAATCCCGAAGAAAGCATGGGTGTAAATTGTCTGTCTCTTCATAGGAGGTGACGGTGGCCGCTTATTAGGTGACTCCATAATAGAATGACACCGCTTCTGGCCTTAGAATGGCTAGTGTCGGCCATTAAAAAGAATTAGCTTGATAGTTTAACGAACAGTTGATTCACAAAACATTTAGAAAGATGGTAATTATTTTTAAGCTGAGAAATTACTAACTGCTCATTGACCGTGTTGACAACTAAAAAAAAAAAAAATTAGGTTTTTCTTAAAAGAAATTTTGATCAATGTATAAATAGTCTGCTTTAAATTGTTACTGTTGAATTTTCATAACGTGTATACAAAATATATAAAATGCAAGATGTTTTGTAATTAGTGCTGCAGTGTTTTATATAATAAATGATGAAGTCTTTGTGACGAAATCCCACAGCTTTAGGGGCCCACCAGCGGCTGAGCGGTAAAGTCGCTGAACTCTGGTAGTTCGGTTCGAGGTTCGAATCCCGCGAACGGGCTGGCTGCATGGGCGTTTTCGTGGTTTTCCCCATGCGTAACGTTTATACGAGCCAGTTTCCCTTAGAAAGTCCTCCACGAAGGCATCCCTTCCGTTAGGCAGATAGCCCTCGTGTGCTTTGCCATAATTAAATACACCAACAACACACCCACAGCTTTAGTACCAAAGTTTCATGACATTATACCCGCTTATTGTCTGCTAAGTTATGTCACTTAAGGTTTTTTTCCTTTATGGAACTACCTTGTAACCATGGTAACGACTGCTGAGGAAGATAGTCAAGTCCTTTAATCTGTTGAAATATCATAATCCCCTCTGTGCGATGATGACAACGCACATTACGATGGTAAATGAAAGGAGGGTCATTACGATCTCTTAAGTCCCCATTTTAAAGTAACACACTATATCAAAAGATTTTGCTACATTTACAGAAATATAAGTATCGCACTCATTAAAAGTCCAACTATACGTTTTTCCTTAAAATAATTTGAAAAGAGCACTGGAAGGATTAATAAAAAAAACGTGCTCGTCCAGAGCTAGTATTCATTTTACTCTTAGGTGATTTTCTGAGAAAAATTTCGTTGAATGTCTGATCCAGTCCCTAAAACTTGCATTAACAATGAGTTTCTTGAGAAATTTTTTAGCAAACGCACAATTTGGATAAATAAGGTATCGCTCAATCAAAATTTAGCTTCAGCTCAATGAGGTAACGCTGATGGAATATAAGATATTGCAGTTACTGAGGCTGAATTCTAAACCATTTGATGAGTAGGCGCTGAAAGTAATGCTCATGAAACGGAAAACAGCCTCGAGGAAGTACATAAGGGGCATTCCACACTATCCGAAGTAATTTAAGAAATTTTCCAGTGACACGAATGTGTACTTGCACTTTAGCTGGTGGTCGATATTAGTTTTCCTAACATTATTATTGTTCAAGATTAATCAACCGTAAGAAAAAATACGCAAATTTAATTCATAAAAGTATTTGTTTTAAGCAGGCTTTCATGTTATTAAAGTTGGGTTTAATATTCAGAGCTGGAAAAATGGTACACATTAGCTGTCTTTGTTGGCCAAGGTTGGTAATGTTGCACCACTGCTCTTTTAGTGTTTTATGAATGGTAAATGACCTTGAGGATTGAACTAGGGTTTACGGCGTAGAAATCAAATATCGTACCGCAAAGGCAGAATATGCTGCTGATATTCGGATCTGTTTCCAAGTGTCAGCACTGATGGGTCGCCATTCCGTTCTCTAAATTAATGGAATTAATTGACAGCAATAGTATTTCTTACTTAGTATTGTTGTGTAGAGAATTTGTCTGATAGCGCTATAAAAACTATGTGAATGATTTTCTGATTTATAGAAATTTTAATTTTATTTGATTATGAATTATTTATTTTAAGGCTTTAATTTTGGGGAAAAACAGATGCTTCTGGGAATATTATTTAGTTTAAAAGAATATTATTTATTTTCCTCTATTTGCAAATCTTGTACAAACTTTGATTCATTGTGAAAGAAGCAGGGAAAGGGAAGCAATTTTTGCCAAGTCATGATTTCGCGCGCTTTGTCCTTTAGAATATTCGAGAAGGAATTTTCATTGTGGAGTTGACCTTAAGAGAGGAAGTACGTGACAAAAAAGGTCAAAGGTTGCTACTTGTCTTTCAATGTAAGTCATTCAGGTTTTTGGCGATTGAGGGTCCGGTTGTTGGCTAAGTGAAGAAGGGCGCGCATGCGCGATCACCCTTATTTCCGCATTCTGGAGTTGAAAACGCAAATTTTGCCAAAATTAAGGGGGCGATAAGTGAAGCCATAGTGGGAGCCCGCGTTTGTGAAGGAGACGAAGGAAATTCGAGTTGGACTCTCTTACTTACGGGCTTGCTGGACTTGTGGACGTTACTCTTGAAACTTGCTGGAAAGCGAGAGACCAGATGTAATTACGAAGAGAGATGTTTTCCGGCGGGGAGCGGCAAATATGCTCCCCGGCCGCGTTTTGGTTAAGAGGCACTCACTTACTGACTGGCGTGTGGAACTTACTTGGGACGTTACTCGTGAAGCTTGCTCTTGGGATGAGTAAGAACAGGCGAGCCGTAATTGCCTAGAAAAAACGTTTCTGGCCGGAAGCTGCAAACACGCTCCCTTGCCGCGTTCTGGTAAAGAGGCGAAATTTGAACAGTTACCTGCGTGTTGACTTAGGACTTTCAGGACCAAGCGGATAGCCGTCCTGGGCAGCAGTGCTCCTGTTTCTGTTCTACAGTGGTAAAATAACGTCGACAGTATGAGAACCAGTGTAAAGATGAGCCCGGCCGACGTCAACGCTTATTAAGATACGAGTCCTCCCACTTCAAGATGTCCAACCAAGTTAAGTGCTATTTTTTTTTGTGTTGAACTTTGAGTGGGTTTTTAATAACTTTTTCTTGGAAAGTAAAAACAGCGTCGAATCTTAAATTAATTCTCAGGCTTTGAATTGTTTCCCTTTCCCCTTTTAAACTTACCAGACAAACCTTAAGTTTTTTTTATATGAATTTAAATGAAAAAAAAGGGTAAATGACAAATTGATGACTTCTCCTTAGACTCTCAGATGAGGTTAAGATTTTTTCCATTGTGATGTAATTGAATAAACTGATATTTAATCTGGAAACCTATTACAGTATGTTTTCTTTATATATTTAATATGTTTTTCCTATATATCTTGTATATGTTTTTCTTATGGTTTCGATCCTCTCACGGCGCGGTCCCGGGATGCATTTTTTCACAACGCAATGCTTTAACGTTTCACTCTACGATCACTAAAAGTTTGGGTAATTAGCAAATTCTTAAGAGTTTAGTTTCCTCCCTAAGAGGAAGTAGAAACCTTTCACTGCAAGTAGGTTCATATTTAACATTTAACGTATAGGAATTTAAGATATAACATTGGTGCCAGACGTCTTTACCAGATAAGTAATTTTTTTTTGGATTGAATTCTCACGGTAATCTACATAACAGTATTACACAGGTTTAAAAATGATACGAGAATTCAGTTGAACTACATTCAGGAACTCATTTGTATCTATGGCATATTTCTTTCTACTTTTAAATTAAAGCAAAAATATGGAAGCGATGTCACACTATTTTGATATCTCTGTTATGAAGTCATATTTCTAAAGCTTAAAAAAATTCATATCGTAATGGCATAAACTATTTTCTCTTAAATACTGCAGCACTGTTTACGTAAGAGATATTCTGAAAGAAAAATAAAAGTATGATGAAAAATTATTATTAAGTTTTGCTGTGATGAGAAATACCGTTGCTTGTACTTGTTTCTTATGCAAGTTATATACAGGGTGTTTCATAGATCATGGGACAAACTTGGAGGGGTGTTGGAGCGTATTAAAAACGTGCATTTTTTTATAGGAATGTAGGGTCTATAGTGACGGGTTAAGGCAGGAACGAAAGGAAAATGTGTTTATGTACAAAATCAACGCAAGGTGCTTCTTTGTAGCCATACAGTATTCACAATAAATGTTCAAAATTGCGACCACCAGCAGTAATACATGCTTAGTAACGTCGCAGAAGGGATTGATGAACATTTTGAAAAACGACAGGCATTTCGCCCACGCTTGCAGCCGCAATGGCTAGTCGTGCAACGAGGTCCTCCAGTGAGTCAATGGGAGTCTCGTAAACGTTGCTCTGCAGATGGCCCCATAAAAAAATCCAAGCTAGATAAATACGGCGAACGGGGTGGCCATCGAACGGGTCCACCGCTGCCAATACATCGGCCCGAAAATGTCCCATCCAAGTAATTGCGGACCCGCACATGGTTATGGGCTGGTGCACTACCATGCTGGAACCACATGCGACAGCCGGCACATCCTGCAGCAATTTCGGTAGCACCTCTTGCAGAAAAATATGATAAAACAAGCCATTTGTACGTGCAGGTAAGAGGTATGGGCTTATGAGGTCGTCATTAACAATACCAGCCCACACATTCACGGAGAAGCGGATTGGGAATGCATGTGGACGTGCGCCGTGTGGATTATGAGTTGCCCACACGTGCATGTTATGGCTATTGAAGATGCCGTCCTGTGAAAAGGTTGCCTCGTCCGTGAATAGCACATTCGATGGAAAATCCGCCTGCGCCGCACACTGCTGCAAGAACCAATGACAGATGAACTCGAAGAGGTAATCTGTCTCTTGCAAGGCTTGGACTCTCTGCAAATGGTACATGGATGCAAACCATTTTCATACAGTACTCTCCAAATGGTGGAATGACTCAGCTGCAGATGACGTGCAATAGCTCTTGTACTTGTCTGAGGTGATTCATGCACAATGTTCGAGATGGATTCTTCAATGCCGAGTTGTCGTGCACTTCTTCTACTCCTAGTGTCAGAGGGGGCTTCAAATGACCCGTTTTCACACAGAGACCAATGCAATGTCTCGAACATTGTGTGCTTCGGCATACGCCTGTTCGGAAACCGTTCCTGGTACAACCGTAGCGCTGCTCTGCCGTTCCCATTAGCAGCACCATGCATGAGATGCATGTCAGCTGTGCGTAAACTCACCCATCACGCTCAACATCAGGAGTTGCGAATGATCCCCTGATGCATCGGATCGTGGTTTGTCCGGCTCACTACCGCCCTCTACCGCTGCATTGCCAGCCAATCACAGCTGTAGTTCCTACTGCTGTTAGCGTTCCCTTTTTTTTTTGAACATTTATTGTGAATATTGTATTGCTGCAAAGAAGCACTTTGCGTTGATTTTGTACATAAACACATTTTCCTCTCAGGTTTTTTTTTTCGTTCCTGCCTTAACCCGTCACTTTAAATCCTACATTCCTATACAAAAAACACATGTTTTACTACGCTCCACTACCCCTCCAAGTTTGTCCCATGATCTATGAAACACCCTGTATTTTTCAAAAATATTCATCTAAAATTTCAAGAGTCTATTATTTACGTATTACGCGCTCCGCCCTTAAGCACTACCCAGAGAGGAAGGGATGCCCCGTGAAGGTCTTTTTAAGGAAAATTGGCTCATATCCACATTACACATGGGGCAAACCACGAAAACGCCCATGCGGCCAGTCCGTTCGCCGGGATTCGAACCCCAGACCGAACTACCAGTGTTCAAATGCTTTGACCGCTCGGCTGCTGGTGGGCTTCAAGAGCCTATGGTATGTCAAAATCCAATTTCACTGAAATGCATAGTTCGTAACTTTTGACGAACTTTCTGTTTTCGAAGTAAAAAGATATTATTATGACATTATTATGACATAGAAGAAAAGCTTTCTCTCTTGACGGATGGCTAGTTGTCAGTGCTAGCGAAAATATAGCTGAGTTATATGCATCAGAACGCAAAAATAACTGAAATATATTTTCGTGGTAAAAGAGAAACACCATTTGCAGTAGTTTTTAAAGATGAACTTCAGTAATCATGTTTTTAATATTATTTCAATGTATTTTAAATATTTCCATTTTCTTTCTAGTATTTTAAATTATGTACCCGTACAGTTATTATCTTGCTCTCAGTCACAAGTTCTAATAGCCGGATAAATAAATGAAACATGCACTTAAATTATATGGTTTGTTAAAGTATTTAAAAGTATATGTAAATTTTGGCTTTCCTTCGTCCGTCAAAAGTGGTAAAGAAAACTTATTATGTAAGTTTATTGAGTAAACAATTAATCAACTGCAACTGCCATCTGTTTTCTTCACGTGCCTTTACCCATAGCAACGAAAGCATTCAAACAAATAATTACGTGTGCGAAACTCATTGCGTGATAACATTTTTCAATGTCCACTCTAACAATGGCAAAAAATGTTGAAAAAGAATGGAAATGGAAAATCATCGAATCAAAAATCAAATGGAATCATGAAATCAAAAAATGGAATCAGAAGAGCACATGTTTTAAATCGAAAAAAAAATCACTAACTTTTTCGTCCTCTATATAAGTATCAGTTCTGATACCCAGTATCCTGTGTAGAAAAAGAAATCTTAAAGTCCCTAAGACCTTAGAGTTGAATCTGGAGAGTGAATTTATAATGATTTATAATGACTAAATGACTAGCTAGAATATCCCGTATTTCCCCGGCTTTACGCAGCGTGATTTGTTTTAGGTGTTGAGGGTAATTTTTTGAAATCTCACATAGAGAATAATTTTAGTCTTATTTTGATTTAAGGTAAATTGTGCAAATTTTTTCCCAACTCGAATAAAACTGAAGAGCAGTATCTAACTTACACGGTTTTAGTGAGAAGTAGTATTTGCTTTGTCATTGAATACGTCTTTTTTTCTTCTTCTGGAAATTAGCTTTCGGAAAATCACCATTCACCATATTTCTTCACTGTTCGCGAAAAACTGATACAAAGACATAGCGCACTAAAATTTTGCTTTCAAGGTTCTGCACTGTCCAAAAGAGTAAGCAAGCACAACACCATCTAACGGTTTTAGGAAGACCTAATGGCAAGAACGCGAAAACGGAGAGGTTATTTCAAAATTGAAATTGAGCAGAAATATTAATATTTATTTTTATAGAAAACAATTACAACTTCCTTTCGTAGCGTGTATGACTTCCACTGACAACTAAGATGCATAACGTAAGGGCAGTGCTCTAATATAAACGCCCTAAGTGTGGTGGACCCCGTGGAAGGTTTCTCGAAATCTGTAGACGCTCTCAAAATCTGTAGTTCTGAAGATCAGGTGAACAAAATTTCATCGAGATCGGAACTTTATATGTAGAATTTGTGTGTAATTTTTCTGAAGCATGGAAATATGAAATCAAGTGTTAGGCACTCGCTAGAATTCGAATTCCGGAACCTCCCGCTTGTTAGCTGGACCTGCTTCTTATTACAACACGAAGGCTTGCGGTAAGAAGGGAGGAAATACCTTACATTCATCCCCCTGTTCGAGCACTATTTGTGCAGTCTATTTATAATTTTTTTAAGCCTGGCAACATAAAATCAATTACCATCCATGCCCTAACCGGGATTTGAACTCGAGACCTCGATTACTACCCGGACTTGCTTCAAATCTCACCGCGATAAGGAGAGAAGCACGCGGTAAGGAGAGAAGAATTACCTTACAGATATATTAAAAAAACTGGATGAGTTAAAGGCACTGCTTAGTTCTGAGTTAAAGGCTGAATGGGTTCACAAACGTTCTATCTCTTTTACGGGACGTGAGTCACTTCGTTTCCTCTTCATGAGCGCTTCATCAAATGGGATGCCAAAAACGACAAGATTGCTTTGATTCTTAGTTTCTGAGTAACTAAATACCTAGTAAAAAACGCTTCTGGTAATAAACCGTATAGGCATGTATGAAGATTGCAGGCATGAAGACTTTGAATGTTATTAAACTTAAATTCAGCATAATAGTATCTTCAACATAAACAGTCACCTAGTTTTAGACGGAATGGAATCAAATATTTTTTCAAGAGAAGTATGTAAATCATTGTAAATTGCGGATTTTCAGGGGTGAAAGATTTTACAAAATGGAGAGGTCTTTTCGTTAATTATAATTATTAAGTTAAGAATCTGCGAGAATAGTGGACTCTCAATCTTATATTAGTAACGCCTGTTGCATAAACTATTGGAATTCACGCACCATTTAACTAATTGCTTAATAATGTAAATTAAATTATCAAAATTATTCAGTTAATTTTGAGTTTATTATCAGATTTTAAATTTTACGGTGTAATATAAATATGCTAACAAAATTAATTTTAAGCAACGTGGACAACGTTGCTTAATATTCATATTTAATTTAAAAACTAAAAATTTTTAAATTAGTAGAATCATTAGGTTATGTAGATGCCGGAACGTGAAAAATGTGCATTTCGAACTAGGAATCTCCCGACTACGTGTCGCGCGTACTTCAAGTTACGCCGTCGAAGCAGGCTGAAAAGATGCAGACGACGCAGATGAAGACGAAGCAGGCTGAAAGGATGGAGAAAATATTTTATACATTATTAACGAATACAAGCTCTAAAAACTATTAAATCGTTTTTGTTTTATTTACATATTATATTTTACATTATCATAATATTTTACTTTCTTGAAAGGAGATATTAATATGAAAATAAGGCGTAATTTCGTTAGAGTTAAATATTAAATATCCCATTGCTATAAGCGACTTTTTTCTTTACAGCTTGAACCTAATGTTCCTCTGCCGAGTCCAAATGATCTAAAAAGAAAGATCATCATTAAAAACAAGAGGTTACGACCAGAAGTAGAAAAACGTAAGTCACATTTATTTAAATTCAAACCAAAAAATTATCACTTGTTTAAAATGAATATGATACAAGAATTTCAGACATATAATGTATTCCTTCGTAATGGTCCTCAAAGTTTTAATTAATAATCTTCAATATTATTTACTTTAACAATTATGAGAGACTAGTTAAATTTAAGTATGTATTCTTCTAACACCAATCGAGCCGCCCTGTTCAAATAATAACACAGTTCAAATAGGAACACAGTTCCTCTGCAAAGGAAAGCTTTTACAAAACCATGTTAAAGTTAAAAATACGAAAAATTATAAAATGCAAAACACTGGCTTGCGATGTAAACCAAAATTTCTATAAAATTCAAGATGTGTTTAAAGTAAATTTACTAATTCTAAATAAATGGGAAGATACGTATGAAAATGATAATTATACAAAGACAAGAGACAAGACTACTTTTAAGCAGAATATTTTATTGCAACTAAATTAGATATACACTTTTATTTCTTTAATTTTTACATCTAATTAAATTTAATAATTCTATGTGAGTAGAAATATGAATAGAGGATTTTTGCGTGTACTAAATTTGTAGGAAATAATATCCATTGGTAAACAACCCAAGAAATTCATTACCTGGTTCCAGGTAACAAGTTTTCCCGCCTAGTCATCTGCAAAGATTTTGTCACCATCTGATCTATCATGTCATTTACTGCTTCTTTTACATGAAAGAATATTAGGAATATAAGTGACAGAAGTAATAAAAAATTATCCAAAGAAACAGAAATTCGAACCCTCGAATCCCATAAATCTTTAAAAACATTTTTAAACGGAAATTCAAAATCGTCATGCTTTTGTCGTTATTCGAATCTTCCAAATACTAACCTGAGAAACCGTTAAGCGCATTAATTCAAAACTTAAAAAAAATTAGTATAAACAATAACTAAATCACAAATGTCATTGCTTCAATTTCAGTGATGCCTGTATCACCAATATCACTCTTGTGATGTCTGTGAGTGCCACACTGCAAGTATGCTTTTAATGAACATTTATAACAAACAAGTATTTGACTTTTCTTTATTTTCTCTAAAACTCAAAGAAATGTTTAAATTAAAAAAGTTAAATAATAAATAAATAAATATTTGTATTTACAGTAATTCTTAAAATAATTTCCTTCTGCTATATTTGTGTTTAATTTTAAAGAAGATTAGTAATTGTGAAAAATGTTCATTGTTTCGCAAATAATTTTTTTAAAAATATGTTGCAAAATGGAGCTGAAGTTTCAAGTTTCAATAATGTTCTTCATTTACTTCAGTCATATCTTCTTAATAAATACAGATGTACCTTAAAACGTATTGTTAATTTATTTTTATCAAAAGCAGATATCAAATTTTACTTTAATTAAAAACTTCTCTTTTAACTTTAGTAACATAAAACATTAAAAACTCTAGTTCTCTGTAACACAGAACAAACGTTTAAGTTCTAGTAATTTTCTCGCCTGTGTTTGAGTATGCGCAATACATTAATATAGAAGTTACTATTAATACTTTCCTTTTATAAAAGTGGATATTTACCTTTGAAATTTTACCTCAGTTTATAGTATTTGGTTCTTGGTTTCCAGAAAAGTAGTTTCTCTCTTTTGAAAACAATGGTAGGATTTGAAATTCTTTTGGAATACATAATCCCAAATCCTGACGGTTTGAAATATTTATTTCAATTTCGAAATGCTCAAAAATAGTTATCATGTAATAGATCAGTATATTACAAAGAAAAGTGAACGAAAATATATAATTAGTTTAGAAGATAAGTTAGGATGTAAATGAATAAGTTTAGGGCATGTTAGAAATTTATTACTAGTTTATTACACTTACCTCTGACCATGAAACTCGTTACTAAGTTATTTATTTCAATTTAAAAATTTTCCAGGATTTTACAGCTTTTTGGAGAATTTTACAGCATTTTTACACCTTTTACAAGCAACGAAATATCGATTAATTCACAGTAAGCTGTAAATTATACAGAATTTTATTAGTTATTGTTAATCCCACCTAAATTTAGAACTTCAATCAAAGGAGAATCTTAAATATTGCTGTATATAGTTTTCTAGCTCTTTACCTTATAATAAAAATATATTGTAAAAGTTATGTCATTTATATAAAGTTATATGATTTTCATTATTTATATAAAATAATATTTTTATATGCAGCCTAAAATTAGAACTTCAAATGGAATATCGTGAATACTACTTTACATTATTTTCAGAGGCTTAAGCTTAATAAAGATGAGAGAAAGTCTAATTTTACGACACATAAAATGAATATGAGTAATACGAGTATGAATCCTCATCATAAAACCAATATTATGAGTTAGAATATTCGTATTTATTTGTCGGTTTTAAAATTGATAAAACATATGATATAGTACTTAATATTGTACAAACACAAAAAAATGTAAGTTATTGAAAAGTTGTCTTTTTCTAATTTAGAGGAACTCGAACTGTGGAGGAAAGGTCAGCTGCAGAATGATGATGATGATGATGATAAAGAAGATGCTGCCCCAGACCTCACGCTCATCACAGATGAAATTGTCCAGGATGGAGGTACATTTTTCTTCTATTTTGAACTAATCATTTTATTTGCAAAACGATATGAAATATGGATTACAAAGAAATTTTAAAAAATTATCCTTAATCAATAAAGGTTTTATCTCAAGTATTACTTCATCGCACAGAAAAGCTGCAATTTAGCGTTGATTGGATAAATATGTTTGGAGAATGAGCTCTTATTTAGAAAATTGTTCTTGTGATTTTCGTCAGTGGTTCAAAAAATAAGAATTACTCGTAATTCTACGCAGACTTTTGACGCAAAATGAGAAGTAGCGTTTTTAAATTCGCTACTTCGATTTAAATCTTAGAGCGACGCTATAAAGCCATTTACCAAAAAGATAGAATAGCATGTTTTATAGCAGTTTTTATGTTATTTTAAAATAGCTGATTACATAACTTGTTTACATAAATAAATTAAAAACATTTTAGGTCTTTTTTTATAATTTTTATTTATGAAGTAAAATTACCTGTATTTAAGTTACTTTTTTTTTATTTAAATAAGCTTTATTTCTACTATTCTGAATTTAAAAGGTATATAAATAAAAATAACATCTTTGAAATCCAGTTAATTGATATATTTTTTTATTTCAAAGAATTACTTTATATGATGTTTTACACATTTAATAAATTGTTCAATTATTCCTTTTCAAAAACAAATTTCTATGTTGAAATTACTTTATTTAGTTCTGGAAGTAGCAGAATAACATCACGGCATGTTGTGGTTGATAGAAAGTGATTTTTGTTAATAAATTATACTAGAATTTGAGGCAAAAGTAATTAAAAATTAATAGTAAATTATTAAACAAATTTATTTTGGATGAAAGCAATATTTTATCAAATACAAAATTTTCCTTTTGATATGAAGCTATTCTGCATACTAATATAAAATATTACTTATTAAAATTATTTCTTATCTATATATTTACACCAGCTGTCAGTGAGTAATCTTAAAATATATAACTATAGTATAAATGCAAAATGTTAGTTTTGTTTAAATTTAGGAATCTACTTTATCTAGCTGCGAACCCAAATTTTTAATTTTTGTATTTTATATCGTATTAGATATTTATTGACTAATTTAATGTACTTTATTAATGAACTGTTTTTTACTGAGTTCTCAGACATCTTAGAGATATCAGGAAAAATTAATTTTGAATTTATTTTTTTCTTAAATTAAATTATTCTGACTACTATTTCTTTTAAATTTATTGATTCTTTCTATTTATGCACGGATAAAACTCATTGTTTTCTTGTCGTTCTCTATTTCATATACTTTTATCATGTATAACAGAATATTATGGTGTATGTTTTCCTCGTTTCTTTCTATATACCTCATACCCTTGTACATTATACTGTTTGTCGTAAAGCAAGCAGAATTACTAAAAGTTTTGTTTGCGATAATTAAACTTCACCATAGTTTATATTATGTTAGACTGATATAGATTTATAGCAGAAAATATAATATTATGTAATACATATAGTAATTATAATAATATTTATTTATATACATATAGTGATATATTTTTATGTAGCGATAATATTTTACTCTTTATAATGTAACAAGCGTGTTTAACACGCGAAAAATATTGTTCTTCTCCATAAATGATAAGCACTTAATTTTAAATTCTAGATATATCATTTAAAAATTATTAGTCATAAAATCTTATCTAGATTAAAAGTAATAGGCGATAAAATCTAATTTTTAAACTTCAGCAGCATATATTAAATTACAAGTTTTCGATAACAAATAATATTATTTCGTTTAACGCATTAATATTCTTATCATTATTAAATTTACAATATGTTTCATGGAGTACTAAATGATTGTTATTTGCTTTTATTAATGCTAAAATGTAAGCATTTTAATTTTTTCCTCCAAACTTATTACTTATGAAAAGAGGAACAGGCATTTTTACACATCCTTTCCCTTTGTATTTCATTATTCATTTTTGATGATTTTTGTATAATCCTACCTTTATTTAAGATTCTTTTGAGTTGCCGAGTTTGGATTGTGTCATAATGATTATTTTCCGTGCATTAATTTCATTTATTTCAGTCGTGATCCACTTGTGATGCTCCTGTGTTCTTTTATGTGATTTTTTATATAACTTTTTTGTTGCACTGCAGTTCCTCTGGAATTTTCTCGGAAACTTTCAACTGCTGAACACGGTGAGATATTTAAGGAATAATAATTAAATTTGGTGTTGTATCAGTTCAAAAATGAATATTTTTATAAAATAAGTAACCTTGACATGTAAAAAAAATGAATTCACATTCAAGCGTTTCTTATTACATGGTTAAGAATGGTTGTTGACATACTAGTATATTCTTAAAATTAAAATATTTTATAAAATTTCTTAAGATTTTAATTTTACTTAATACTTTTCCTTGAGATCGAATTATACTATAATTATGTAGGAATTCTTACAAGTTTTTGAATTTCTTCACTATAAATAATGTTATTTGATCTCAAGCAGAATTATAATGCACAAGTTTTGCATAAATGATTCTTATGAAATATGTTTCTGTACTATTTTAACCACCAATATCATAATGACAGCTAACATTCTTTTAAAATATACTTTAAAAACATTTATTTCTGTTATTCTTAAATAACATTTAATAGAAATTATAATGTATTTTTACTCATATTTATATTGTATGTAGCAAATAAAATAGCAAAAATATTAAAACTATAAAGTGTGTGTCTGATTAAATATATAACTTTTAATACTTCTCCAGATGATTCAAAAATGATTTCAGGTTTTTCAAATATATCACGATACACTATTACACTGAATATTTTTAAAGTGTAACTATCTGAATGAATTTGTCTCAGACTTTACTATGCTAGATGAATGAGCACATTGATTGAATTTGTGTATATAAATTGTTAGTAACCTGAAGTGATTTCGCAGAAGCCTTTTACATTTTTGAAAGCAGTAGACTACATTTGTTTATATAAGTTTACAGAAATTTATCATAACTTTTGTACAACTGGCTGTTAGTAAATAATTCACTTTAAAGTGACATATCATTTATGTATAAAATTTTATTAATAACTTATAGCTTTTTAATGGAAACAATTTTATACTTAGCATATACTATATGAAATTATATTACTGATATATATTTACCTAAAGCATTATTCCATTATATTTTGCTTATAATTAGCGTTTAAACTATAGAACTAGTGAAATAAATTTTCGCTAAATATAGTAATTGCTTGTTAAATAAAGTAATTATCATGCAAAAAAATGTCATTCATAACTACAGAGCTTTTGTTTTTCTTTTTTTTTTACAGAAAAGAAGGTAAGTTTCAATACTGGGAATCTATGTAATGGTGGTTCATCGTGCAGGGGATCTACGAAGTCCCCAGACATAAAGGTTATACGCAACCAAGCTTGTTATTTAAATTACTTATTAATTATTAATTTAATTATTGATTTTCTTCTGTTTAATTATTATTACCTATACATATCTTAGTTATTATTTCATTTTATGCGCATTTTATAGAAGATACACATTAAAAAGGTTTCACAAGAATAATGCAATAGTTTTCATTTCGAATACTGCCTCAATCATAAGAATAACATTTACCGTTATAAGCTTAATGTAAACGATAATTATATAAATTTGACATTTTCTGGGGTACAGTTTTATTTAAAACCAAAACAAGTTTACACAATTAAGTTTCTTTGTGGGATGGCTATCATAATTCGAAAGATGCTATGCTACATACATTTCGTTATTGTAGGTAATTTGCACGATAGTAGGAAACTGGATTCATGTGCTTAGAGAACTATTAATGTGTTGTTTCAAAGTAACTTGTAAAAAAGAAACAATAATTTATAAGATTATAAAGAAATTTATTATAAAAAATTGTATTGGCACGTAAATGTACATATAACGAGAAACCACTAGCAACTAAAAAAAAAAAAAAAAAAAAACTCCTTTCTCTTTCTATCTTTATTAAGGGGAATGTTAATTTAAAGAAATTTATTACAGATTAAAATTAATGGCAGTAAAGTAAACAAACCTTAATGCTTCACATGCGTAGTTAAAATGATGAAACTTCAAGTTTATCACCTGAAAATAAGACATTTGTAAAGATGTATTCGTAAAAATACAAAAGTGGTTTTAACTTTTATACCAAATTCACAACAATTAAAGGCGTTACATTAAAAATATTTCTGTGAGAAGAAAAGTATATTCTCACTAAAAAATTCCTAGATTGAAAGAATATAAATCCTTCAAATGAAAATGAATTTCCAAACATCCAGTCGAAATCTTGGAAACAATTGGAAAGGATGAGTTTAAAAACAATGCAAGCACAGATTTGATTTTTGCTTATTAAAGCACATCGCAGTTTACGAATATGAAAAATATATTAACACATGGCATATATCGATCTTATTAAAGCAATGAAATAAAACTATTGCATACACTTACTTTTAATATTCAAAACATTCTTCCTTCATTCTATTCAGTTTCTGGTATAATTACATTGCACGGATAGATGTGATATGCTTCAGTATTTACTTTAGTATTGCATTTATGTTTCCTTGAGATGCATGCATTTAATTGGATCCACTTTTTAAAAAGGTTGTCAATGCTTGTTCTTAGAGATTTTTGTACAAGTAGATAGATATATTCGTTCATAAAATGCATGCCATAAATCACAAAATCTTAATCAGCCTTTAAAATACTATTGCATGCATAAATTTTTAATTCTTCGAATACATACGATTCAATGCGTAGTCTGCACAGATCTTTAAAAGCAATGTTATTTACTGCATGGACTTTATTGATTCTTATCTATTACGTGGTATTGTATGCAATGTTTTATTAGTTCTAAAACAAATAACTGCATATGCCGTAATTTGAATTATCTAGTTGTAATAGCTGCATGAGTAGATTAAAATTATTTTTATGGATATGCTATTTATAACAGATAATAACAATTGTAAATTCTATGTAATGATAAAATCAGATTTTGTAAACCTGTTTATATGGTTATATATATGGCAATCAATTTTACGGCGTACACAAAATTTTTAATTCTAAAAATAAGCAATATTTCATACGTAAAGTTTAACACGTTTTAAATCAGTTGCTGGTCTTTGCATGATTTCAGAGGGGGGAGGGGAATTATTAAAAATTCTTGCTTTGAATAAATATTAATTCTTGCTTTGAAAAAATATTAATTCTTGCTTTGAAGTAAATTAATTCTTGCTTTGAGTACTTTATATGCACATATTTTATCAATTATTTAAGTAGACTAATTACAATTTATTACCAAGCACATTGCATGGTCAATTTTTTGCTTTTAAAACGTATATTTGTGCCCAAAGAAGGTATTTTGTATTCAAAAACGTTATTACATTATGAAAGAAAAATACGCTAATGTCAAATTAATCAACACTAGATTGTTATAGATTTTTTATAAAATTATATTTATTTCAAGGGCAATTAGAAATAGGACCCTCTATTGCCGAAGCCCAACCAGTGTCTAAGAAGACCACTCAATACAGGGAGTTTGACCTGGGTTCGAACCCAGGAAAAGAAGCTGACTGCATGGTGGTTTTTAATAATTGTCCCCATGTGCAATGTGAATACGAGCCAGGTTCTGCTAGAAAAATCCTATACGAAAGCATATAGCTGTCGTGTACTTTTCCATATTCAAATAACTTAACCTAACCTGATCTCTGTTTTTGATCATTCTTAAAAACAATAGAGATTTAGACTAGAAGAGAAACACGCTAATGTGACAATCAAAACCGTGAAAAACAACCTTATATTTAGCGTAGGTATAATGAAACACTCAATCGATTTCGAGGGCAGCTCTAGTTATAACGACGTGCAGTGCTGATAAGCACCACGTGTTTCTGTGATTCCTATTTTCTTCTTTCTATGTATTTCTTTCTCCTGATGAGGAGGGACCTTTAGCTGCCCTCGAAATCGATTGAGTGTTTCATTATACCTACGCTAAATATAAGGTTGTTTTTCACGGTTTTGATCAATAGAGATTTGTTCAAAATCTACACACCATCTAAGGTTAATATGTTGCCTAATTTTAAACAAGCATAAATTCTTGTATACACAGACAATAACTCTTAGTTTAGTTGTAAAAATGAACTCAGAAATTTAAGTTCGTATGAAACTGATACAAGTAATACGTAATTAATTTATATAAATTGTAAAACAATTTTTAACTTGTCAGAAGTAATTGCTATTGAAATTCTTAATATTTATAATTACATTAGCTAAAAATTTAAATAATTTAACTGAAGTTTAAATTTAATAGTGTTACTAAATGTGACTAGACTTTTTCAAGTTAAAGAAACAAAAGGAAAAAAATTAAGTCGAACTTATTTTATTTTTTAAAACAAAGTTGACATGTATTACATTTCTAGAAATTGTATTCTTGAATTTAATTATTGGCCATCTTTATAATTCTCAGACATTCGAAAAATTTGATTTTTTTCTTTTTATGCTCACATGTCATTTTACTAAAAGAATGTTTGTTTAAATCAGACATTTTTACTGATTCATTTTCCTTTCAAATTGCAGGAACCACCTCAGCTGGCAGAACAGATAGCGATCGCTAACTATAAATATACGGGTGCGACGGTTCACGTGCATCCTTATCTCTCTTCTCTTGTCAATTACGCACAACCCGTGAAGTTCCTAGGATTTGACGTTGCTGAAGGTGAGATTGTATATATTGTTACTTACAAATTCGGGTACTTTTCCGTTATACACATGCCACACTTTCTGGCGCCTGTGAAATAGAAACCATATACATGCCGTGACCCAATGACAGCACCTTCTGGGGGCCTATGTGTGTATGTGTCTGTGTGTGTAAACAAGAATAAATAAACTAACACATATACAATAGTATCTATAAAATGCATAACGGTAAAATACCAAAATTAGTTAAATACATCCTATTGTGCTAAATAATTTTACAGTAGCAACTACCTTGTTTCTGTTTTAGTGAAAAAATAATACATTCCCTTGCTGAAAAGTAAAGGAGCTATTCACTAGGAAATTGTTAGTGTGCTAATGTTTCTGGTCTAGATTAGGGTTATTTGAATTGTGACAAAGCACACCAGGTGCATCTAGCTAGATGAAAGTATAGTATCGCCGGGTACAATAAACAATAAGAATCAAATGAATTTATGATGAACCGAATTTCAGGAGAAAATTTGAATTTTTTTATTATAGTAGTAAAGAACACTAAGATGATCTCCCTAAAAGGAGGGATGATTTCATAGAATATAAAAAAAAAGACTCACATTCGTACTACGCATGCAGAAAACCACGAAAACTAACCATTCGTTGGGATTGGGAACTCAAATCAAACTTTCAGAGTTTGATGCAGGTAAAACCTCTGAAGCTATTGACTAGGATCTGTACTTAGGCAGTTTCGACTACGGGTGTATATAATCAGTCTTCACAGGACTAGAACCACCATTCATTTGGTGGATGGTTCAGACTCGGCAGGATCGTACTGGTACTGTCTTGTCTGCCCCTTGGCTGTAGATTAACTACATTGTTAGATTTTGTGGATATCCTTGGGGGGGTTTGGGCTCATTCAATCCTCTGCTTGGGGACTGGCAGAGTGGATGGAACACCCTTTTGAATATATTTGCTGCGACCGGAATGGTGACCGGGAGCACAGCTGTCATAGTTTTTAATTTTGTCTGAGTGTATAGTTCGGCCAACACTTTGTATAAAGCCCGGAGGGGACCGAGGGTTTGCGCCCGCTTGGATGGTCTCCGGAGTCTAGACGCTATACACTACGGGCTAGATTTCGTATCTGGTGTCCTGTTGACTTGTATATGTGTTTCATGGATGAATGGTTGCTAGAGCCTCAAGGAGGTGGGACGTCTACTTCAGGTTTCAGTTATGATTACAACTACACAAGTCACTAATTCGGTTAAGCAGTTAACTGTCTGAATAAACTCTAAAATAATTCTTGAAAGAACTGTAAGTACGTATATACAGTAATCTTATTAAATTTAAAGCGATTTAAAGCGAAGGGGGGAGACCTTTTTACTCCAGCGCGCGGACCTGTGTATCGGAAATTCTAAAGATAGGCTCATTTTAAAATTATTTTGCGACATTGCTATTGAACTAAATTTTATGTTTTAGGTGCAAAGAACGTGATATTTAATAAATAAAGTTAACACACAAAACGTTAAAAAAACGCCCCTTTGGACGTAATTTAAAATCTGAAACCTTTCAGAATTTTTTTAAGTCATTTTTGTTCAGAACATTACATAATTTAATTGTACTAAATTATGAATAAATAGACATTGTTACATCACATTCGCTAAAATAAATTGCAAATTTAGTAAAAATAAATCAAACGTATAGCCATTAAAACATTATTATTATTCATTAATTTATTATTATTAAAACATCATCATCATCATCATTATTATTTATTAAAACATTACTACTATTTAACATACATTATTCATCGAAATACAAGTGTAATATGTAAAAAAAGAAAGTTTCCTCCCCCCCTTTTTTTTTCTTACCTTTCTTTCTTCCCTCATCTTTTTTTGGCAATATTAATTTAGTTTAATGTAATCAAATGAACATATTTGCGAAATTAAATTGCTTGAATATACAGGTAAATTATTAGCATTACTGTTTGTTAACCATAACATGGGTTATTCCTCTTTCCTGTGGGGTTTTAATTATTTTTCGATTAATCGTGATTTTGCGTAAATCCTGAACGCTGTCCTTGGTATTACCAGAAGTCGATTGTTTTGTCATTATTGTGCTTACTGAATTCTTTCTTGTTCTGGGAGGATTTTGATTGGTCCATGAATTCATCATAACCAAGGGATTGTAAATGCCTGTCATTGGCCACCTTTGGCACCTTATAGATAGAAGTCCGAGTTTTGCCCAGTTTGCGTTCCAATTTTGACGTAAAATCCTCCAAGGTGCGGAAAAGGGATAGAAGTCCCTTCTTCTCCCACCATAAAACTTTCGACAGGACTTTCAGCTCAACAGTATTTTACGTGACCTCGTGCCGTAAAGACACTATTCACTGACAAGCATCCATGCCAACCGAGCATTCCAACCGGGGCCCAAAGCTACGGCAGTGGTTCCCCATGCCGAAAAGGTATGCATACTAGATTGTTCTTTCCTCGCCAAAAGAGTAAAACACATTGGATTGTTCTTTCCACATTTGTACAACTAGTTGCTCGCAGAAATTATATCACTTATATGTTGCATTTACAATACCTATAATATGTTTTAACTTCTAAATTTGAATGCAAATTATGCAAAGATTTAGACTTATTTTTAGCTGACTAATTTTGGTTTTTATTAACATTTTATTTTTTATTTATATATATGCTGGGATACTTTAATTGCTTTGAATATTAAATCTATTTGTTTTTCAGAGAAAAATCTACATTACAATATGTCTTCCTTTGCCGAGAACACTGCCCTGGGTTATTTGAAGTCACAAGCTATAGAATTCGTCAAGTATCCTTTAATTTATAAATACACGTTTTCAATGACATTATGAAAAGTTGAATCTTTACGGTCACCTGAGTAGTTTTGTTTTTTCATAGAAAAGACATCATAAAAAAATAATAAATGATTGCATGATATTTTGTCTGAAATGATAGCCTTCTTTTTCTTGGTCTTCTAGCAATAATTATCATATTTATTTTTATTTCTTTATTTAAGCAACCTAGCGTATCAAACTGTGTCAGTGGTATAATTAGCGAGCAGTAAGATAAGGTGTCCTTCTGCATTAGGATGGGCATCCCAACAACCATGAGAGTATAAAATTTCATGAAATGAGAGATTTGATTAAATTACAAGTAAACAATCAATGACTAGATTAACGTCTTCTTTTCTAAATCGAATATCTAAGAAGAAATAAAATTCTTGACTTTATAAAAGTTAAGCGAATTAATGGATACAATTTTACGTTTACTTGTTGCTGAGGTCGATTAAAGCGAGTTACTGTTTTTTTAACGATCATTGTTTTGTTCTTAGAATGCATTAAGACCTTTTATTTGATATCAGATTCAAATAAAGGTAGAATTTTATTATTTATCGATATTCGATTTAGCAAACTGCTTTTGCGTTTGTCAGTAAATAGATACTAATAACAAATAGCATGAGGAATATTGATCAAGAATCACTTAATAAGCATTAAAATGAATATAAATTTTGTACAATTTAATTTTAAGTAAAAATATGTTTGATATATGTACTTACACGTATTATATCTGACATACGTTCTGGTCATGACTGAAGTCAACTCTTGTAAAACGGTAACTTCTTAATTTAAGAGTTGGTTCGGTCATTTTCGTTTAACTACTTGCTGCCATGTTACTAATACTCGAACACGAATTTTGCATATGCTTTAGCTTTTACAAGGAAAAACAGTCGGTTATTTTTAACTCGAAAAAGACTTGCATTATCTTCTACATGTTGCCTAGCAACCATGTTTCGAGGATCTTCGAATTAATTTCAGGTAGTTTTAAGAAAGCTCTTGTCCGGTCACTATATGCGCTTCTCATTTTATAGCGTAGCCATGCAGTTTGAAAGTTAATTGAACGAGATCAAAAGATAATTCACTTATCATTTACATGATAAGACTTACAAAACAATGACTATAATGTTTAACCAAAATAAAATGGCAACAATATACAGAATTCTAAACGGATTTAAAAACATATTTAATTCATTCATTGACTTCTTTTTGAACCATAGGCACTCCGTAATTTATTATCATTGGCATTGGCATTGACTTCTATACAGTGAGATGAAGCGGACGTAATGCCGAATTTTGTAGCGAGAAAATCGCCCCATATTTCTAGAATCCTAAATGTTTATTGTCGAGTTTGCATTTAGTGATTAGTAGCATCCTTATATGAACGTGATAATAAACTGGAAAATTATATAGACTGTTCCGTCACTATCTACAGCTTTACAGCTCTGAATAGCTAGTTAGTAATCCAGAATGCTGAAATTGCTTATATTTATGAATCATTCTATTGCTTTTTTTTAACTGAAGACTGAAAATGGCAATTTTCGAAAATTTCCGTTTTTAATAAATGGTATTTTATGAAATTGGATAAAAGGAACAGTTGTTTCCTTTACTTCTTTCAGTGCTTCTTAAATATTGCGAGCATTTTGAAAACATTTAAAACATCTGTCTTCAGCAAAGGAAAATGTATGAAATGCTTTTTGGACCATGCATAATGAGCCCTTACGAAAAATTTAAATACGCGATATGCGATAGACAACATCTCGATCTATAAAAAAATTATCCCTAATACACCATTTTATAAACCAGCAATAATAATAAGAAGAAAAACAGCCTTCTTCTTATAGAAAAGGAGACCAAAATTGTGCGAAACTGAAAAACGTATAAGTAGTTAATATTATAAAACTCACAACAAACATTTCGTAACAGTTATAAAACCTGTAGCAGCTTGACCTGAAAAACATTAACGATTTGATTGCTTTTACCATAAAATTTAACACCAAGAATAACTTTCCTAAGACTCTCTTAGCCACTCTTTAAATTATATCTGCGTAAAGTTGTAATGAAACTGAGAACCGCTGGCTGATGAGCATGTACAATCCATTTATTCGTCACGCAACATATTGTGCCTGATGTAACTCTAGCGTGATAGTAGAGTTCTCATGGGGCTTTCATTCAAAGAAATATTTACAGCCCTCAGTAACAGAACTCTTCTGAGAAAGAAAATTCAGTACGAATCAGATTGCTTATATTTTTAATGATTTTGCTTGTTCCTTGTTTGGACTTGCAAAACAAATTAAAACGCATGTGTTCACTATATTTTGTTTTATTCAAGTGTTTTCCTTTTAAATTACAATATGGTTGCAAATATGTTTAATAAGAATGGTCATTTAGTCAGAATTACAGATCATTAATTACACTTAAATTCTTGAATTCTGTTTCAATACAATTGTCGACTCTCTTTAGCATCTGTAAACGGTTTGTTTGAAATATTCCTCCCTCTGGAATTATGTTAGAATACTAGGTAAGTAAGTCAAAATTTTAATATCGTTTATCGTATAAGCATTGTTTTCGGTTTAAATCAAGAATTCTCTTTACAACCAGTCAGTATTACTCTGAAAAAAATATGTATGTTTTTAGACGTATAGGTGTAAATGTCACCCCCTTCCAAAAAATAGATGCATATATCTTGGAAGTCATGTTGATTGGAATTTAAACTTATACAGAGTTTGAATCTTCGACTACTGTTTTATAGAACAGAGAAGATGTATTTTTTAGCCTTAACTCTGTGCAGTCTGACTAAACAGTGAACCTAGTTTAATTGCATTTAAATTGAAATATTTTCTCTTAGCATTCACTTTCACAATAAGGCGTTTGTTGTTGATTTGCTTTATTTACTGGTGACTGAATTATTTTCTTTTTTTCTGTGGAAAAATAGGAAACAATTTTTTAACTGTTGATAGATTCACAGTAAGAACCAATGGAATTAATTATGTTTTTTTAATAGAATTTACCTAAATAGAATTTTTTTTTATGTAACTTAGTTTGACTTTGAAACTTGTTTGACTTTGAAACTTTTTTGAATTAAAAGAACTAAAAATTATCTGTAATAAATGAGGCTTTATTTATTTATCTAAAAACTTGCAAACAATATTTACTGAGAAAGAATAGAAAAGATATTATTATAAAAAAATTCTACAAGAAGCTAAACCGGATGGATTATTGAAATTTGAACGGTAAACCCTGATCTTCATTTGAATAAATGCTCCACAAATGATATCATATTAAGAAAGATTTTCAATTACAACAAAAAATATTATTAAATAAAGCACAAATTTGTTTTACTTTGTGTACAGCAAAAAGTCATGACAAGAGTAAATTAATGGACTCCAAATTAATATAGATCAAACCTTTGAGCTTTGGCAAACGTTTGGACTGTGAAAATGTTTTCAACGCATAAAAAAAAGAAACACGGCTTCTCTAAATATCCTAAAAGATGTAAGTGCGTTTGCACGAAACGTTAGTACGATGCTGAAAGCTCTTTGTAAGCTTTCCAAATATTGATTTTTATTCAACCAACGTGAAAAACTAATATATAACAACACGAACGTTTTCTAGATATAATTCTGTTTTTAGATACATTAGAAATATTTTCTTAGATGTCAATGTATTTTTAATGCCAAAGGTAAAAGTGCATAATGTGTAGTAATAAATTTTGTTAATCTGTAATGTATTTAGTATATTTTTCATCTTTAAAATTTAAAAATTTTTATAATTGTGGAATTGGATAAAAAACACACCAGTCTCTTTCTTTCTTACTCTGAAGGCAATTAGAAAGTTTCCATGCAGTTGTTTATAAGCATATGTAGAGCTGCTGATATTAACATTTTACAGGAGATCCTGCATAAAAGTGAAGATTACATTATCTTATATTCCTATTTTAGGTTTGATTCTATAAGGATTGCAAAAGACTTTCGGGAGTTTTTATAGAATATATACGGAAGAGAAACGTGGTAATCTTAAATTATAAAAAATTAGATAAAACCTTAAATTGGAGTAAATTTTAAAAAAATTATATCTATTTTAATGCTGAACTAATTTAGGTTATTTCTCTCTCAGAATCAAACAGAAAATTGCAGAGAAGGTGCAGCAAAGAGCCAAATTGAATAAGGAAATGAATGAATGAACTGAGAAGTGATGAAATGAATATTCATTTCCCTACTTATTCGGCTGTTTGCTCTACCTGGACAACAAGAATGTTTTACTTCTGAAGAAGAGAGGCTTATAATTATCTGCATTCCAAATCGATAGAGTTTTATTTAAATTGTCTGCCAATTTAATGTGGTTGTTTTGCCTAATGGTATATTTTCGCTAACAGCTAGAATATACAATGCATTTGCCATTTAAGAAAACATTCCAGTGTCCTTTTTATGCTCATATCCAAATATGGCAAAATTCAGTTGGATTTTTAATACTTATTCTTGTAAATCAACTATATAACCATTATTTCGTTAACCTTTTGTAAGCTACAATAAACGACAACTCAGTCGTATCTATCCAAAAGGAACCAGAGCAGATTCTAGTAATTATCTTCCTCAAGTAAGTAATCATATGTATTATTTTATGCAATATTCCACATATCATTAATGATTATTATTTAATTCTTCTTTGATTCATTCTTGTGACTTAATGCTTAAGATCATACCATATGTGTAAACGTTCTCTTCTTCAAAATAGAAAAGTATTTTCCATAAAATAGTATATATAATGTCTACTTATTCTAATGTTTTCTGAATTTGAATTTATGACAGAAATTATTAATTTTTTTTTTATTTCTACCCTAATTTATTGCGTAAAAATGGAAAATAATCAATTACAACCATTTGTCTGATGCAAAGGAGCTGTGATTTATGATCGCAATTTTGAGATCTTAGGAAAATTCAATTAAATAACTTAATTTTATATCAACTAAAAAGAAAAGGTCAGTTTTAAAGAAAATAACAATTAATAACCGAAGGCTGACTTCTCTAGTCACATTTTTCAGTTGACTGAATACGTAAATAGGTCTATATCAACCATTCTTAAATTGTGGTCTAGTAATCTCCGAAAACTACATCTAAGGCTAATTTTTATTCATTATTACAAAACTGTACGAAACTAAGAGTGGTAATGGTTAGGGTTCAGCAAACTAGGAGGAGCTTCGAACTCTTTTATCTGCTGTTGGTCTAGATCAAAGGTGTGCAGTTTAAATCTTACGTAGAGCGTAAAATTACGCAAGAGAAATAGAAACTATATATTTGCAAGTAATTGTGCATCCATCTCTTTATGCAATCATACATAAGTACTACTGAGTAAAATATACTTTAAACCAAAGAAAGTTGACACACGTAAAAGGAGTTATCCGAAGGGGGACGAAATTCAGTAGATGTTTTGTATGAAAAGAAACGCTTAAAATTTTAAAGAAGCTAAATGATTTATTTAGAACATATACGTGGGCCAATACCTTATTTAATAAATCAATCAATAAAGCATTGGCCTAGACCTAGCCCCTAGGCAAACTGTTATCCTACTTGTCATTTACTCGAAGAGTTGGTGGATGACCTTTGGCTGGATTTCTTGAAACTTTTCGTGTTCAGTGAGATCTGCAACATCCTGTCATTATCGAAGGCGCTTGCTCATCAGTCCTCGAATGCACTCTGTTGAGAGAAATCTGTCGTTATAACAGGCCATGGAAGTGTTTGACAAACACAAAACAGTTAGTAGTAATGTTTCCTGCATATAACTGATCATTATCTTGTTGAAATGTAAGTCTAGGATGCCTCAAAAGGAAGAGCCTCACAGAAGGACGTAGAATACCATCGATGAACTGACCGCCGAGCTGTAAGAGTGCAACACATGCCAACGAAATGTGTTCGACTACCCAATGAAATTGCACCCCAGACCTGCTTTCGAGTTGTGCGAAAAGTGGCTCACAGGTCACTATGCCGCCGCCGTCTTGGATATCTCCAGACATGTCTTCGCTAGTCATTGTAGCTTATTTCAAAGTGGGACTCGTCACTAACAATTCTACTTTATTCCATATACTGCTCTAGTCTATAGATACCTACTCTATTCTATACTGAGATTCCAGGTTAAACGAGCCTCGCATCGCTGCACTGAATGTAAATGTCCAAGAAGATTTGACTTGATACACATGTTAACTTTGAATTCCGAAATAAACGCAAAACTAAAATTTTCAAGCAGTAAATAGAATTTCTTTCCAAAATCATCAATCTTTTTGGTTTTATGTAATTATTCTAATTCAAATGTTCAACATCTATTTGCTTCTCACATATACAGGAGAATTCTTATATAGAATTTAATTTACATGCGTGTTTGTTTCTAGTTTCATTATTCTAGTTTCATTATTTTCATAATTTCCATGTATATTTATTTGTAATTTTGTATTGAAGTACATCCTAAAATGTATTGCATGCATCTTAATACTACAAAATGTATTGGCATTTTATTTCGTGAAATCGCTTTTCTTTTATCGCCCTGTCAACAGATACATCATTTTGAAGAACCGGAACTGTTCCTCTTGAGAATAATATCTTTGAAAAAGAGAAACCACACCTCTCATCGAAAGATCGTTATATTTTCTTTCTTCGAAACTAATATTAATAGAAACTTAATTTTTCTATTCATCCGAATTGATGGCCACAGCTTATATTGTTATGTCATTTTACAATGAGTTTTAGCATTTTGAGATTTTCGGTGGAATAAATAATTATTTTGAAATAAAGTATTAATCTTGCTATTTAGTTTTACAATGGGTTCTACAGAAATAATTCTTTGAAACAGCATGGATGCTTAAATATAGCATGGCTGATCTAAATTTTTGAACTATTAATGTTTTTCTATTACATAAGTACAATTTTCTAAGCTATATTACTAGGTCGAATAGATAATTAGCAGATTTCAAGCTGCACTTTTTAAAAGATCATCAAATAGTCCGTTACACTATACAGAATTTTTAATGAGGTATTTTGTTAATACTTTTGCAAACTCATTATTGTAAAATCACATATTAAGCTTATAAATGTACATCAGTTTTAAAATTATTGAGTCATTTATAAGCTTAATGAAATTGTTAAATTGCTTATATTTAGGCAAGTTGATGGTTAAAAGTTATCCTTCTCTGAATACGGATCCGCATTTCTGGTTTCAGTGCCAAAGCCATCAAAACCCTTTTAACGTTTTTCAAGCGTGATGAAAACATACTGTTCCAAACACTACATTAGGAATTTTTGAAGTTTGCTTTCTCGCATAAAAAATATAACCTGCATGCAGTTAAATTACTGCTACTAACTTTTTGTTTATGTATAAATATAGATATTTTGGAATGCTGGATGCCAAATGGTGGCTCTGAACTTCCAAACATCGGATTTACCCATGCAGCTCAATCAAGGAAAATTTGAATACAATGGAGGCTGTGGGTGAGTTTATGAATGAAAGTTAATTTTACATCTTACTTAAATTTTACGAAGAAATTCTTATTTATTTTTGTAACACTGCCCATCCATTTTCCATAAATTCATCTGAAATCTTATTTCAGGTACCTTCTGAAGCCAGATTTCATGCGTCGTCCAGATAAAACGTTCGATCCGTTTGCGGAGTCTCCCGTAGATGGAGTGATTGCGGCACAGTGTTCGGTTCGGGTCATTTCAGGCCAGTTCCTCTCCGACAAGAAAGTCGGCACCTACGTCGAAGTGGACATGTACGGACTGCCCACCGACACCATTCGAAAAGAATTCCGCACCCGTCTCGTACCCTCCAACGGACTCAACCCCGTTTACAACGAAGAGCCCTTCGTCTTCAGAAAGGTATCCAGTTTTTTAAAAAACTACACAGAAGTATTCTCTGTATATTAAAATTTTATCGGGAACAAGAACATGTTTTGCAATATCGTGCAATGAGTGATTGAAGAATCGCCAATCATTTCTTCACTTACAATTTCTTCCGATAACAATATACTGTCATTTTCAAAATTCTATAATAGTACTATTGTTAAATTGGATTTTTTTAAATTTGAAAACACACAGATTCCCCATGCACCACATACTATGTACAACACGGGGCTTGCAGAAGTAAGTCAACTAAAACATTAAAAGTTACATGTGCATAAATAAAACGAACAAAAGCATACAGAGGCTGTTCACACATTTTTTAGACGATGTATATTGTATTCATAAAACTGAATTACATAAAATTCTTGTGTTTAAATGTTTATTTGACTTCTTTATTCTGAACTATCTTAGACACCGCAATTTCCAGGATAATATGCCGTGAAGTGGCAGAAGAGAAACTTCTATCCCATTCCTCCCGAACAGTTCCAGAGTCCTGTTAGGGTTTTGGGACAAACGGTGATTCATGCGTTTTTAGAAGTTGAAAGCACAAAATCCATAGTGCACATCGGAGACTTCGTAGGGATATTAGTGAAGGGGAAGGCCTTGTACAGTTTCTTGTCCATTCTTTCATAATCACAGTGGATTTTGTGTGTGACTGCTAGCTTTCCTGAGGAATCTCACAGATGGATGGCCTGTGGGTAAAGCGATGGATTTCATAAAAATATGGCGATAAATATGTTCTGATATATTTGAGTTATCTTGACATTTTTGCAATCTCTTATTTTAAATTTGCCATTTAAGAAAACCAGCAATTAGCATGAATCCTTAGAAAACTTCTTTCGTTTTTTGAACATGACTAATTTTTTTCTCCCCTTTTATGATAATAAATGATCTGTTTTGTTACATTATTAATACACATTATGATTCTATTGTGACAATGTTTTCCATTTTTCTGGATAAGTGTTCATATAGAATTCTGAGCGCGGCCGCGTGAGAGATATGCTTTGAAGAAAGCGAATGCATTTAGTTTTTCGCTTCTTATGATTTTAAATCAACGTTTATCATTTTGTTTACAGTGGACACAAGATTTTATGATTTTGCAACTGTCCGTTGACCGGGGATTTCTTTGAACATAAACGAGTACCTTTGCAATAGGCGAAGATGTCGTTTTTCCTTGGATACTGTTTGGAAATTTTGCCCCACTGAGCTCCAATTGAGTTTGTTTCCTTCTTGTGAGATCTTACTAGCGACGCTTTAGATTCACAAAACCATGACTCCACATCGTTTGGATACGGATGTAGCATATTCTCTTCGAAAAAGCGTATGGAGCCTCGAACACTGCTTTGTTAATACATTTGAATAAACAAAACTTTTAAGCACAGACGATAATTTGTTTTTAAAACATTACAATGCATTACTTCTTTTTCAGCAAACGCTTTTTCTACGCTTACCAAAATCGTCTAAAAATGGTCGAACGCAAGTTCACTGATCAATCACTCCGAACAATTTAAATCATTCTGCCAGCATAATCTAGGGCCATAATGTAAGCATGAGAAAATCAAATGTTCCACATCTAGGTACTCTTCTTGAACATTCAATAATGTTGATCTTAGTTAACGAAACAGGTACTTGCAAATTTAACGTTATAAGGTATTCTTTGCCTTCCTAGCAGCCTCGTGGTGTAGTGTCTGCACACTGGCCGGTATTCCAAGTCCACGGTTCGATGTCGGCGAAGGCGTTTGCTAATTTTTCATCTTCGCTCACAAAATCCGAGTCGCTACACCATGACAGATAAAACGAGAAACTTTTAAATTTATAGAGAGAAAGACGCGGAATGTGTCTTGTAAAATAAAGAAGACGTTTTGGTGCCTCAGCTTACAAGATAAATTTCCTCTTGAAGCTATGTGATATCAATGGGTAAATAAAGTATCTTTAGCGTAAAATCAGCTCTTTCATTTCCACAGAACCGTGCTGACCGCCATAAGCAAAGGATATCAATACTCTATTTTAGCGAATGCATTAATAGGTTCGATAACTAATTTTGCAGCTGTATCTGTCAAAGTGAGAAAAGAAAGAGAATAAAAATAGGTACCTGAGGATCTGTCCTTATCCTTGAGCCATTGACGATAAGATAATACACAAAAATCTGCTTGAAAAATGTGATCATTCGTATCGATGTCTAAAAAACACCTCAGAAGGCTTCAAAAAGAACAAATGCAAGGCCAACCTTGTTGTTCATCTTGCTGCCATCTGTAAAGAAAACCATACGAAAACTCATTTCAGTAGTCTCTTCATAATCGCAAAAATTTATGGGCTCTGAAGTAGCGGGAGGAAGTAGATCAGTGAAGGGGACAATTCTAATTATGCAGTTTTCCAAAGTATGAGTTGCCAATCACTCGAAAATATATATCTCTTCTAAAACCAAACGGTAGTTATGCTGTGAAAATGATACAAGGAATGTAAGGATTAGTACATGCATTTTTGCTGTCTTTGATTGTCTTTTCAATGTAAATTGTGAATAATTTAGAAGGCGTTTGCGAATATGAAAATAAATTTTTGTGAGTGCTTTCACCTCAGAACTAAAATGTAACTGCAATGAATGCATAATATATTTAAATGATTGAAAATTCTACTCTTAATGCTTTATAACCATGTGTTATAGAACCACGAAATCGACTACTTCAACAATTGCATAAATGTCACGACTGAATGTTCCCTTAGTTTCTCTTGATTGGTATCTAGACTTAGTTACGAAACTATATGAAAAAGTGCCGTAACTGTAGTCAATTATAGATTGAAAAACTAAAAATTGGAAAAGAGTCAATAACGACTTCTAAAATCTCAATGTAAAGTAACTTTTGCTTTCTTTGTTTTATTTTAAAATTTATTGGTCCTTCAGAATTAAATAAGTAATACATGGTATAACATTTTCTTTGTTCTTAGGTAGTTCTTCCAGATTTAGCAGTTATCCGAATTGCAGTGTATGACGAAAACAGCAAAATGTTAGGGCAGAGAATTCTTCCTCTTGATGGCCTGCAGGCAGGTAAAATACGCCTTTTGTAATCTTAAATTATATTGTAACACTTTGAAACCTGAGGAAAAAACTTGCCAGATTAAATTTAAAACATACTCTTAAGTTTGAATAAAATAATACTGCATTACTTCTAATGCATCAAACGAAGTAATAGCGCTATAATCGACTGAAGGATATTATGCATTTATATTTTTGTCACATTATGCATTCTCAAATTTAAACATCAGCTGTTCTGAAATATAGTCTACTTTAAATAAGCACAGTGCACACATTTTACTAGCATTCAACGGCTTTAATTAAATTAGTGTACCTAAATTTGTAAACGATATCAAAACATTTTTTGTCGCATAATCCTAGCACCTTCAGAATAATCCCAAAAGCAGGTATTTTTCAAATTTGAGCTTTTTACATGCAAATTTAACTTTATATTTTAAAATTAAATTAATAACTTAAATAAATTACTGTGTTTGATTTAAAATAATAAAACATACAGTAGCAAAGTTAAAAAAATTTATTACTTATTACCCATACACTGCTTGTATAAAGTGCTACACAAATTATTAAAATTTTATTGACCTTTAAATTAACTATTACTTAAACTATTTATTTGCTTGTCTTAAGTTTCATGCTCTTCGCTTAATTTTATAGAAAGAGAAGAGACTTTCCTCTTATTATTTTAAATATTCGAATAATTCCTACAAATAAATAAATAAATATTCTGTTGTAGGCTATCGGCATGTTTCTCTACGGACGGAGGGTAATTTTCACATGTCTCTTGCTATGCTGTTTATAAGTATTGAGCTCAAGATTTATGTTCCGGATGGTTTAGGTGGTAAGTAGGAATTACGAGTATTTTTAATTTTCCAGATGCGATGTTCATAAGCTTTTGCACTGCTTACAGTTTTTAAATCCCTATTAATGAAAAGATGTTCATGATTTTTCAATCTTGTTTGTAAAGTTTTACATTGTTTAGCTGAGATTCCAATACGTGGTTTGAGTTCGGGTTTTAAATTTTGGGTACCAGCAACTGAGGAAAGAACTTTTTCTAATTTAAATCTTTCTTATTAGTTATTCCAGTTCTTTAAGAGCAATATCCATTAACCAGTTGCCATTCTTATTTATCCTATAACAAAGCTCCCAATAAATACCTTGCACGTGAACAGTAAATCGATGAGAAATCATAGAATTAAAATTATTATAAGTGCTTTAAGTATACAGTCAATATGCATCAAAGATTAAGTAATATAAGTATCACTTATGTTTCGTTGATGATAATTTGTAATGAAAACATTTCTTTAAGTACAGGAATATTAAAAATAAAACACTAAATTTTAAAATTAGGAAAAAGAAGGTTGCTGTTTTGCGTAGTTTTAAAATTTACATTTGCTTGCTTAGCTCGAATTTGAAAACAAAAACTAATTTTAACTAAATTCTTGATACATGAAAATTCCTAATTCAAATTCAATAATTAAGCAACTTCTTATAGACAGCGATGTTCCTTACGTCTGCATTAAACATGTTATTACATTATTATTTACGTGTTATTCTTAGAATAAAACTGTTTCCTTTTTGAATTTGGAAATTCGAATTGGAATTTGCTTCCAATTCTGTGTTGTTTGTATTGACTGCTTTTGAGGTATGAAATAATTTATTATATTTGGAGTTTTAATAGCCAGAACTTTTCAGTCATTCTTAGTTAAAGGTATGCTATATTTTGTTAGTCTAATTTTTTTATAAAACTATTAAAATCTTAACTTGCTTTATTGTTTGTAGATTTGATGGACGCCTTATCTGATCCTCGGGCTTTCCTTTCTGCTCAGGAGAAAAGACTGGCTCAGATGCGAGCCATGGGCATTGAAGAAGCGGACATCCAGACCAAAGATCTTCAGCTAGGAGCTACCAATTCCATCACCAAGAAAGATGAAGATAAGAAAGGTTTATTTTAAAAAATTCTTTCTCATTTTCCGCCTCATTGATTAATCCGTTAGCAAAAGACTGGTTCTATTAGCCATAATATTTCCCTTGAGATCTCGGAGTTGAAGCAGCAAGTTTTGATTTGGAGACTTTTGACATTCTAGATGATTAAAATTTATTTTGAGTTTTATAATAAATTCCTCCTGGCGTGTTCCTGCTATTGTATCGAAAATTTTTAAAAAGTGTACTTTCAGACATTTCAAAAATGATATTAATAAAATGATAGAAGATGTTTTCATATAAAACTTAAGCATAAAATGAGCCGTATAGTACAAATTTATTAATAACTCTCCATTTTAAAGAAGAAATTGTGTTTGAGAAGTTAATTTGAAATATTGTCTTATTTTAATGTACATATGGGGTAAATGCTGACAATAAATTTTGCGGAAATATAATTTTCGAACATCCATTCACCTTAGTTGATATCGAAAGATGTGATATCCCTATTTTCTAGCCCACCATTCATAAGAAATGATTTTAAATATTCATAAAATAATTTAACTATTTTATGTAATTAAGTTTTAGATACCAATATGCAGTAACGCGCACATTCTTAAATATATATGCTTGAATGATACAAGTTAATCTTCAATTCGGGTTAAGTCCTGGATTCGAATCATGCTTCCAAATCGTTATATGCCACTAATCGTTAACTACTGATTTTGTACATTTGAAAAAAGATGCCATTGTTAATTATATATAGTTTCGCTCCCTAGAACGAAAGAAAAATTAAAATTCCGTTTGATAAAAATATAGCATTTGAATAGTTATAGAATATGATATTTTGAAATACGAAGTATTAGCACCTGCATCGCCTTGTTACGCTCTTTTGCAAAAAAAATCGAAGCACCAAGAAGCAGTTTCGCGATCGTGATGAAATTTGGTATGCAAAAACATCTTGATCAAACATGCAAATGATCAAAGTTTCAAGGCAACAGAAATTACGATCATAGCGCGCGTTTCTAGTGCGCAATTCACAGAGTATAAAACCAATAATGAGGCAGAATTTTTTTTTTTTTTTTTTTTTTTTTTTTTTGCTGCCTTTGTAATTCCGTAAAGAAAGATAAAAAAATGCATTCGGATATCGAAGACCTTACAGACAGCAAACGACTTCGAACGTTCGCATTGTAGGGTTGCGTGAAGCGGGTGTCATACGAGCAATAGGCGCCCTTCACCTACAGACACTATTGTGCAAAGACGTTGGCAGCAATTGTTGCTACAAGGAAATTGCCGACTAAATGAAGGCTTTGGAAGGCCAAGGATAAAAAATGTGAGGCATGATAGGATGATAGTTTGTCAGGCCCGAACCGCCCCAACGGTATCATTGTTGACTATTCAACGCAGTACAGCCACGTGTAAACCTCCCGTGGTACCGTCCACAATCTCACCCTTGTCTGAGGCGGGATTACGCTCACAGAGGCCTTTAAGACGTTTGCCTTTGACCGTACAACATAGGCGGAGTCGTCTGGAGTGGTGTCGAAACCGATCATCATGGCTGCCACCAGACTGGCATCGTACAGTGTTCAGCGATAAATCCCGCTTCACTCTTGAAGCAGATGACCACCTTGTTCGTGTCTGGAGAGGACGGGGCCAGCGGTTCCAATCAGCCATTGTTTGACAAAGGCATACAGCCATAACCTCTGGTGTGAGGGTGTGGGCGCTGTTTTTATGGAAGCATCTTAGTCACATCCGTGCATTTAAGCTCAACGACATGTTGGATAACATGCATTACATGGCACGTCATCCTGGGCCATTTTCAATAAGATAATGCAGGCCACATACGCTCGCATATCTCTGGACTATTGCGTTGCAGTTGATACTTTTCCTTGGCCGCAAGATCACCAGACTTTTCACCAACGAACCTGTCTGGGGCATGGGAGGCCGCCAGATTCGGCACTAAAATATCGTAAGATGTATAGCGACAACTGATGAATGCCTGCAGAATGTGTCGCAGGTGACATTGGAACCCTGCAATCCTGTCTCGACGAATTCAAGATGCATGGCCAGGGGTGGTTCGACAACGCTAATTTGAAACAATAGGTGATTGTGAGCCTGAAAGGGTACTATTTTGATTTAATCATTTATTATCTGGGATAAGCTATAACTATTCAATTTAATCAAAAACAACCACATCCTTCATGGTGCTTCGAGATTTTGCAAAAGAGTGTATATTACATTAACAATGATAACATTTAAGAAATTTAAAAAGTGACTAAACAAGAACTGTAGTATATTTCGTACAATTTCTATTTTCGTTAATAAATACCTAGACGTTCAACCTAAAACCTGAATATTTATAATACTTCAGAATTTCGAAATGCTTGTTATAATTCGTAGTGGTCGTAGTCGTTCTTTTAAAGGAGCTTTTTATACAACACAATTTTGAATACAGATATTCTTTGAAAAGTATTATGCTTACTATCCCCCCCCGTTTGTTCATTTATTACGTTTTTTTTTTTTTAATAAATCTCTTGATTCTGAACAATTTTATTGTGAAAAGTTTACTAATTCTTATTGAAGGACACTAATCTTAGTTTAAGAATCTATCTTAGTCAGAAGTTATGGAAGTTAATTGTGTGTTTTAAAAATTTAATACAGTAAACATATAATTTATAAATCTAATGTTTTAGTCTTTAATCACTCAATTTATTTTTGCAGATGATTTCAAAATTGAACCAATCACGGCTGAAACACTGAAAACAGAAAAAGCGTTTCTTAAACTCATTCGAAAACAGCAAAAAGAAGTGGATTCTCAGAAGAGGAAACAGCATAAAGAAAAAACTGTCATACAGAAACAACAATGCTCAGCAATTGATAAAGCTGTAAAAAATATTAAAAAGTAAGTAAAAAAAATGCAATTCGAAATCATGTTTAGCGTGTCAAAATTTATCCTTTACCATTTATTTTTCATATCAGTAAAGTTAATAAATAAAAAAAAGAAAGAAAATTGACGAAACTTTTCAGACCTCTAAATGAAAGTATTTTAGTTACGTTTTTTGTAATATAATGTTTACCTAAATATTCTTTCTATGTATTAATTTTAGTATTAATACATTTGTGTAATTTAATGCATCTCCTGGATTATGGACAAATATTTTAAATTATACATATAAAAATGAATCAATTAGTTTACAAAATTTACATGATTTTATTTTTATGCGCAGAGTAGCCGAAGAGTTTGTAAATTATTCTCTAAATTCTGTAGTATTTATTCTCAAATGTACTTGCATAGTTTGAGTTATAATTATGTAATATTTTTTTAATCGCGGTGTTACAGTTACAGTTAGAAAGTAATAATTGATATGTAGCGTTTTATCACATAATAGCTTTACTTAAAGGCAGAAGTTAACAATGATCACCGATAACTTCCAAAGACTTTCTCTCTTTTAAAATGAAGCGTTTGCGCCTAAATACAAGCACTAAATTGCATCCTGTTGGGCACTGACTAAAGTAGGAGCGAAAGTACACAGACAATAAAAGAAAATTGGTTTCGTTACATAAAAACTCTACAATCTTGGTTTATCTGTGCGAATTATTCTTGATAAGAAGAAGTTACTGAGAATAGCTGTAATCATTTTGCATAGTTAAGGGCATATTCAAGGAACATACTTGCAATTATGAAGGTGGCAGTAGAAGTGTAAAATAAAACTTGGTAATGAATGAAAGGATGGTGTATGCTATTTTCCATTATTGTAGTTGAGTCTTGATAATTTACCCGCAGGAAAATGAAATGGAAATTATTAGACATTAGGCATAGCATACAGTAACTATCCCATGTATAATAGGAAAGGAAACTTAAATGTGATTCTCGAACTGATACCAAAGTGAAGAAACTGGTTATCCAAATAAACTCCAATATCATTGTAATAGGTAAGCATATTCTGCAATTAATTGTTCATTAACAAAGTATGTATAAGTTAATAAGTATATTAATACAAAATTTTAAAACCTACATTTCAAGATAGTTGTATACCTTTCTTTGATTTGTCTTGTCATATGAACTTCCTGTTATTGCATTTTCTTTTTATTTCCTGTGAATTAAATTATTATCATGTTTTATTTCGAAGACGAGAAGGTGTTTTCCTGACTGAGCGAGTTCTTTCATTAAACAGCACTGATGATATGGCCAATGATCCACAAATCCGCGAGCTGGTGGTGGCTCAGATGAAGCAGTGGTCGGCCATGATGGAACGTCACAGGAGGGAAGAATGGGATCTGCTCAAGACCCACTTGATTCAACAAAGAGAAATTCTGCAAAGGCTCATGGAGATCGCTCAAGCATCGCAGATGAAGCAGCTCGAGGCCAAGTTTGAAAGGTTATCTATTTTCTATTTCACTTTCAACATTTAAATGAATTATGGCTTAAACTATTGCTTAATAAACTATTTGATGGCCGTTTTTAATTCGAAATCGTGTTTTGATAATGTGAATTATTCTGGATTGAAAAATGCCCTTTAATACGAGATTTCATGGACTATTAGGTTTTTCAAAGGCAGGCATTGTGCTAAATCAATTACTGCTTTAAGTGGATTCGAATCGCATATCTTCTACTCGCTAGTTGGGCATGCTAACCACTTTACATCATTAAAACCTTCACCATCGATCTTTCAGTTGCTAGCTGGATGTTCTAACTACTTACATCGCGAGAGTACGCATGGCGGATACAATAATTCCCCGTATTCTTCCCCACTAAAAGGACGACTGGGAAGAAGCACGTGACCTAAGTAAAGTACAGTCATTGCTTACCACACTTTTGATTCGGATGCCACTGTAAAGATTACTGGGTTTTCGAAGCTACGAAATATGATAATAGACTTTAACAGGAACTCGGAACCAGGATCTTTGTCTTGCTTTTGGACGTACTAACTACTTACACCACAAGAGTATGCAGAAGGGGATACAGTATATTTCTTACAAGGTTAGCATTTTATCTTAAATGTGACAAGATATTTTGTCAAAATTCTATTTGCTAAGCCTAAAATTTCCAAGATTATGGATCCTAGAATCTACATAACCAATTATATAATTTCCAAGACAATTATATCTAATTATCACAATTTTCAATAACTAAAAGAAACAGATTTATTTAGATATTTCAGTCTTAGTTTTTGCAAAATAATAATAATAATAATGTAAACAACACATTATCGTGAATAAGATAATCTCATAAAATAGTTATTATAATTTATTATTTTATTCTAATCAGTTTAAGATAGTTTATGTTCTTAATGATATTACTTCTGCTTATAAAAAATTATATCTTGAAATGATAAATGCGAATTAACTGTAACATAAATTCGCGGCGACAAAAACAAAAGTAAAACTGCTTACCTATGTTTTAGCTAACTGATGAAGAAATGTTCCGAAATAAAATGCAGTAAATGAGAATTCTAAGCGCAGTACAGGAAAAAAATGTAATTTTTGGCACCCATACAGCTCCAGAAGATCATAGATTATAATTATTTTTATTTACAACACGTACGGACGATACTCACTCCGTTAAGATATCTTTAATATTTAGATATGGTGTTCTAATACGTGGGGGCTTAACTTTTTATCAATTATTTCTCTATTAGAACTACAAATAGTCAAGCAACAGAAAGATTAGACTCCATGTAAATTATAAAAATCTGTATAAAGGCTTTTGTATTCTTGATTACCATAGTCTGCGATGTTTCTGATGCATGAAATTGGCGTGATGGCTAAAGATTCATAAAAGATTTAGTATTATAAGGAATACTCTGTAAGAAAGTGGATTCAAAATATAGGCCCCAAAGAATTTTATGCGGCTCGGAAAAACATTTCAGTTATGCATTTGTTGAAAATATAGTGTTGCAAAAATTTCAAAATTTTAATTATTTGAAGTTCAAATTTATATTAGTTCCATTTCCATTAAAAACGAACATGAATAACGCACCAGAAAATCAGCAAATAGAGTTGATTAATTTACAGTCTGACATAAATCTTATTCAAAGATTTGAATATATAGATTTTATTAATTTGCATTCGTACCTGTCTAAAAAAAGCTCAATTACGAATTTTTGCACTGAGAATAATCGTTTTGCTTGGGAATACATTTATATGCGAACAGCGTTTTTTCACAGTTGAAAACTGATGAGAAAATAATTCGATTGATTGATGAACAAGTATCTATAATTCGTGATGAAGGTAATTTCTTGTTTTCTCGCCAAGGCTGAAACCTTTATCAGAATTGAAACGCCCGCCATCAAGTATCAAGCTATAGTAAGAAATGAAGTTCATAATTATTTACATTCAAACACACGTATTTTTATTTATGTGTCAAAGAAAAATTTTAAATAAATAAGAGAAAGTAACTAGGTTTTCATTATTTGTTCTCAAGTTTTTTTCACGCTTGGAAAATTCCTCTGAAAATATAGAACATTTTCATAATTTGTTTATTTTTAGAGTAGGTTAAAATAAATTAATCAATCAAACATGTAAGAATTATTTGAAATAAATGCCAGTCTGAAAATTGAATATCTAGCTGTCAGTAAATTTGAATAACAAAGTGTAATCAAGAAAAGTGTCGTGTTACAGGTGCCAAACATTAGATTTAAGATGTAAAATAAAGTATAAATTTGAGTGTTTTCCTTATATGATATTATTATAGTTTATGTTATGTTTTTGATAAGCGAAATTTAAAGTTTATTTTAAATATTTTTATTTTGTTATTAAAAATTTTTAATTAAAAAAATTCCGCCCTGTCAGTTTGAGTTTGAACCCATTGTTATAAGGAATTAAGTATATTCCTTCCACGTGTTCCTGTAAGGCAGTAGTTTTCTTATACTGATATATCTGAAGATCCAGTTTTGATTCCCCACGAAGTAACTATACAATTAACGCATCATCCATGCATCCTACCCACTTTTGTGGCAAATTTTGATTCAGATGCTCTTTTTAAATGTTATACATAAATGTCTTTGTGGAAAGACAGACAGATAACTGTCTTACTGAGGGAGGTAATCATCACCCTTTACTATCAACTATAAAGTCAGCCAACTTTCCAGTATGCCAAAGTAAGCCCTCTTAAGCAATGCATAAATGTATGCTTTATGAATAAAGGTACATTGAGAGTTTGTTAAATACAAACCTAACGAATTTCCTTTACTTTAACGTAATAAAATTCGGTATTGGTCGTAGTTTATTTGCAGTGAATTTTAAAAATATTTCACGGTATTATGAATTACTATATAGTGTGTTATGTTATGTAGAAGTGAGGGGGCTACTTAATATTTACCCTAAGTAAGCAGGTATTAGCCCCACAAACTAACTAGAAAACTAACAACATTCTGGCATCATTTCCTCGAGTCGTGATGGAAAATGTGACTCCAGTGAGCACTATAAACTATATAGTATGTAGTATTCGATGCGAAATCGTACCTTGAACATAACGAAATGGATATGGGCAATAATACAAAAAGTTGTATGAGACAATTAAAAATCGCTTTTGAAATCCTCTTTAATCTAAGTTCAGTCAATCACTGATTCATTACGAGAAAACTTTATAGGTTTTGACTAGGTGTTGACGCTTCCGATATACTGTAAACATATTTGTCATGTTCTGGATATTCAAATATTGTCTAAAATGCCTTCAAGTACTTACTTGCTGAATTAGTTTTATTGATTTATTAACTATTAAAATCAAGAGTGGATTATTTATTCTTCTATATCTGACCTGAATTAATCAATAGCGTCAAACGTTTTGAGGAAAATAACTTTGCGCAATTAATTCGCAAACAAATGATAAAGTTCCACGTAATAATTAGCTTCTAATAACGTTGCATAATTAGTTCGCAAACAAATGAAAAGATTCCACATACTAATTATCTTCTAATGTATCTACGCTGTAAGAAAAATTTATTGCTGAGTGCAATTTCATTGGAGCTAAATCCAACTCAGTTAAAGCTTTGCTGTTAAGTCGGTCAACGTAGTAAAAGTTACTACGTAAGTTAGTGCTCGACATGGAAGTTGTATGTCTCCGACAAGAACAGAATAAAAGCTGCATCATTCACGAAAGTGTTGCAGAGGAAAATTTTCAAAGCCTTTCTAAGATATCCAAGTTGAGGGTCGAATTAATGCGAGCAATAATTTTGGTTCCCCCAAACGAAGTTTGTAGTACTACTTTATTATATTATTATTCGTTTGTTTGTAAATAATTTGTTAACAGCATAACAGCAGACATCTTTCCCATAACCTTCAGTGCCATCAGCGGTAAAAGTCTCTGAACACGGGTAGTTCGACCTGGGTTCGCATCCCTGCGAATGGGCTAGCTGCATGAGCGTTTTCGTGAACTTCCCCATGTCTAAAGCCAGTTTAAGAATTTCGAATCTTATGGTATGATGGTAGAATATAAATAAATGGTAGAATATAGGTAAAAGAACATATAATAGTTAATTAGTGATATTAAAAGAACTGTAGATATTATGTTCATAATGGAGGCACTGCTAATGATGATCTACAGTTTTGTATTTTTATAACTATTCTTTAATGTTTATGTTTTTAATGTTATGTTTTAATGTTGCTGCTACAGGGAAAACAAGGAAATGAAGGGAAAGCAAGCAAAGGTGTCAGTAGAAACTGCAAGAGAAGTAGCCAGTGATAAAACACTCCGAAATAAAGCCGAAAGAGAGAGGTAATGTTATAATTGTTATTTTCTATTTTGATTAGAAAGCAATTAATTTTTATCATGTTTCACGTATATTATTTGGATCTACTCCAGGTCCAGTTATTGCTTTTTTATTGAACAGAAATACTATATCATGTTATTTAAAATGGTATTCATATTTACTGGAATAAAAAACGAATACAGTTGAATACTTAACTTGAATTCTTGTTCATTCTGCTGTGGTTCAAATAATGGAATTTTTACTTTAATTTATCGGGTGAATATATGCATTATAATTGCTTAAATATCAACACTATTTTGCCCACACGGATGAATATATGCATCACATTTGCTTAAATATCAACAATATTTCGCCCACACTTTTTTCTTTCGTGTTCGGAATGAAACGTATTACTTGCTCTCAGAAAACAGTTAAAATTTTAAATACATTTATTTAATTAGTAAAAAATACATATATTCAATTTAAGTTCTCCATTGCCTAAGCTAGGTTTCTTACAGGGAATTTCTAGCGTTTCGTAATTCAAATTCCTTAAGTTTTCCTAAACACGGTTTAGAGTTGCAGCAGTTTCGCTATTTTTCATGATATTATTTGCGTGGATAAAATAATTTTTCTAATAAAATTCTTCTATAGCTAATAGTTGCAAAATTTTGATTTTTACGCTGTCATAAAGACCAAAAATATATCTTCGAAACGAAGATTTTTCCGAATTTCTTTCATTAGTTTGCAGAATTTCGGCGCTTTTTAAAATTTTATTCGATTTTCTTAGCATTGTAGAGACACTAACAATGATGCATTTTTAAATCCACCATTCTTAATAACTTTACGTTTGTTTAAATCAATTCTTCTTTTTTCGCAGACCATAATCATAAGTAATGTTGGGATTGGATATCTAAACCAAACAGAATTTTAATGAATTTAATACTAGCTTAGAAAGTACTTTCTATACACTAGCTTATAAAGTACAGCTTTTCATTTTCCGAGGTATCTTTATTGCTATTTCGTAGACTAGAAAATATGCATTTGTAGACTAGAAAGTATATAAAAATTTCTTAATTGCACGAATTTTATGAAATGCGCTAAAATTTTAAAAAATAGGTTTTAAGTGTCAAAATATCCTTGATCATATGCGACTAAACATAAAACCATCGGACTCCAGTATATGAACTATAGTAGGTAACTAACAGAATTTCAAAGAATAAAAGCAACAAAAGAGAAAAAGTCATATATAATCACATAGATGATTGATTATATTGAATTCGCTTCAATTTCTGTTTGACAATATTAGTTTAAAATATGCCATTGTTTTCAGCTCTCAGATTTTACTTTTATTCAAGTGATTAAAATATTATATAAGAGCTACTTTTTTGATATATTGACTAAAACCACGCAATTTAAAAATGGGCTTTGACACATTTTATTAAGCATTTTAAACCGCTTCTTGTAGACATCATCAGATATTACTTTCGCTGGTACATGTTCACGAATGATATATTTTGCTTTTGAAGCAGTATTTTCTTTTTCTTCTTCTTCTTTTATTTAAGAGGGAGTTAAGTTAGAAACGTACACATTGAAGTACTAATAGTATTAATTTAAGTATATCCGTTGTCTCCAAAGTGGGTCACGCGTACCTCAGATAGTACGCAAAGGGATGATCATATAGCACGAGTGATATATGATCATACATACAAGTAATCGTGAGTCTCACTTTGCGTACCCTCTGAGGTTCTCTCATTGGTTGCTGTGTCTTATTTCACTAGTATCTGGAGAGCTGGGCATCATAAATGTGCTGGCTCTAAAGGGCATAACCACGAAGATATTTTTTGTAGGAAGTAGATGAGAGGAAAGACATCTCTGAACATCCAAGAAGAAACTGCCATCTTCGTGAGAGTGCGCTTTAAAGCCGGGGCAAATACTACATATTATATATTTTATATTATACTATATGATATATTACATTATATATTATATTATAACTTATAATTATTTTCGTTTTAGGGGTAACGAATTAAAAAAAAAATAAGAGATCTGTGAAGTAGATGGATTTTCACCGGCTTCTACTTTTTGGCTTGCAATAAAAATTGAGGCATAAAATACCATAGTATTGTTATCAGGAAAATACTTGTACTAATAATAAAATAAATATTTATGTAAAAGTATTTGTAATTCTTGTTTAAAAAAAATCTGCTTTAAAAGAACCTAAAATCATAAGAAGGGGGGACTAAAGTATATTGAAGTCGATGGTAATGCGCGCTAGCTTATAGAAAGTTATGAGTCATTTCCAATCTAAATATTAAATAGATTCCTTTGATTACAAGATAAAGCTTTTTATATTATTCGTAATTAAATCAATGAGCGATTTTTTATGACTTGAGTAAATATTTTCCCCTCATGTGTACATTTCTTAACCTAGTTGCCAAACATAATTCAAAAGCAAAATTGCCCGCTCATATTTAAAAATCGGACTAACTCTTATAAGCGTATATTGTTACTACTTCTATAAGTGCTTTAAAAGTACTTAGAATAAGGCGCACACAAAATGAAAAATTTCACACACAGATTCTGAGTGGAGATAAAGTATATTGATATGAACCATATTCACATAAATGTACTAATATGACCGGATACGCCACCCTCAGAAGAAAGTCCAAGAGACGCAAAAGCACAGCTTGAACACAATAAAGAAAGCAGAGTAAACTAGCGATTTAATTAGGCGAAACTTAACAGTATAACAAAATTAGTAGACACACAATACGGCTTCCCAAGAGGTGTTCAAAATTTCGCCCATTGGGGAGGGATGCACGCCTGACATGGAGGCCGTATGAAATGCCTAACATTTTTAAAGACACTTAAAAGTTTCTCAGATATTAACAGGGACACGTCCCATTACCATTAAGCTGATCACAAATTGGAACTTCGCCAACTCAACGTTCGTAAAACGATCTATATTTTTATGTGACGTGGCAAGTTTTAACAAGGAAGGCTTATTTACCGATTTGGAGTGCTAACATATAGCATCACCAGTCCATTTCCCTTCATTGATTATGATTCATATCGATGATTTTACCTCTATCACTGTTTGTACGAAGTGTTTTGAGATACCCTATATGCATTCGCCTCAACAATAACAAAAAGTATGTAGGGAACTTGATGCAGCGGAATTAAATATTGAATGTAATATTTATAAAGTGTTTTCCTTATTTTTAGGAGATTGAGAGAAAAAAATAGCAACAATACCAAGAAGTTTATCGAAGAAAGGAAAACCGCAGCGTTAAAGCAAAGTAAAGAAAGAGAAAAGCTTAAGAAAGTTCACGAAAAACAACTTCAAGACCTCGCCAAAGAAACAGAATTAGTAAGTCCCGCTTTAAAGTTTTTATAGGAAACATTAAAAAAAATTAGGAGATATTTATGTGTGACTTTAAATGCGGAAATATTGTAATTTCATTTTTCTTTCAGGCGATAGAATCTTATAACAACGCTGAAGCAGAGTATAAGCTGGCTGCGAAGCTAGAGTGTTTTATATAAAACTGAAGAATGTAATGTGTCCAACTGCCAATCATTCCTTAACTTTTCGTCTGATTTTGAGCATTAGGTTTGCTTTCTGCGTGGAGCATGCGCTGAAAATTTGTGCCAAATGAACAAGTACTAGATTCCTTAAAGCATGCTAGTCACGAACTATTTTGTTTATTTAGTTACTTATATCTAAAATATGAAGAATATTTCATAAATATGATAAATAATATAACAATAAATCAGAATAAAGAATCTGAATAGTAAATTTTAAGAAATAATAGGTTTTACTGAAACTTGCATTTCATCTTATTTTGTTTAACATTATGTGGCATGAAACGATTCTGTGATATAATGCTTAGTTAAGATAAAATGTTAAGGAAAGTTTATAAACAAGTTAAACTGTAGACGTACTCTAAGAAATGTAATCTAAACATATTAGAATATTTAGATTTTAAGAGCATCAGATGGTATGAAAGATATGGAACTTGAAACTTGTGCTAACACATAAAATGGCGAGATTTCAAAAATATAAACACGATGGTAAATACGGTATTGTGTAAATAAATCTGTGATTCTGGGAAAATAATACATAATTTTTTACTGAATACAATGTATTTTAGCTTTCTCTACATATAGAGAGAAAACGTACAAAATTTTTCTACTTTCTTGTGTATTATTCATTGTTCTAACATATAATCATATTGTTAAACTGAATGTATAATCATACGTCATTTAAATAATTTGTTATTCGTGATGAATTCATGGAACACTGAGGCAAAATGCTGAAACATACGCGAAATTTCCAATGCACAGTTTATTCTATTAAGCTGTTGAATGAGAAGAGTTATTTAATGTCATTTGCTTCATAATTCGTTAAATCAACTAATGTTATTAAACACTTTTCTCAATCTGCTTGTCAATAATTATAAAGGGTCTCTTAACATTCATATGTCAATAAAAAATGGAGAATTGTTGGCAGAAAACAAAACATATACTAAATAAGTTTCATATCTTTCTATATTCTGACTTTGTTGTTACAGCTCAATCAAACCTTACTTTTTCTAGGTACGAAAAATATGCAGATTTGCGTTGTTTGATAAAAACTATTTTTTCATCATCATTAATGCTATTAAAAATTAATGATTACATGATTTATCTAAAAATACTCTTTAACTGCTAGCTGACGCTCGAGAAAAGAAAGCAATGAAAATAAATTATCTTTAACACTTAAGTATATTAATAATTGCTGAAAATTTAAATTATTAATTAGGTTATTACATATTATGCGTTTTATGATCTTAAATTATTAAATAATTTTAAAACTCAAATGTTTTCCTTAAAATTTGAAAGTTAACAGAATTCCTTTTTGCATGTAGTTACACAAGTCACTACTGATACATAATTAGAATTTTTGTAGCATTTAAGATATAATTATATGATGGTGCTACTACTGTTCATGTGCTAACAAAGATTACTTATTCATAATTTTATAATTATTTAATTTATTGTTTAAAATCTTGGTTCAACAACAATGTATACAGTTTCGCTCAGTTAACGAAGACTGTAATTAAATGTAATGCAATTTCCCACTCAGTTCAAAATGTGATTGTTAATTGAAATGAACGAGTTTTTACTCGTTATAATGATTATTTGATTCAGACATAGTAGTCTGAAAATATTGCCTGTTTTCCCTTTCAGAATATATATATTACTGTTCATCTTTCAAGCAGATAATGTAATCTGTAACTTTCCATAACACATAAAAAAATTAAAAAAATTAATTCATTTTGTAGAAACTGCCTTCGAACTAATTTCCTTGTATTTTTTCGTGTATTAGATTTCAAAAATCTGTTTAAATCTTATTTATTATTTGATAATAATAGTAATAAATTCAATTTATTTAATAAATTTTATTATTTCTAGCAATCAATGCATAAAACATTGTATTAAAATTGAAAGAATTTCAAAGCTTTAGTGTCAAATTTTCGAAGTCAAATATTCATTATCATGTAAATAAGCTAATTTAATACTGAAGAATATATACTATATATCATAGTTTATATACCTTGTTGTGTGAAATTTTTAAACAGTGATCAAATAATAGATATATATATATATATGTTTCACAAATTTTATACATCAGGTGTGTGACAGTATATATTATGGATGTTACAAAAGAATTAACACTATTGGGAGAGGATATACTATTATGAAGAAATTCGTGGATTGTTTACTTCACTTTCGCTTTTACGATTAAGCACATAATATGACATTTTTCATAAAACTCCTGAATAAATAGAATGAAGAAACCGGATCCAATCTTAAAGAGTTTAGAGGATTATATGCATTCGATGTTTTTCTCATCTCTTTAGCGCAGATGTTTAATCTCAAAATAATACTGCTGTCTTCAGACAAAGACATATGGTTATTTTAGCTGCTATAAAGTATGAAGCCGGAAATAAAATTTTTTCTTAATGTCAAAAAAAAAAAGGGAGAAGAAATTAAATATGTATGAACTTGTCTTTCTCATATATCAAGTATTTTAAAAGCACTTTACTTTCTTTAGAATATTTTACATGTATATATTGACTAAACTGTATATAGTTGATCAAAAGAATATATTGTAAATTAAGTTTTTATTTGTTTTATGTTCATTCATAAATGTAGTAAGCATATGGCTTATTAAAACCTGTGTTACTTGCGTTTCTACATTCTTATCAAAGTAATAGTGCATATGAATAAATTTTCATTTGCCCTTCAAGTTTTAAAAAAATATTAAATTGTTTTTATTAATTGGAATGTTTGTTCTTTTCAATCCTTATATACCATAACAACGCAAACATTATCATTATAAATTTTCTTAAAAGTTCCCAAATTTAGGCGATTACTTTCAGTAATAATTTAGCGATAGTTTTCAATTATAATTAACTGTAACTGAATCTCTGCCAGACAAATTTAAAAAAATTAATAAACTAAAATAGATTAGACTGTAGTACTAAGCATACCAATCAACATAATTCTGCTTAAGTATTTCTTCATTGAGGCAAAATATAAATAAATGTACAGCTTGGTATTTTAGAATTCTAGCAACGACAGCTCCCTCCTTCCAATAGTTGAGTGGCTCTGAAGTCTGACCGTTGATGATTTGATTAGAGCTCGAATCTCTCTAAACAAGATTGGTTGTTTTGGTGTTTTAGTGGTTTTCATGCATACTAGTACAAACATGATCTTTAATGCTTAGCTCAACTTCCAAATTCAAGTAGAAGGAACTGACGTCACTACATAAATTCTTTAAACAGCTCATTTAATAAATTGTTAATTTTTTTTTATCATTCAAAAACCGAATTGTAGAACTTCTTTAATATTCGGAATGATAGGATTTCGATGCTATTTAAAAACAGATGTTTCTTATAAAATTTATACAGCATTTATATAAATGTGGATATTTAGCCACATGATACTACGTTTTTTTTTAATCTTCTAAATAGAATCACATTAATGTTTAGAAATCAAGATATCTCATTTATCATTTCATGTCTCTATTTTATTTGTGACAGTACATATTATTTTTATTCTTTATTATATAATAAATATTTTTACTAAAAAATAAATTATTTCAGCAATGATTCTCTACAGTCTCATTTGTTAATTTTTCGGCTTCTCTTCAAATATTATCGATAAATTTTCACATTTATTAAAATTATTGAAAAACATATCTTTCACAAATTGCTAATAAGGAGTAATATATTTTTGTCGGCCTCTGTAAAGAAAGAATGTAAAATCTTTAATAATTGATTAATGCATTTTTGTTATATATAGTCTAATAATATTTTCCATGTTTTTAACGCAGATTAGAAAAAAATTAAACATTTTTCTCAATATGCAATGTAAAATTTAACACTTCTATCTTCGATTCTGATTTCGAAAAATTATGCTAGAGGCAAAACAGCTACTTCTCTATTTCTAGTCCTTCCCTTTAACGTTCCTGACTATCTGTGATGAAATCTATAAGATCGATGAACCAACACTGCCTCTAACTATTTAGAAAATGTTTACTGAATACTGGTTATGCCAGGTGCAGTTTCCTGCAAATCTACTGATTGCATGTGATCTTCCCTTGTATAATGTAAATGCGAAGCTTTTTCTATCAGAAAAAACACCCTGAGGATTGATCCTCACGTATATGCGCCGAGTGTGCTACCATTACACCACGAAGGCATGCTGGAAGGAGGGAAGAAATACCTCATATACTCACCCTTTTAAAGGGCTACTGAGGGTTAGGGGACCTATATCACAAAACCTGGTGGTAACGAATAACTGCCCGCCAGCTTTTAGTCCAGGTGCCACTCTAGAGTCATTAGGTTATCAGGTTCAGTGTTCCGCCTTACTTGCTTTGGGAACATTCAATGATCTGACTCGGAACAGGGAGCTTACTAAAGCTATGTTCAATAAATGTGGGAAGTAGACAAGATACACAGGAAGGGTATACGAAACCCTTTATTTTTCTCTCTTTACAATGATTTCCGGACTTCGGAATACAGAGACCAACCACTTGTGGTCTGAACGTAAGAATATAAAAATATTAACTAAAATTCTAACTAAACTAACTTTGGATTAATAAACAAGTTGCTACTTGAAGATTGGCCGTATATTAACAGAAAGGCCGTATGTAGTACAGAGAACTGTTAACACTAAGATACGTTTAAAATTATCAAGAGGATTAAACCTCTGGCCTTGAAGGCAACCAGCAACCGAGTAAAACTGCTAAGGCAAGCGGCCTGCTTCTACTAACTCCTTCCTCTCTCTTGCTTGGCAAAAAAGCCACAACTTAAGTACTTGGCGTTCGCAAGACAAATTTGCATAACTAAGTTAAAGCTTTTAATTCTGGCCGGAAGTAGAAAATAAGAAGTGATAGTAAAGATTTAAAATAAAATAAACGTTAGTAAAACTTAAGATCCTTACAAGGTTATTTAAAAACCGAAGACGTGAAAATTGTGTAGTGTCCTCGCCGTGGACTGAAACCTGGACCTCTCCAATACGCACCAAATGTGCTTCCAGTAACACCACGAAGGCTTGGCGGAAGGCGGGAGAAAATACCTTACAACTTAACGTTTTAGTCACTAAATAAAGTATAAATCTCTTATAGTTTTCTGGTGGTCTCGTGCATACTCACTGCTGCCATTTCAAAAAACATAAAAACTGCAATTTCTCTTTCAAATTTAATCAGTTTGTATCTGTTTAATCAAATGAAAGCAATAAACACAATAAAAACTTTAATAATTAAAATTTTATTTTTAATAATATATCTAACCAGCGTAAATTTAAACGCATTTAATGCATAATATTCAACTCGTAATTTTTATGAATATTTGCAACTTTGTTGTACTTAAAATAGAAGATGTTTCTAACGTCATATGTTATGCACCTGGTACAAAATCTGTATTTTAATTCCATTTTACGTTAATTATCTTTCATTAACTTTGATATTTTTTTTATCTTTCATTCTAAAGAAAGCTCATTTTGCTGGCCGTGAATTTAGTCAGTAAAAATTCAACATTTGAAAAGCTATCTTGGAGAATTATCTACAGTGCAGCGTCCGTTTTGAAAGGCTACCTGATTACTTTGCAGATTCTAAGCGCAAATCGTGTGAAAAGCGACAAAATGGCACAGCTTGCAGATTAAGGAACGTTTTATAAAGGAATATAGTGCCCAAAATCCAGCAAAGAAAAACAAATATTAGCTTAAAAATAATGCAGAAGCTATGAAAATTTACTATGAATGAGCTAATTTCATTTCTCAGCTAATAGCTCGAAAGAAAATATAAAAAAAAAAAAAAAAATTCTTTTCGTGCTTTTGAACAAAATTTTAATTTAAAAAATATAGAGTTCTTAAGTATCCGCATGACGTATTTAAACTGCTTGGCTGGTTGTTGAATTAATATATATATATATATATTAATTTCGCTAAGATAGAGAGTAATATATGATAGATGTTCGACAAGATGTAGCATCTCCCACATGCAATGCTGCCTTTCGGTTTCAGGTTTAGGTTGGTTTATTTTGTTTATGCTCACGAGAGCTATCTGTCTGAGAGAAGGATTGCCTTTGTGGAGGACTTTCTAAGAGGAATTGCCTCAAATCCACGAAAGCACTTAGACCAGGGGTGACCAACCTTTTTGGGAAGACTGCCACTATCTGAAAAAAAAAACGTTATGCGTGCCACTTTTTTTTTTTTTTTTTTTTTTTTTTTTTTTTTTTTTTTTTTTTTTTTTTTTTTTTTTTTTTTTGTTTTTTTTTTTTTTTTTTTTTTTTTTTTTTTTTTTTTTTTTTTTTTTTTTTTTTTTTTTTTTTTTTTTTCCAACTTTTTCAACATACTAAAAAATATAAAAAGCTGAAATTTTTTTATTTATAAGCTGATAATGGGATTTTTGTGCAAATAGTACATTTTTTATGTAAGTCTGAGTAGTGGACATTTAAAAAATAATATAAATAAAACAAACGTACAAACTAGAGTTTTATTGTTAGTAAATATTTTTAAAGGTTCAGTCAGTTAGGTTATGTATAAAATAAAAATGAATAATTTGAAACATCTAACTCTAAATTAGCAGTCAGTACTTAATTAAAGTGATTTTTGAAGATGTAGTTTTTATACCAAGTCATCTATATTAGAATTAGCTCTTGAAAATGCTAACAAAAGTAGGTGTTTTAGGTGCATATCAGTTAATTTTGATTTTATTATGTTCATAATATAAAACATTTGCCCGCAAATATATGTTGATACAAACTTACAACAATATCTGACAGCCAAATCGTGTAAATTTCAAAAATTGCTTGTTGGTACAAATTTCCAGAATTCAATATGATTTGGATCACTTGCAGATGAAATAAGTTTCTTTTATTTACTTTTTAGTGTAGTATGCTGCTGTAGGTCAATAATTTCGATTTGGATTTCAGTTAGGTTATAATTAATGTCTTTCAGAGAAATTGAATCATTTTATTTATTCTAATGACTTATATTTATTCTAATTCGATGGAGTTAATACAGATGATATTATTATTTTTTCAAATAAATCTTTTTTCAAATAAATTCTGTGGCACGCGTGCCACGGGTTGGTCATCCTTGTCTTACACTAATGACTTTGAAACTTTTTATTTCTTTTAATCAGTAATTCTCAACTGGCATCAAAAATCTAAATTTTATTTGTTCTATGATTTTTCTCTTTGAGAGACAGCAGTTTACAAGAGAAAAGGATTATGCATTTAGAGTATAGGGATGAACATGAAGAGGTTAAAGTAATTCTTCTGTAGCAAAACTTCTTTACAGTTTTCAGATAATATCCTGCTCTGTTTGTAAAAGGACTAAAAATGCAGCCGTATGCTGTAAAGAAAAAAATTAAATCCTTTATGCATATTCACATGTATAAGACATTTACAAGTGAAGCTTCAATACATATACCTTTTTGTCCACAAGTACTTTTATTTTAATGCAGTGAAATATTACCTTATTTTAATTACTTTTTCGAGCATTTAGTTTATGACTAAAGACAAACTCAACCTTCTCACAAACACACTTTTTATATTACTTTCATAACTTTAGTAGCATAAACTGGTACCAGTATGTATACAAGGCTGATCAATCAACTGAGCATGCGCTCTGCCCACTTTTAGATGCAATTTACATTAATAATCGGAAAACAGGCACGCAGCATTGCCCTGGACGTTAAATGAACCTTTGATTCGTCGTAGTAGTCTGATATCACTGTCTGGAATCTTGCAATTACCCAACCTCCATTCGCTTTATCTTCTGCTTAGCTATTTAGAGGCAAGATAAGTGCAAATTACCTTGGGAGGAGTGGCGTGGAAGAAATTTGAGAGGAGTGCCCTCAGGGATCCTATCTTAGACCGATTCTTTCGAATATGGATGCCAAAACTGTCTTCTTTCCATTCAATAATAAAGAGGAAGTCATGCTTATCGCTTACGCAGATGATTTTCTGCTCACTGTTTCAGACCGTAGTAACCTGGAAAGACAAACCCAAGAGTGTCTTGAATGTACTGGCTGACTGGAAGACAACCCATAACCATAACGTAGTAACCTGGAAAGACAAACCCAAGAGTGTCTTGAATGTACTGGCTGACTGGAAGACAACCCATAAGCCAAAGCTCTTAGTCCCCAAGACACAGGCATTTATCGCTAATCGAGGACCTCCGTTGTTTAAAAATCCATGTCTCAAAATCCTGGATTGTTCAGTTACATGTATCAAAGAACTCAAATACCTAGGAGTAGTCTCGAAGAACAGACTTTCTTGGCTAAATGTTTTATATGCAGCACCAATCTGCGGTAATACCTCTCACAATTACATATAGAGATCACTGCTCACACTAGAAAGACAACAGCGTACTACTTCGTAAGTAGCCGTGCAGATTATGGCAGGCTTGCCTCCACTAGATTATTAATCGAAAGAGAAATGGCTACATTAAATATCTCTCGCAGACGACGAATCAAGAGTCTTTAGGAGCAAGTCTGCGTTAATACAGACTAAGAGCATTCAAAACCTTATCTTATTTACCCCCTGGCTGAAAGCAATCTTGTCGAAACCATTCATTTTAAAAGTGTCCAGCAAATCAGTGTCCTAGAATGCTTATACACAGATAGCTCTAAAACACCAGAAGGCAAGGAGGGCGGATTTTCTCGTAGAGGATGACGTGACACATATTATGAGATCGGAAGTTAAACTCCGTTTTCCAAACTGAATTACTTGCTACTAGAGCTACACTTTTATACATGAGGAAACATCCTAGCGTGTCAAAGGACATTTACACCGATTCTATCTCTAGCCGAGTAGCAGCAGCCGGGTTCAGTTCCTGGAATTCAATAATGTAGAGCATTCGAAGCATCCTGTTACGAGATCCTGCGGTTTCACAAAGTTCCATTCTTAACTGCGTTCCTACTTACACGGAAATTGCAGGCAATGCGTTAACGGACACTGCTGCCAAAGAAGCGGCGAACTCCACTTTACTAAGGGAATTCCAACAATAAACGAAGCCTTTTGCATTCCTGAAGAGGCATACTCTTCAACAATTATTATCTAAATAACAAGAGCAATGGGACCAGGCCAGGACAGGTCATCGAATCTATAAACTTCTTCCCAAAGTACCACTGGAACCACAATCAATGAGCAATTATCGATCACATTTTATTACGGATCATGGGCCTTTTCCTGATTATCTCAGATGCTTTGACCTTAGAAAGGATTGTAGATGCAAATGTGGGAAGGAGAGTCATTCAGATCGCATTTGTGTTTTTCTGCCCACATTTAGTAAACATCAAGGTAAAATATTCGAGCATAAGCTTCTGGCCACAATGATTTCAAAACCTTAATAGAACAAGGTTGCTCGTAAGAAGCTGAAAGCTTTAATAGATGATTGTGCCAGAACATATTGTTACGAAATGTCAAGGCGCGGTAAGATAGCTTCCTCGCAAAACAGGTTTAGGGTTGTCAGAGAATTGCAAGGGAAAGCAGGTTTGTCACATTTAGCGAGACATCGCCCATTTGGCGACAAAATCGGCAATATGCCATGGACGGATGGAGAACCTTCTGGAACGAATTCTCACTGGTTTAGCCCAGAATGTTCTCGAACACAAGCCAAAAGCTATATAAACCCTGCTGGTACGCGGAGAGTTAGTTAGTTCGTGTGGAGTTAGCACCGAGATCATAATCAGTCAGTGAGTACTTAGTCGAGTCAGCTAAGAGTCAGTTAGTGTCTCGCCTAGTTAGTTCGTTAATTAGTCCGTGCGGAGTCCATCGAGTTGATAGTCAGGCAGTGAGTGTCTAGTGCTGAGATGGACGTCGAGAGCATCGAGACAGTCTTTTAGTGTATCGCAAGGTAGAGTATCGTCGAGTTTGATTTTAGAGGGTGTTGAGCTCCGAGAACGACTGAAACGAGGAGTCGGGAGCTGTACTCTAGTGCATCGTCGAGTGCATCGCGAGTTGTAGCGTGGAGAGTCTCGAGAGTACGTCGAGTTCCGAGAACGACGGAGCAGAGTCGGGAGCTGTACTCTGGTGATTTGCAGTGAAGCTGTCTCCACCGTTATAGCCTGGTAGTGTAAAGGCTCTGTCAGCGTGTCTATAGTAGTTCTTCGACGACTGTAAACGTGTTATTGGAGCTGACTTGAATAATACAGTCCAATAAAGTGTATTTCGATATTCCATCAAGTCCTGTCATCGTTATTTACTCCAAATCTGCACCAACCACGTACGTAACATAAAGGAAGAAAAAAAAAATGTAACACTATAAACATAAGACTGGGCCAGAACATACGTAAAATGTAAGAAAATAATGAAATTTAAATTCATTTTTCTACATTTATATTTAGTATTTGTATTTATAATTAGTAGTAACAATGTTTATGCACTTATTTCTTTTGAATATTATTCTGTTACATGGTAAACTATGCATATTCTACGTAATATGTATATCCTGCATTTATATTTAGTATTTGCAAAGTATCATTTACGATGTATTCAGGTTTTTAATACACATATGTATAATCTGTGTATATGGTTTAATCAGGGTTTACCTGATTTAAATAAATCCGTCCGATCTGCCGACCTGCTCTCCGGGCTCTGGTCTAGCAGATAATGGTTGACATCTGCTGGGTATGCAACCAATCTTGCATGGATATAGGAAATGTACCTATGTCAGGAGACAACTCAGCGGTTTACATCACTAACCACTACACTATCTGGGCCGCTATTTGCAATACAAGTGTTACAACACAAATCAACAAGCCAAATTTACATAAACACTGAAAAATATATCTATATAAAAATCTCAATATTGTCTTCACAGTGTCACATATTTTGCACCTTTAACAATCAAAATCTTCCTTACCTTGTAGTCTGGCAGGCATTTGCCAAATGCTTCCATGAGAACCCAATCATTTAAACATGCCTGTTTAAACTCTTCGTAAGATATTACACCGTCTCCATCTAGATCCTATAAATGTCATAAATGCATTAGTGTACGAAGTCATAGATAAAAATTATGATGTGTTCAACACATAACCTCCCGCCAAATCCATACCAAGACATAGAATTGGTGAATTAACAATGAGTTTTAAATAAACTACAATTTCCAATTGATCTTTCGCAAATAAAATCTAATTTGTTTACAAATTTTACGGCTCAGTATTAATGGTAAACACTACTCATTTTTTATTATTCTATTCTCCCATACAATGGGTTGTAACTCCATGGGTTCATGTACACATCAATTCTCATGCTTTGAAAACGTCGCAGTAATATATCCTTTAGTCACATAGTGTTCTGGATTCACAAATTAATGCCTTGACAATCACAAAATTTTTAAAAGCAGCATATCTTTAGAGCTCCCGTTAGATTGTTAAGTGCTGCAGTACATTTCATCTGATTATTTGCGGTATTATTTACATTGGCTATATTGTTTCCTTAAAAATAATACATAGCGATAACATTTGGTGGCAGCTTTCTTTTATTTGAAAAATGATTCGACGCAAAAGGGAAGCGAACACAAAACTGAGCATTGAGGCTAATATATTAATTAAATTGCTGCATAATGACAGCTCGTCTTCATAATGAGCTTATTGTCGTTGCAACAATTCCAAGAATATAGTCAATGCTTAGAAATGTAATATGTTGATCTGAATCACACAGCTATTTAAATGCCAAATCTGAGAAATTTGGGATTATTTCATAATATACCTTTTTATGACAGTCTGTTTAGAATTAAGTAAAATATCATTTCTAGTTTGTCAGTTTTAGATAAAATTCAATATGTTGTTCCCACTCATGTAAAAATCTTAAATACTGAAATTGAAAAATTTTGGATTATATTTTAATAAAATGTTTCATTAAAATGTGTTATGGCCCTCAAGTAAAACCACTACTGGCTTTCCATTAAAAATTGTTATCAGCTTCCTGTAAAGTATCAGTTGTCCAATTTTAACCAAAATCTAATCAATTGTTTATATAAATGTAGAAAACTCAAATATGGAAACTAGAAATTTTTGGAAGTTTCATATAAGAGTTATCGTGGACGAAAAAATCCTCACACAAATGCTCATTCTAAAAATATTAAAAATGTGTTGTGGAGAGCCTAGTTCGTGCTTCACTGAAAACTCGTTATCAGATTTTTAAGCATAAAACATTACCGGCCTTACATAGGTTAGCGGGAAGTAAAAAGCAGATTAATATCACTTTATTGAATACATACCATTTTACTTAAGATCATGTCTGCCAGGTCCCGAACCATGTCCTCACTTATATCCTTGGAAGGTGGCTGAAAAGAAACATTTTCTTTCAAAATTATATTGTCAAAAGTTAAATTTTGGCAATTATACGGTGGAATAATATATAAGGAAACGAACTTTCCTATCTGATCATTAAAATATCATTTGCGAGAGTTGCACTATTTATATAAACAAAATGCACATTTTTTACTTCAATGTTGAGTTTTAATGACTAGTTTATGTAACTTTACGTCTTTTGTTTAGAAATATTGTGGAAAATTTTCTCTCGATTATTTATGTAACCCAATTTCCGAAATAAGGGTTTTCAGAAATAAATATTTCCATGCACGTTAGCTTCAAGAATTTAATAACGATCAATTTTCATAAATGTAGTTATTTCGTTCCGCTAAATGCATACACGAACAAATATATATATATATATATTATTTAGTTTTGATTTAAACGTTTTGTGAATGTATCGTTATTTAGTGCTTTCCTGTTGTAATTTTCTCTCTCTTGATTAGTTAAATAATTTCGCAACACTTGGAGCAACATTCGACTACGAGTAACTATTAATTATTAACTAATTTTTTTTCAAATTTCTGATCTGTAAGGTACGTCTATACAGTCAAACTTCGCTTAACAAGCCCTTCCCATAACGAGTGATTCGCATAATAAGCAAACTAAAATGTAAAAAAGTGATCGCCTTAAGAAGCAATGTTTCGCAGAACGAGAGAAGTGAAGGCATCGCTACGTCACAGGCAGGAAGCATCCTCAACTATACATATATATTTAATAAAAAAGCTTAACTGCGATAGCTGCGACCATAAGACAAACACGCATGCGTTATTCGGGACAATTTATTCACAAAATATTGTGGATGGACATGAATAATGCACTAAGGATTTTTTCCTTTCCTTTTTTTCCCCTCTTAAATGTATATTGTTTATTTTAGAAAAAATTTCGTGTATAAAAGATCACAACCTTGGCAAATATCCCGTTAAATCCAAGGCTGGATTAACCATTAAGTATAATAAGGAAGCATGTGCTTAGGGCTTCGAGGTAAGGAGGCACTACAAAAAACCTCACGACATTTTCCTCTAATTGTTTTTCAACCCCACGACATTTTCCTCTAATTTTTTTCCATCGTCGCATTTTCGCCATAAATTGTCATAACTTAAAGTTAGACATTATTTTAAGTACAGGTAGCCCTCCTACAACAGGTCATCCTGTAACACGGTTTCGCTACAACAGGATTCATAAATTGCGAGAACCCTCCTACAACACGGTTTCCTATAACACGGCTTCGCTCTAGCACAATAAGAAAATTGCCCCTGCAATCCGAAGAAATTTCAAGAACTCAGCACGAAGTTTTTCTATATTGTGCAAAGCACCCATATAGTCATTTAACACATAAGAATCCTTGTTTCGTAAGTTCTGCCACTTGTCTCCAAGATCAGGTACCCGTAAGAACAAATGTCCTCAGATGACCCGTATGAACAAATGTCCCCAAATAACACTGAAGAAATCTCACTATGGCAGAAGGTGAACAACATGATGCCACGATAAGTGTTCTAAAACGCAAAACCTGCATGTTCGGCTTCCAAAATTCGAATCCTCGTCTCCATGGCGTGAAAACAAAAGTATCTCACACTGCTGGTCGGCAATCTGCGTCGAGCTACGGTGTGTTAAAGAATAACCTTTTCGTCTTTACAAGACATTAAGTTTCCGTCCCCAAACATGTCCGATAGAGATAAAAAAGAACATTTAAGAGGAAATTCATTTCTTTAGATGTACAGATACAAATCTTGGACCCTCTTTTAAAAGGAGAAAAGGCATCTCACATTGGAAAAAGTTTTAATTGGAATGAAGAAACAGTCCGGACTATTAAGGAAAATGAAAAAGAAATAAGAAGTACAGTTGTTGCAGGATCTTCGACATCCGCAAAACGGGCAGTTCGCCCCCGGAGGCGCAAATAATTGAGAAGATGAAAAGAGCACTCAGCATTTGCATTGATGATAGATGTCGAAAAAGAATTTCGTTGGATGGTAATATCATTAAACAAAAAGCACTCAATATTTTCCAGTACCTCAAAGAATATGGAGAACCCTCTGTCAACCCAGATTTTCTGGTAAGTAAAAGTTAATTAAGACACAACAACACGCCGAACAAACACCAATTCAGAAGTCAAACAACAAAAATCAGCGTTATATTCACAAAATTTTCACAGGACTAGTTTCGATGGTTTTATCGAACCATCATCTTCAGCTGCAAAACCGCAAATGAACAAGATAGGAAATAATGATTAGATAAGATAAGGAAGCCTGGACAAGCAATAGCAATTTAAAAGCAATAGCTATTGACAGGGGCTTTTCAGCCAACATTATTAATCAAGCAGTTAAAAAATTCTCATCTCAACACACTAAAAGCCACACTCTTATTTTAGGAGATTATAAAAATTCTGTTGTCATTCCCTTCTTTCCATCAATTAGCTATAAAGTTGCACATATTTTGCAGAAATTTAACTTTCGAGTTGTTTTTTCTCCCATCAATAAAATTCCAACTTCTATACTCAAGGACCCCATTCCGGATATGAATTCCTGGGGTATTTATAGGATTCCTTGCCAGTGTGGTTTAATTTACATTGGCCAAACTAAAGAGAGCCTTAAATTTCGCGTCAAAGAACATGAGGCATATGTTAGAAAAAAGGAAACACAGAAGTCTTCTGTTGCTCAACATTGTTGGTCCGAAAATCACACTTTCAATTTTTCTGCTGCCAAAATTATTCAAAAAACATCTTCCATTGGAGAACTGGATTTTCTAGAGGCATTTCACATTCATAAAAATCTTTCTGTTCTAGTTAACGATCCTAATTCCAATCCAAATTTGCCTTCGGCTTTTAAAGAAATTATGTTTTAGTTCTGTTTTCGCCAACAGATGGCGCCACTTGCTTATTTTTGTCCAGGCTTCCTTATCTTATCTAATCATTATTTCCTATCTTGTTCATTTGCGGTTTTGCAGCTGAAGATGATGGTTCGGTAAAACCATCGAAACTAGTCCTGTGAAAATTTTGTGAATATAACGCTGATATTTGTTGTTTGACTTCTGAATTGAAGTAAAAGTTAGTTCGAAAATTTCAAAAAGTGTTTTACAATTCATAGAATAAGAATTCAAGGAGAATCTGCATCGGCTGATTATGAAGTTGCTGGGACGTTTCCTGAAAAATTTCAAAATATTATAGAAGGATACACAGCAGCTCAAGTGTTTACGATGCCGACAAAACTGGGCTTTGGTGGGAAAAAAATTCCCAGTAGAACCTTTATATCGGAAAAAGAAAAAAACTTCATCCTGGTTTAAGGTGTTTAAAAATTGTCTAACGCTACTTTTGTGCAGTATGACTTTGGACCTTCTGACAAAACCCTTGTTAGTTTATAGATCTTTAAATCCCCGTGCACTTAAAGGCGTAAATAAAGTCACCCTACCGATATATTGGAAAGGAAATCTAAGAGCTTGGGTAGCTGGGAATATATTTAAAGATTGGTTTTTAAATTGTTTTGTGCCAGACGCTGAACGCTATTTAAGGCAGAAAAATTTGAATTTCTAGGCGCTTATTACTATTAGATAATGCACCATGTCACCCACAAGATTTGAATCATTCCAAAGTCAAAATACTGTTCCTAACACTAATTCGTTATTCCAACCATTGGATCAAGGTATTATTTATACCTTTAAAACATATTACATAAGAAGAGCATTACAGTGGATTTTAGATGTTACCAGTTCAAAATCAATTAATGTAATGGAAGCTTGGAGACATTTTCAATTAAGAACTGAATCGACATTGTATGTCGATTCAGTTCTATGTCGCTGAAAGAACTGAAAGCATCAATGTTAAATTCGTGTTAGAAGAAGACATAGCCCTCTTCAGTTGTAATAGAAAACGTGCGTGAATCGTCAAAAAATGAAATTGGTGCCGTATTAGAACTTGCTAAATCAATCGGAGGCGAAGGTTTTGTGAAGATGGCTATTGAGAACGTTCGAGATTCATTAGCGAAAGAAGAAATTGACGAAGATTTGATAGAAATGGCATCCGAAGCTGTAAATCAAATCAATTTTGAGGACACTACCACTGATGAAGATTGTGAATTTAATAATTTAACATTAAAAAAATTAAAAGAAGGCATACGCTTAGCTTAAAATCTTGAGTTATTTTTCTTGAGTGCAGACCCTTCCGCTGAAATAAGCCGAAAATTTAAAAGGGAGCTGCAAAACTGTCTAGCTCTATATCGAGAATTTTACAATGACCCGGTAAGAACTAGTAAGCAAAGTAAAATCACAGATTTTTTTTTAAAGAGGGAAGAAAATGGTAGAACGAAATCCTGAAAGTGAAAGTTATACTGACTCTGAGTCTCTTACAACACGGTTCTAGAAACCTATCTATTGTGTTATACGAGGGTTACCTATATTCAATTTAAGTGATTTGCCATTAAAAAGGGTTTCCACGAAAATTTTTGCATTGTGATATGAATTTATCTTTATCTAAAGATTAGAAAGAACATGAGAGACAAGTTTAATGAGGTTGAGGCAGTGTAAAGATGACTTTTGATTTTGATTTTTCTTCCATTTAAGTTAAATTAAGATGAAACATCTTTAAAAAGAAATAACGATCGAATTAAGACTTCATTTGATATAATTCTCTAATATAAATTAAAATTCCATTTTTTCTTCGATTCTAAATTAAAATTTATGTTGTAGTTTTGTATTCCATTTCTAAATAATCCTATTTCTAAATTACAGGGTATTGTATGAAAACAATTTGCTCGTTAGCTACTTATATTTTTTTCAATGGTGTTTCTTTTTGCTGGCGTTAGACACCATGTTTTATTTCTCCATTTTGCTTGTTGAATACTTTTTTCCTCCTTCCAAATTAAAATTTATTTTGGAATTTTATATTTTAACAATTGGACATGTGCATAGCTTGGGCAATTTTGTCTTTTATTTGATTTAGGTTTCTCCATTGTCTCTTTATTGTTGGCTTATGGATTCTGCTATTTCGGTTTTCCAAATTAGTACTTTTAAAATACAAAATGAATAAATTTTCTTCCTTTTATTCAAAACATTTTGATGTTTGGTCTATTTGATTATATTATGTACCTAACTTAGGAGCAAGTTATATCTTGATGATATATTTTAGAAACTAGCAGACTTTTGACATTCGTTATTTAAAAAAAATTAGTTTCTTAGAAATTCTTAATTACTTTAAATTTTATAATAATATTTTCTCATTTAATTATTTCATTGTTAACAATTTTTGAGTAGTTTTACAGTGTATCCAGATATCATTCAGAAATGTGGCTATGTTGATACTTCTTTTGGTTGCTCCTCGACAAAGAATTTTCAGCTGTTATTTAACATGATTTTATTTTTGCATGAATTTAGTTTTATTTTAGTTTTGTTTTTCAAGTTTTTGATTCAATTGTTTTCATTCATGTCTTCCTGCTCTACCATTTTAGGTTGATATTAAATACACAATTTTATCTTTTTATTAAGTTATTAATTTATAAAATTATCAATAATTATTTCTAGGATAATTAAACAACTTTTCTGATATTTTTCCTTTTGTTCGACCGTGTTTTATGTCAAACGAATATCACACACACAAACGAATAGCTTACTACTTTATGTTTTATTTATGTCAATAAAAATTGATCTATTAATGAATTTACATTTCTTCCAGCAATAAACGGAATTACTGAGGAAACAGAATGCTTATTTGGATTATGGCTATTTCTCTAAAATGTCCCCAGAATCTCTGCTCTCTGAATGAAAGGTTATTACTTTATTCCGTTTATTGCTGGAAGAAATGTAAATTCATTAATAGATCAATTTTTATTGACATAAATAAAACATAAAGTAGTAAGCTATTCGTTTGTGTGTGAGATATTCGTTTGACATAAAACACAGTCGAGCAAAAGGAAAAATATCTGGCAGGCAAGCTGTTAAATCCCAGAAAATGTTGGTAATTCGTGATGAGTGTTTTTTTTTTTTTTTTTTTTTTCCGTGGAAGCTGAAAGAGATATTGAGGTTTTCGCTGCGTGCAACTAGAATTTTTTAGAAATTCAAATTCGATATATCAAACTAATTTTGCTTAAAACGGCAGCCACAAAATGCATTCCTCACCTTAAGCTAAGAGCTCGAGTTGCTTTTCCTTAATTAATTAACCAATTATATAAACGAGAAAACAGGAAGGAAAAATGAGAAGTTATTACTTTAATGTTCTCTTTTGATTGATTATCAAAGCAATTAAGCAATCAATTGATTATCAAAGCATTAAGTAGCTGACTGATTCGTTGAAAATCAGAGGTTTATTGAATACACCATTGGATTCGGATTTGCATTTTGAGATGGCATGAAAGACTGGCAGTATAGTGTCATTGTAATATGGGGTACTTGAAGTCTATTGATCCAAAAGTTTTGTGGCAAAGTTGAGAAAGTAGCAAGCGGATTTTATTCTGCAGAGTGTTTTGAGTCAAAACTGCTATGGAGCTTAAGTAGAAAAAAAAAAAAAAAAATAAAAAGTCATTTCTTTAATTTCAAATAATTCACAGCACAGTAAAAATAAAATACAGTAAATATGAAATAATTAAAACCACAGTAATTTCATAAAACTATTGATTACACTAGCCAATTTTTTGCAATTTGGCGACATTTTGGAACTTTTCATAAAATCCATTTGTGAAGCCACAGAAATGACTTTTGAGTCAGTTGCATCGAGAACGTAATCATATTTGCATTAGTGAGCATGCTCGCTGACTGTTACTTTGGACCTTGTCTGCCTTAGAACTGTTGCTTTAGAACCTCGTGTGTTTAAGGAGAATTTCACCTTATTTTTCTTGGATTATTAATTGTTGTTTATCGTGTGTGAAATCTATCATTCTTTTCAATAAAGTATTAAGTTTCCCTGGTCATCTAATTCTATTGTTTATGAACTATTAAAAACTATGAAATATGAACTATTCAAAACTGCAAATCCGTAGTAAGTAACAGGCTGTAACAGAAATGACAGCCAGAACATGACAAAAGTAACAATTTTCGTAACAGAATGTATGATGCGTGTGAACACGTAAATACGGTAAGTATGAAAAACATGAAAAGAGTCGCTTTAATCCCGTATATTTACAAGATATATTGATATTTGCAAGAAGTGCTCAGTCAACGAACACCAACTACAGTATATGCATAACAGCGACGACGGAGTGATCAGTGTATACGTTGGGAAGTTGCCGTCATGCTAAGTACTTTTGCAGCAGAGACGCTCATTCTGGAGGCATATTGTTTGGAAGTATCACTCTGCATCTCGTAAACGAGACCAGTCGTGGTTGTGATACATATTTTGCAACTAGTGGTAGCTCATTTGAACAGTTCTTACAAATATCCGTGATTAAAACGCTTTTTCATTCTCCAAGCTCTTAATACTTATTGTGTTTCCGCGTTCACTTTCCATTACACATTGCATTCTGACAATTATCACATTTGTTATGTTTTATCACCCCTTAAAGTTCTGACTACCAATTCTTGACATTTTGTATACATAACGCCTTTTCTTCTACTTGGCACGCATGTGGAAGATATTAATGACGTTTGTTTGCCCTGTTAAGACACACACAAAAATGTATTATGAATTTTCGCTAATTATGATACGCTAATGACCTGTTTCTGCTTATACTAGTAACTCTTTATACCTAAAACAAAATCCTACAACAGAAGTCTGGAAAATTGTGAAATTCAAACATATAATACAATCATGTCCATAAATTAAGGATAATTCAGAATCACACGAAAATCGAACTCTAAAGTAAAAATTTCAACTGTAGAAATTTCGCACAATTCTTCAAGAATAATACACAAATTACAGGAAGCCATCAGATGACGCCGATAGTGCGTCACAATGACGAAAGCGTAAGAGAAGACTATAGAAGGAATAGTAGCAAAAAAGTAAAGTTGTTCACAAGCGTTTCTGTAAGACGCTCAGTTCCACAACCAAATAGTTATGACACAGAGGACGCATGTGAATGATTTTTTACATGGTAGAATTATCGGCCGCCTGGAATGTGTACGTATTCAGATGGAAGTATCCAGGGAACTTGGAATAGCCCAAAGTTTCATCTCTAGGCTTTGGCAACGATTCCAAAATGATGGAAATGTCACGTTACAGTACAGGTCGCCCCCGAGCTACAACACCGAATGACGACCGTTTTTTGGCAGTAACTGCCAAAAGAAGCAAGCGGAGCACAGCATCAGACCTATCTCGTCAGCTATCTTCAGCCATGGGTACAACAGTTTCAAGGCAAAACGTGTACAGACGTTTTGGGACATATTGGTCTACATGGCTCACAGGCCTGTCAGATGTATTACGCTCACGGCAGCTCACCGTCGCCAGCGGTTGACCTGGCCAAAAGAACATGCTATGTGGACATCGTCATAGTGGGCTTGCGTGATGTTTTTCGATGAGTCCAGGTATAGCTTGCAATCTCATTCACGTCGGACTTTTATAGACTTTTATATGGAGAATTCCAGGTACCAGCAAGACAAAAACATTCAACACCGTTACGTTGTCGCAGAATTGCTCGTTTGGCGTAGAATTATACTGGGCTCCAGAGCAAATCTGATCAGAACCGTGACAGGCCAAATTTATCGGGACATAATTCTGGAACAACATGTACATTTGTCTAGGGTGCTATGGGCCCAGAATTTGTGTTTATGAATGACAACGCCCGTCCTTACCGTGCAAACATTGTAAAGGGGTGGCTTCAATCTGAGGATATCAGCCGTATAGAATGGCCAGCATTCTCACCTCTCTCATCATCTGGGAGATATACAATGTACTAACCATCATACCAGCCATGTAATGTTAAGTTTTTGTATGGGAGATATTTTTTGTAATTGCTCCCGAGAGCAAAATTCATGGATTTTATGAATGGTATCATACATACACCATCTTTTCTGTTCTTTATCTTTTACTTAATAAATGGGGTTTACGAATAATCACGTTTGTTTTGTTTCTGAAATTTTATTTGCTAGAGCTGGCATTATCCTTAATTTATGAACATGAGTGTAATAGAACCATTAAAAATAAGGCTTCGTATGCGCTAAATTTTTATTAAAATCCTGCTTGAAAATTAAATTCTTTAAAAGAAAATGGTCATTTCTCTGTAAAATTAACGAAATATTTGAACTGAAGAATGCATATATTTCGTAACTGAAATTTTATGCTCATACGGTTTCATACATTTCATGTATGGTTTCACACACAGTTAAAGTAGATATTTCTCATTTCTATGTTAAATGATTTCTAGTTTTATTGCTTAATATGAATAAAAATTACCTCGGACAACGATTCCAACAACAAGGTGGCAATATTATCTCGAGTTAATTCTAAATTTTCTGAGATGTCGTAACATGCGAAGCACACTGTTAAAAAATAAAACAAAATAAAATACAATATAATAGTCTTAAATATTTTTACGTTAAACACAATGCAGGTTTTAAAACGCTGCAAAAGGTTAAAAATTCAAACTTATACCTCAGTGTTTTCTGTTTTACATTTGCTAAACAACGATATTTAATAAAATTGGTACATTTACAATAGTTGTAGAATCTATCAGATTTTCTGAAGTTAGAGGTCTATAAAATGTGCAGTGCACTCTCTGAGATCTGAACACTGAGCCTCCCGACTGCTAACCGGACGTGCTCTCCAATTACACCATGAAGGCACGTGGCAAGGAGGAAGAAAAATCTTACAGGGTTAGCCTTACAGTCTCGGCCAAATTTTCTAGAACATACTGTTAATTTAATGCATGATTCTAAAACAATTTGAGCAGAAGATAAAAATTAAAATATAATAATGAAATAAGAGAAGTAGAAAAGTGAAACGTAAAAAAAAAAAAAAAAGTTTATAAGAGCCTTGAATTATTTTAATCCACGATTCAAAAGGATAATCTGTAATTCAAATTGTTTTCATTAGGCCTCTAATTTCAAAAACAACTTACATTTTATTTTCTCTTCCATTGAACCTCGTAACATGACAGCAATGAGGCGAATGAATTCCTCCATCTGAATCCGGCGATCTTTGTCATTATCAGCCGTACTAAAAACTGAAAGATAAAAGGGGGAACAAACACTTATATTTCAGGTTTTCTTTTAAATACATAAAACACCTTAGTACAGATTCTACTTTAACACCTTCCACTGTAGAGAGCTGGCTGCAAAGTTCTATTCGTGAATTTTCCCTTATGCAACAAGAATACGCGCAATTTCCCTTAGAAAGCTCTCTACGACTGTTACCTTTCTTAGTCAGATAACATTCGCATGCTTTAGTGTCATCAATAAAATGAATAAACCCTTCCCCCCCTCCAAAAAAACACTATTGTGAAGGCATTTTGTTGGATATGAGCCTTTTAACTTCGAGGCACCTTTTAGTTCGACAATTGTTACCACCAGTGTTTAAATTGCGTCGGAGCCCGGCTCCGGTACTTCTCAATTTTAAAGATAAATTACAATTCTAGCCGCAGCGCACCTGAGCCCTAAATAAGATCAGCTCCGGTACTTTTTTTATAAAATTGAGCCACTATTTCAAGGGAAAAAAATTAGAATTCCTAACGTTTTAGTTTAACAATAAGTAGACCTTGCAATAAACCAGCAACTTTACATTCATTCTTATAGGAGTCAGATTCAGGACTCATTTTACCCATGACACACACATCCGCTTGATGGCTATAATTATATCAGGAAAGAGCTGCGGTCAAAGAGAACGTTCTCTCTCACCGAGATTCCCCTCATTTTTTGTTTCCACCCACTCATGCCTTCACGCCCTCATTCTGTTTCGCCCCGTTTTTAGCATTATCTGAATTTTCATCAGCTATACTTTAAGCATATTTAATTTTTGTGATGATAAAAGAACTTTTTCCCCCTACGATCAGGGCTTAAATTGGGCCAGCTCCGGTGGTTCTTAGTTTTTGTAATAAATCATAATTTTAGCCGGAAACGCAATGGAGCCCTGAATAAGAAGGCTGCTGCACTTTTTTTATGTTAATTGAATAACAATTTCAGTAGAAATTTTATCTCGAAAATTTTATTTTAGCAATAAAATTATATTAAAAATCGCTTTTTAAATTTCAATTTATCTCTTTACAGTTTTACTTTAATTTTAGTTATTTAATTACTTGAATCTTTAGTTATTTCAATAAATAATAATTAATTAATTATCTAATAATCATCAATTAAATTTTGATTAATTAATTTTATAATAACTATTGATTAAATAACAATTAATAAACATTAATTAAATAGCTATTAATCAATTCGATAAAAATTAACTATTTAATTTAAAAATTATTAATGAGTTTAATAGTCATTTTATTTATTTATTTACTCTTGTTCCTCTTTGCTGACGGTCTTCCATAGGGCTCCGGCACTTCTAATTTTAGAAATTAAGCCCTGGTTACCACTAATGTAAAAACATTTTCTAGTATAGTCATCATGAAGGTCAAAATTACTGAACACTGGTGGTTCCTTTGCAGTGTCATAGTCAGCGGGTTGAAAGTACTGAATATAACTAGTTTCTTTCGAAGATAAATGCCAGAGTGAGGATTTGTTTCGCTTGTCCCGGGTGCGACTTCAGTGGAAATGCCATGCAATATCTACATTCTCCGATAAAAACCAATAGAAGGCAAAGTATTGTATGTAGTATTAATAATACATATTTAATACTACATACAATTTTAACTAAATTTTATTTGCTAAATCAACTCTATGAAAGAAAGCGGGTGAATTCTGAATTTCATTATTATGTATGGGAAGAATTCAAAACAACATTTCAAAAGAAGCATGTAATTAAAATTTCAGACACAGTGACTGACATTTTACTTATCATAGAATGAAATATTATAGTTTTTTTTAATACATCGAACGGCAGCTTTTATTTAAATACGTTACATGTTGAATAAGTTACATATGAGAAAATAATAATAATTTTATATACAATATAAATGTTAAATTATAAGTTTCGTAACGCATGCATAATCATTTATCCTATTTTGCGACCCAGCTATCAGAAATTTTTGCTTGTTGCTTACTTCTTACAATTTATTTGAGTAAAATCAAATTTTGACCGATATCAGAATCTTCATTCGAGAGATATTAGACTCCGAAATGCACAATTTATATCCAAAGATGGGGAAAAAAATACCAAGTTGGTCCTCCATTATCAAACAATATAAGAACATAGATCGTTGGTGACAGAAATAGATACGAATCTAGAGATACTACATAGAAAAAAAATTCCTGGTTCCTGACCTTGGTCTACAACTAAGCCGCATTTTTAAAAATCCCTGAAAGGAAAGTCTACGAACTATTAAAAAATCCGAATAAGTTACTTTTTTAACATAGCATACAACGACGACAAAAAAAAAAAAAAAAAAAAAAAAAAAAAAAAACTAGATTTTTACTGGATGTATAGAAATTTTTTGCTGGATATTTTGTGGCTTCATTAGAAATACTGTCTGAAGAAAATAACTAATTTTCCCTCGATAGCTGATAAAAGATTCTGCAGCAACTTATGTAAAAGGTTCTCTAGTTTCGTTTTTGCCTTGCGTCTCTTCAAAATGCATATCTCTTCGTCAGTAAGCTCACGCTAAGACTGGAATAAGACTGGTACTTTCTTTGCAAGCGATTATTCAATACTTTAGAAGTATTTTAATGACCAACGTCAATAATTCTATAATTTGTGATAAAAATGCAGAAAAAATAAGCACTAAGGAAAATAACACTGAAGCCAGGGAAAAAAAGTAACATTAAAATAGCATAAAATAAGGAGAGTAAGCGAAAAAAACGACAGAGAAACAGCGTCGGAAGGGATTAACAGTCTCATTTTTTGGGGAGAGAGGCACTCTTCCATTGAAAACTAGAATGTTGAAGCTGATATAATATTGCTACTGATGTAACATTATAGATTATATAATATTGTTAATTGTTTATTTATTTAAAGAGCGAAGTGCCCATATTAATTTTCTTAGAAACAAACTCGCTGTGTATGGTAGTTTTTAAAAAATAATTCACTATCGCAAAGGAATATCGAAACTAAAATTAATGCTTTCAAAATGTGAGGGGATTTCTCATTTCTTATGTATGTAGATATAGATGGAGGCGGGGCAAATGACAAAAAATTTATTTCTGGTTACATCTAAATTATTACCATATATTATAGTATTGTAAAAAGCAAAGCTTTATAGCTTTATAGTCAACTGAAATTGAAGTTATTGCTTCAGAAAATGGACTTCAATACGTACTGAGGCTCAAAGCTGTTATTTATGAAGTTATTGGCATTAAGAATATGATTGCATTTTAAGGTATTCAATGATGCATCAAGTATATACTTAATAATTGAAACAGGTGAAACATACAGACATGAAAATGAAATTTTTTCGTAATATATTGCGAATCTACACAAACTCAATATTCAATACATTTTTGCTGTATAAATGCTAAATTGTTAAAACTCTTTACCTAAGTGTAAACCGTATAAATGAAAGCCAGAAAAAGATTTAGAGACATTCTAAACTCTGCTGTGACATTAAGTTGCAGCAAACTGTCGTAAATCCAAACTTTACTGATTCATAATATTTCCATCAAGATAATGATCTCAGTACATAGGTATTCTTATCCTACTCTATAACCATTCAGCCCGAAACGCCAATCCTAAGGGAAATTTCGTAGATATTATTGCATAAAACCTATTTCGTCTTGTAGTGGAATATGCCAATAAAAATTGCGAGGGTGGTGAATAACGGTTTGTCTTCTAGTCAAATATGTAGAGCATATTTGACTAGAAGACGATTAAAATAATATACTGATTTCCAAGAATTTTAATATTTCCTGAATTTTTTTCTTAAAGGCTCATAGCTGAATTAAAATAATATTTTTTCCATCATAGTTCAAAAAAAGATGCTCCGAGATTTCCCAACGATAGGCATGTTTTAGAAGACTAGAAAAAGGGCAGCCGATTATAAAAGCAGCGAATCTCTTTTCTGAAAATTATTCTATTATTCCCAACGAATGACACAATTCCAAACAATGGGCAGAGTAATCTTAAGACGACACATTCTTTCAATGCAATATATTTACAACATGAGTTTACATCGAAATTTACACCCTCAAATGATGATCTGTACACAGAATCAAAAACCAAATGCAATCGCAAAACTTTTGAGCGATTGTTACATCTATAGACCGTGCAATGTCCACCACTACTAAGAGGTGAAGGCTACATGCAAAGTATCTTTATAAATGCTAAGAAATGTTGATGTTCCTTTGAAATCCATGACCAAGAGATCCCGATAAAAGTGGCTTCTTCAGTACGTATCATAGACAATGATTCATACCTCTCTTCACAGAAAATGCAAGATTTGTCTCAGAAATGATAAATAATATGTGAAGATCTGAAGATACTAAAAACCAATCAGTCAAGTGACAAAATGTTGAATATCGTACTCAAACATGATGATATGGTTTTCATAAGGCTGCCTTACCGACACTGAAGCGTTCGCGTAGTATGACGCAGAGAGATATCAGGATAAATTCTTGAACAGCAAATGACATTAGTTCAACCCAGTTTTTGATCTAGTAGAAGAAGGTAGTCATCCATACAGAGAAGAAACAGAGCGAAACTATTGCGGCGTCTAATATAGTCTTCGAATCAATCCAATCGAGTATTTTGGCATGTCATTTAAAAGAAGTCTTTATCTTACTACTCCCGTACATTAACTCTAGAACTGCAAACTGTCGACCTTTATATGAATGTAACTGCAAAGCACAATACGATTAAGATAAAACTGCATCAAATTTAATATTTTACATATTGTTATTTATTTCACTCGTAGACAATACAGATCAATCTATAACCAATCAAGCAATTTCACTCTATCTAATTACATAGTAAAGCGCATAACAACACCATTTTTTTCCATTTATATTACTTAAAATTAATCTTTCAGCTTACTTCTGTTCATAAAAAATTCTTCTGTGAAACCAAACAAAGTATGAAGCACCTCTGAAAATGTAGGCATATCCATATGCGGACCATTTTTCACATATTTTTTGTAGATTTTGATCAAACGACATAGTTCTGTTCTTTCAACTATAAATAAAGAATTCTTGTATGAAAGCTTTTTCAATATCGTATTTAAACATTAACTGATATAATTACACTGATACAATTTTCACCAATAGAACATATATTTCTTAAATTACTTTTGACAAATAAAAAGAGCTAAATATCACAACTAAAGCATTTCGGTGGTTGATACTACTCGTATACTTACAATTTAATTCTGAAGATAGTCTGTCTATCAAAGTCACTTCTCCGAGTTTAGTAAGACCGCCATTTTTGCGATAAAAACGATTATTCTTTTGCTCCATGAAATTTACTTTTAAGCAGATAAACTAAAGAATTTCGGACAAGTACATCAGTTTTTCGTTAGAACAAAATTAACAGCGCATAAAACTTATTTTGATAAACGAAGCACGTGAATTTAATCGAAATTGCTGTTAATTTAGATGTATATAATCTTCGCTGTGTTAGACTCAAGTGTTAGCTGCAGTAAAATGATTATTTATTTTCTGTAAAATATAAAACACGTGAAAGATAGATAGAGTGAAAGACTTTTAGCTGTCGAAGCCTTTGAACTAAATTACAAAGGTCGGAAAATACACCAACCCCCCCCCCCCAAAAAAAAAAACTGATGTGTACACCACATGACTTTCTTGTATATGGAAGATTAAATTATATGCATTTTTAACTTATTTCCTCAAATTTCATTACACATATATTTCTCATTCAATTAATTCAGCTCCCACTTCGGGGCAAGACAAAAATATACATAAAACCTCAAAATATGTTTATCAAAAATTGAAAAATATGAAAAAATATAAAAAGAAAAAAATCTGAAAGTTTCCATATTTTATATTACGCCCAAAGGAGTCTTTTAACGTTTTATGTATTACCTTTATTTATTAAATATCATGTTCCTCGCACTTAAACCAACAGCAATACCACAAAAAATAATATTATATTAAACTAAAGAATAAATGTGATTCTCGAATGAAGACCATGTTGTCTAAGCTTTTCTTATTTTTATTTACAACACATCTCATACACAAACGTATTAGACTGAAATATAATCCAAGTACAATTAATTAGGTAATCCGAGAAAAAGAATAAACATAAACTAACCTAGTAAGCAAAAAATATCTGTTACATTCCGAATTCTAAATATTTGTTTATACAAACATTTATCGCAAGGCCTGCCAGGAAACAGATATCAGACGATTGCAAACGCTCGATGGCCAGAGATCACATAATCATTTTATTTTCAACAATTTCAAAAGCCAATCGACGCAAAATGACAAAACGAAATTAATAGCCCTTCTGGACAAATTGCCGCTTTGGGCTAAAGCAAAAGCAAAAACAAGCAATTAGGCCAGCGTGTACGAAGGCAGACTTTTCAGTGCACAAAGCTAGAAGTTTCCTTTTGGTCCCACTCGGCAAAAAAACTAAATTTACTATTATGCTGTTTTAAATGTAAACAAATATGGCTACTATGGTGAAAAATTAGGCTTAGCAGCACTTAAACAACTTCTTAAATTGTTGATAATTCTACAACTATTGCATGCAGATTAACTAAAGGAGTAAAAACCTTAACCGGAAGATAAGACCAACACAATTCAATCATTTTTAAAGCAAAGAATGCACAATTTGCAAAAATATAAAAATATACATATATAAAACTGAACTCATTGAGCCGAGGAAAAGAGTGGGTATATATATATATATATATATGGGTATATATATACTTTTGGTGCAGCCGATTGCAAACAAAAAGGGAGAAGCACAACTACATGTTATTAGTCCTATTATACAAAATTTCAACGTTCTGAGGCTACTCGTTTTTGAGTTATGCGAGATGCATACATACATACGTATATACATTTTCGTTTGCACATATGTACGTATGTTTCGTATGTACGTACATTTCGTGGCGTACGTACGTAAAAATCTCTTTTTAATCCATTTTAAATAAGTTTAATAATTCGTTTATATACACCCACTCTGTTACTCAAGTATATATATATATATATATATATACTTTACACTCGACTGTGTTATATCAGTATATATATATATATATATATATATATATATCTGAGTATATATATATATATATATGCACTTTTGGTGCTGCCGAAGTTATGTGGAAGTGTGAAGGAAGTTATGTGGTATCGGCATCAGATTTTTTAAATAAGAGAATCCGTTTTGCTATTAGTCTTAATAATTTGTTGAGACACAAATCTATCTGAAATTGGGGTAAATATCTTTCACTTGTGTAAAAAACTGTATTTTTTTTCCATCAGTACTATATTCTTATACAGATTTTTCACAAGACAATTTTTATAATTATACAATGTTTGTTATTCTTCAACTAATCCATTCGCATAAATAACATTAATTTGCAGAAAGCCTTGCAGCATATGTTGTATGAAAACTGAGCAATGTCCTCGCTGGGACTCGAACCTGGACCTCTCGAAATAAGTGCCGAATGCGCTGCTATTACACCATGAAGGCATGCAGAAAGCAGTGAGAAAACACTTTATAGAGTAATACTAACAAACCAGTTTCCTTCAAAAAATTATTCCCAAAGATATTTTTTCTGTTAAGCAAATAGCCTTAATGTGCTTTACTATAACAAATAATTACATCCATTGCAATTACACACTATTAAATCTTTTAATGTGTCAATGAATAGCAGTTATTGCTATCATATTTATAGCTTCCACTGTCTTTATTCAGTTTTGAGTCGTAAAGATGAAATTATATCATACATATATTATATGGTGTGTATGTACATTTCACACTGTTTCTTTTACTGTTATTTTAAATTTTAATGGACATTTGGTATCATTTGATAACCCCCACTGAAGACTTGTTAATTATCAGAAACTTTTCTCATAAAAAGTAAATGTAACTTTTTCATCTCTTTATGCTATTTAAGTTTATAAAAAACTAAAATGGAGGAAACCTATATGTTGATTTACTACTTAAGATTTAGTGTAGTCTGGAATAAGAAGGTTATTCCTACATTCCTCAAACACAAGCTTAGAAAACAGCCACTTCACTACAGAAATGAGTAGCCATCAAGTAGTTTGCTTGTACTGCAAACAGGAAAGAATCTTAAAAAGTACAAATTATGAAGACTTTTTGACCATGTTTATGGAGTTCTGAAAGTGGTAGCTTACTTCTTAATCTGCAACCGGACACGAGTACTGTTGCTTATTTTTTTTTTTTCATATGCTTGTAAGTGTAATAGCAGAGACAAAGAGAATCATGTTATAAAAATATATGGCTTTAAAAAGAGAGATATTAGTTCCAGACCACTATGCAAAACTTTGAATAATAAGCTGTGTTGCGAAGAACACAGAAAATATATAAATCAAATATATTCAAAACAGTTCATTCAGTTGCGGGATGCCTCTACCCGAGGCTGGGTGCATTATGAATAAAAACAAAAAATTCTTAATAAGCCATTCTTTATTTCCATCAAAACAGTATCACTTTTCCGAGATCAGCTTTCGTTTCATCTACTACCAACCATTCTAAACACTCAGCACGCAGGCTGACGTCACGAACAGCAGCGCCCTCGCGCCAGTTATTACTTCAGTTCATTTCACAACAAACTGTGTAAAGGCAATACACAGGAAATAAACGTATCTTCATTTAGGAAAAAAAAAAACTCCCAAAATTAGTGGGGGAGGAGGATACGCCTTTGATTCTCAGATTAAGAAAATAGCAAGTGATTCTGCTTCAGAATATATATTGAATAAGTCTGATTCTGGTGCACTGAAACTGATTCTGATGCACTGAAATCTTTTAAATTTCGCCCCCTCCCCAAATGACACCCTCCTTAGGCAACCAAAAGGCAGAAAATAATAGAGAACAAAATAGTGGGCTTCAGAAATCTTATAAAGCATTGAGGTGTGAAATGTTATTGAAGATCCATTTTGGGAATCCAATATAGATCTTTTCTCATGCAAGTAGAATCAATAAGTGACAAAAAAAAAAAAAAAAAAAAAAAAAAAAAAAAAAAAAAAAAAAAATAAAATAAAATAAAAATAAAAATAATAAAAAAAAATAAAAATAATAAAAATAATAATAATAATCTGAAAGTTTTCAGATTTTATATTATGCCCAAAGGGATGTTTGTTAACGTTTTGTGTATTATCTTTATTTATTAAATATCATGTTCTTTCCAGTTAAACCACATAAAATTCAGTTCAACAACAATATCACAAAATAATTTTAAAATTAGCGTAACTTTAGAATTTCAATGCACAGTCTCTCGTTCTGGAGACAAAAGTGTTTTTTCCCGTACGGTGTTGCCATTGCTTGCTTTGAAATCATTGAACTTGCTAATAAAAAATTCATTAAAGAGTTACAAAATATGAAGTTGATTACAAAACAAATTTCAATTTCCAAATTCCGGCATCCAGATGCCCATATTCGGAACGAAATCCAAAAATGTTAACTGACTGCATTTACACTCTATAAAGTGATATTCTACATGTATAAAATTTCAGAAATTCACTGGAATGCATTTCACAATAATTATCACTAATTATAATGACCAAAAAAACTACTGACTCTTTTCAAACATTTATACCATACTTGTTGTATAATGCTGCTATTTTGTCAGTCATTACTGTATGCTGTTTTTAAATACTTGAAGTTTCTGTAACAAATAAAACAAATCATATTTCAGCATTATGAAGGCAAAACTGTTTACTAGTCATCTATACATTTGTTGTTAAACCGTCACATTATATGTGAATATAGGTTTCTCTCGCCCCCCCTTTTTAAATTATCAAACCTTTTTTTTTCGGGGGGGGGGGCTATTTCAGTTTATAGCTAGTGTCCTGATGTGATGCATAGCATAATCTTTTGAATTTTTTTTCACATGATACTTTGATATGTATCAAATGATAATGAAATGAAATTAGACATGGCAAAAATGCACTTTAAGTGACTTAATAAGACAAAAGGAAATGTAAGATCAATAAAAACTATCCAGGCTTTTATAAATAATTTCTATAATTTCATGCTTTGCAGAATATAGTTTTTGCACAAAATTCATAAACTAAGTAATATATTTAGTTAATGTTAAACTGAAATCCAAATAATATCATGAAGTAAAATAGGTACCAAAAATATATTTGAATCCATGCATTTCATTTTAATGCCTGTCTCAGGTAGATACTCAGAGTCCCCACCCCCATTTAAATGAGTTCAAGTAAAACATGTTTTATTAATGTCTTTAAACGAAGCATGCGATCTTTACATGATTTTTTAGATGATACAAATTTTAGCAGTTTATTTCAACAAGTAAATTTTAAATTTTTATGCTAAATGATTTTGCAGCAAGTAATTTTAAACAAGCTCCAATGTACAAATACCATACTTCAGGAAACTAAATGATTCCATGCATTGAGTAAAGAACATATTCCAGCTTTGAAAACTGTCCTAAATTTAAACTTCCAAAAAGTTATGAAATAACAGTTATGG